TGTCATAAAGGCTTAGTCATGTCTCTTGACCAAGCAATGAGCTGGTGCCCTGACAAGGGGAGACCTTGCATTTTCAGCTCTGGTTGATGAGATCAGGGAGCAGATAGATGATGCATGGGTGTGACTAGACATGTTTCCTGCAATGACCTTGCTCAACCATGTTTTGGATTTTCTGTATCCATCACATGTGCTGCATGATCCTGTGGCAGCAATGAAGAGAGCTTTTCTCAGCCCATGCAACATATTGGTTGACAAGTTTAATGACCATGTGCTTGCACTCCTCCAGTCTGATGAAGGTGAGCATGTGTAACTGTGGAGAGAGACAACCCCCATTAAAGGCGGTTGCAGTGACCTATCACAGTGCAGACATGATTCAAGAAGGTGAGGACTTGGACCTTGAAGATCCTTGATGCTTGCCTGAATACCTTAACACACTTCACCACCACAGCATACCCCCTCATGCACTCACACTCAAGGTCAGTGCAGTGTGTGCACTCACACAAAACCTCTCCACAGAAAAAACTGGTGAAAAATGCTTGGGTGGTCATCTCAGCACTGAATCAGTGGTTTGTTCAAGTAAGAGTCCTAAACAGGGAGAGTGCCCTAGGGGATGACCTTCACTGCATCCCATGCATTTGATCCAACTTCACTCCACACCATGCAAGTTGGACTGTGGTGCAGATCCAGCTCCCTCTTTGTCTTGCATATGCCACCACATTCAACAGCTGCCAGGGCCTAACCCTGGACAAGACTGTTCTTGACTGTTGCACAGATGTGTTTGCTTATGGGCAACTATATATGGCACTGACCAGAGTTTGATTTTGTGCTGACTGCTTATCCTTTTTCAAAGAAGACACTGGCTTTACAGCTGCAAATGTGCAGTGTGAGAAACTTTTGTGGCATGACTTCCCATAGGAATACTTCATCATTGCTCATGTATCTACATGGCCTGAAGGGTTCAACCCTTGTAAGTATAAGAGTTTAACATAGGGTTGGGTCAGGGTTTCGACTCTGAACCCTAGCCTTAGGGGGGTGGATCACAACGACCTCCATCTCACAGCTCTATTGGGCAGTGAGAATCAAGTGCGTCGGGGAGGAATATCACAGATATCCATTCAAATCGTTGAGATATCACAGTACACGCTGCTTTGAGCAAGCTATTTGGGGGAAGGAAGGAAGGAATTGCCGTGATGCATAAAAATAGCGTGGATGGCATCACTACGGAAACAACGAATGGATGATGAAGGGGAAGCGGCGCAAGAACACGACAAGATGAAAAGAAAAGGAGGGGAATGGTCGTATCCAATGGTAGATATGTACTGGTTATAGTGTTCGCAACGAGTCCTTCACTCTTCATAATAGATTGGATCAAAGTTCAATGACGTTCCCTTCACAGTATCGGCATCCACCACCCCGAAAGTCGAGTTTTTCCAACGGGGAGGGCAGTGGCCTAGGCTGGGCATCCCTTCCAACTGCACGGTTGCCTGAAGTGTAACAGGCTACATGGGGTGGAGAGTACTCAGCAGGACCATAATACGGAGGAGGGCGCGAAGGTGGTGCAGGAGGGGTCGAAATGGTGATACGTGGGACTGACGGGGCCGGAGAAGGTGGAGCAACCCATGAACTGAAGACGGAGGTCAACTTCGTGAGCGAGAAGCCCGTGCCCGCGGATGCAGGAGAAGACGGTCCGGGAGGTTGACGGGACTGTAAAGTGACACGAGTGACTGAGTCAGACGTCGCTCGAGGAGGTGAAGGTGCCCGGAGAGACCACGTAGGAACGGGGGCGGTTATCGGAGAAGGCACTCGAGGCCTCGTTACACGAGGAACTGAGGCGGTCTCCTTCGCTCTGAGTGATTCTACAGCCGTCGGAATTGGATGGGGAACACTTGACACCGAAGATGAGCCGGTCAAAAGGACGTCTTCAAAGTCGTCGTCACCCAAGTAGGGGCGCATGACAGACTTCTTCGGCTGAGACTTATTACGTCCCATGGGCTTTCCCATAATGCCCATAGAGCTTTTGCGAGGCACATCTTCGTCTAGAGTAGCAAAGAATCGATCCTTTTCTTCTTCGTTTGTTGGCTTGCTCGCCTTCGCCGCACCGGTGGGGAATTTCCACGACATCATCGCTGCTTGCGATGCCGTCTTCGCGTGCTTCAATGAGAGTGAAGGTTTAGGCGTCTGGGAGTAGGTTTGAAGAGACGCAACGGTGGGCGTCCTGGGCGTGGGTGTTGTTGGAGTAGCAGGTGTTGGAGCTCCTGTAAATCGTGCCAGCGTACTTGGCTGCAGAGTAGTTCTCGGAATATTAGGCGCGTCATACGGATTCGGGAGCGAACTAAAAGACTCGTCAGATTCTACCCGTTCTCCAGGTTGGTCTTCCATGTCGTGAAGCGGTCCAGCCCAACCTTCTGCACCCTCACCAGCCAAATACTCATCACCCTGGGATGCCATGCCTTCCAGAACAGCCAAGCTTTGTGCTTCCATTTCTGATGTGGAGGCGCTTGATAGGGAGTAGGCAGACATGCTATCCCGGGATCGTGTTGATGGTGGGGACGAGGCACAACCTGGGGAAGCTGTCTCCGGCAAAAGAGTAACTTCAATGCCAACTTGATGGGTTGAGTCCACCTCCTGTGTGTCGTCCTCGTCCTCTTCGTGACGATCTCCTTCGATACACTCGCTCTCGTCCTCTTCGGGCAAGACCCCGAGGTCGCCCGCCGGGGTGGGTGCTCCAAAATGATCTTCAACGTCGGTCATGCTGCCCATGCTCTGGTTGCCAACGCTTCCCCACAAGCTGCTGGCGCCAGAGGTGGGGCGCCCTGAAAAGAGAGAACGAGGCGAACTCGCAGAAGTCCCCTTCGAATGAGGCAAGGATGGGGATGTGGGGTTTGAGTAGGATGCCTGAGACACCGTGGCATCCCTTGCACGCTCAGATTCCCAGAGGCGTTCGCCCAGTCTACGCGCCACCTCCTGTGCGGAGAGGGCTTCTTTCCGCTCGATGTCGACACGCCCCTTCAAGGAGCTCACTTGCTGCTCTAACTCGGTAACACGTGCACGCAATTGTTCTGCGATGTCGTCCCGGTTCTCCTTGCGCGATAACGACTTCTGGAGCCTTGCAATGCGTGCAAGCAAACTGGCGTTCTCTTGCTGCAGATAGGTAATTTGAAGATGCAGCGCTCGGTCTTGATTCGGTGGTGCGGGGGATACGGACTTGAGCCCAGTGGGTTCCAGAGCAGTCGAAGAAGACAGCGAGAATGCGGGCGAGGCACAACGGTCGGCCGAGGAGCTCTGAGAGCTCCTGTAGGAAAGCGTGCTCATGCGGCGCATCTGCTTGGTGCTGTCTGCGGAACCTGAGGAGGACATGACTGCTGATCGTGGACTGGCGATACCTGCCTGGCCAGAAGGCGACACAGATGGGGTAACGGGGGAGGGGTTCAGGGTAGCGGATGCCAGAGAGAGAGTACGCAGAACAGGAGGTGATGGCGTAGCAGGCGCAGCAAAATTGACAGGCAAGGTCGTGAACGGGGCAAAAGGCGGACGGCTTGTAGGCTCCTCTCCAGAGGAAAGGCGCGGAGAAGGGGTCAGAGCGGGGGAGGGTAACGAAGCTGTGAGGGACAGCGGTCGAAGACGCGGAGCGTGAACCTGTTCTGCGATGACTCTCTTCGAGATAATAGAAACGGCAGGCTGAAGGCGAAGATTCGTCGGCCTCTGACGTTGAGGAGAGTTCTTAGCTGATACCAGAGCACGTGGAGCCACGGGGACTTTCTTGTGCGTCGATCCTTCGTCTTCTTCTTCCTCCTCCTCCTCAAGCAGAGTTTGCAGTTGATCTTTGAGGCTGGAAGTCGCAATGAGACTTTTGCCGAAGCTATCTCTCTTTCCAGCAAGGGATGCGGATCCCAATGCTGCACTTCCTGATGGCGCTTTCGAAGCTGTGCAAAAAACTTTAAGTAGGAGGATATGGACAGCAGCGGAGAGACTTACGTGCAGGCCAGTCGAATTTCGCTTCGACCGTCGGCGTCTTCCAGTCGGGTACAACCACCTGCTCGAACCCCTTGACGAAGCTTAATGGCCGCCGACCTTCGAGTGTACGTAATGCGTCGTCTCGACCGGCTGCTGGTTCGTTGCTGGGACGCGGAGAGGACGGGAGGGAGGATGCACCCATGATTTCTCTCGACTCTCGCCGAGTTGAAACAGAAGAGTTACGACGATGGTGGGATTGCGGACGAGAACTTGTCTGGGACGACGGTGGTCGACTCGTAGGCGTGGAAGGAGCCAAAGGAGGTGAATGACGCTGAACATTGGTCGCAGGTGAGGATAATGATGGACCTCTTGAGTGACGATGGCTACGGGGAGATGCAGTGCCAGATGTTAGTTTTGATATCGGCGGAGGCGATGCGCCCGGTTGAATGGTGGTCTTCATCTTGTAGTTCAGGAGCTATCCAAAGGCCAGTTTGGTTAGCGACTGGCCCAATGATTTCGATGGATGTGCGCACCTTGTGACGCGCAGCATCAGCAATGTCCTCTGTAGAAAGATGCTTGGCAGGATTCCTGGGCGATTTGTTCATGTTTGCGGTCCTCACGTGCACGTAGCGTCAAGAGAGAGTGAGCCAATAGAGAGACAGATGGGTAGGGAGCGTGGAGGTTGATGAAAGAATGGACGCCGACCAGAGAGGAGGTCCAGCAAATACAGATATCGTCAGCAAGGAGCTGTTACGAAAGAGAACAAATAAGCAAGGGGAGGTCGAGAGAGAGATAGAAAGGACAGGCACAAGGGGATGGATGGAGGAGAGAAGGAGAAGCCGACGTCGAATAGATGCTTCCTTTTTCGTGTTCGCGTTCCAATGAGATCACCCAAACACATAGCAACCAAACCCTAACGGAACCTTTTAGGGTTATTAGGACGACCATCGATATTGTGGGAAATTTCAAGCACATAATATTGCGCCCTTTTCCTTTCGCACTTATGCAAAACGGACAAAAGGTACAAACGCAACGTTGCATACTCTTCTAAGCGCTCACGTCATCAATCATGAACAACAATAAAAATGCTATGCTGGTCATCATTGTATTGTGTAGACTATCGGTTACACCGTGCTACCATCACTCCAACGCAAAGTATCAATGCTGATGACTCCCGCAAGAGGCTCACCGCGTCGCGGGTCTGTCATCCTTCTCCACGAAGCACGGTGGATAACGATCAAGTCTCACAGGTGGATAACGATCAAGTCTCACAGGTGGATAACGATCAAGTCTCACAGGTGTGAAGCCTTTGATCTCATACAACAAGGGCAGCGGGCAGAGTTCTTCACATGCTCTCATTGAACATCCTCAATATCCGTCTCCCTCTCCTCCCTCCTTTACAAAACCGTGCTCCATTAGAATGTTTGCCTTTTCAACTTCGTTCTTCTTTCTTGTTTCGTTTTCGGCATTGTGTAGAGGTAGGATCTGTTGTAACGGTACTTGGACTAGCGGAACTTCATCTTCGACGTCCAAATCCTACAGTTGTTTGTCAGTCACCTCGTTCGGTGTCGCATTAGAAGTAAGATTGACGCACGATCTCTCCTAGTAGCACAACATTCTCGCCTCGTATTACGAACACGCCTTTCCACACATCCGCGTACTCCAGTCCATGAAATATACGCTCATATGAGTCCTCTAACACCAGATTGGCTGGACAGAGTGCACGATATTCGGTTGATTAGTATGGTTCTGCTGAAAGGGCTGGAGTCCAGTACCGAACTGGTCATATGAACGCAGCACGCCCACAAGTTTGCGCCCATCACGCAGAACTATCAGCACCTTCTCTGCTCAAAGCATAAGACATCGATCTGAATGTCAAACGAAGGACACGTACTGTCTACGCAGTCTACCAGAGATCCTGAGGTTGTGAATGGTATTAATGAGTCCATGAGAACTCGAGCAAGGACTTAGGCGCTCAACCTGTGTTTACCGGTTATTATTTCACCGGCAGGCGTTACGCAACAGAACGCGGGAGCAATTTTCCAGAGCATTCATCTCAGCTACTGTCAAATTCACCTCATATACGTTTCATTCACTGAACAAGATGAGTTCGCCAGTCGCGGCCTACGAATCCTTCTTGGTTGCCCATCTGTCGGCAATATCTACTATCGAAAGTTCGCTGCGGTCTTTGACTTGGTTCCTTCCTGGCCGGTTCAAGGATGCGGAATTGGCGTCTGAAAGCCGTTAGCCTCTGTCATTGAACGGCTCTATCATACAGCTGACCAGAGGTCCTCAGTGGCAACTACGCTTAACATGGTGTCATTGTATCACGACACTCTTTTAACATCACTGGTCAAAGACAAGAAGCCGGTCATCCCGCCTACACCACACATGCGGTACACCCGTGCGTGGTGCGATAAGAGTGCCATCTACAAGTGGGCTGCGAGGACTCTTGAAGCAATCCGTCACTGCGAATTGTTCATGGAGATGTTGCTTCGGAGGAGATTTGGCAAACGTGGTGCATGGAGAGGGGTGGTTGGGCTAGAATTCCTCAAGTTCGTACCAGTTGTTATTTGTCCACCTTTAGTGATTAACCAGTGAATCCTCCAGAGCTACTCTTCGGTTGATATTATTCCGTGTGACGTCGAGACCAGTTGTCTCTCCTCCTTTGCCTGAACGCGATCTTCAAATGCCCGAGGAGCTGGATAACGTCAAGCCTGCTCTTCCTGCCTCAATCCCTGAAACGCCAGCTCATCTTCAGAATAATCGAGTTCCAACGGTCAAGCTGCCCGTAACCCCTGCGCAAGCTGCTGACATCAACGGCTATCTTCTCCCAAAGGCGCTCAAGGTGACTGCGGTTAGGGAAGCGCGACAATTGGTGCCTAAAGTCTCCGGCACTGCTGCCCTTTCCGAGATCGTGTTCATCCTCCGTCCGCTCATTTATGGTATGCTTGCACCGCATTTAATCTGAACGATTAGCTCATCTTATGCGCAGTCCTCAGCTTGACATATTCTAAGTCTTCATCACTTCCGTATCTTGTTTCCTTAGTTCTGGACTTCCTTGCCCGACGCTTGCGCCCACCTACACTTCCCTTCTCTGCGTCCAGCGAAATTCTTGTCAATGAATACTCCAGACGCGATCGTCAGCTCGCTTTGTATCTATTCAAAGGGCCAGTCTGGCGCGACTTTACGCGGTATGTGTCTGCGTTACAATCCCTGAATAGCGTCACTGATGTTTTCGCACAGACCACGCTTGGAGGGCTTCGCTTCAAGGACAGAAAATATCCCTCTTGTCAACGTCATAAGCGCTCTGGTTCGCGACTGGGTTCCCTTAATTGATGAATACTATTATTGTACGTATCAGGCTTTGCTGGACCTCTTTTGCTAACTTCCGGATCTTAGACACTGCAACCTAAATGCGAGATCGGTATGTATGCAATAGCACACTAGATACCCTCGACTTCATTCATTTTCCCTCTCTTTTTTATCTCTTGTGTAGTAGTAGCTATTGACGGCCACTGCCCTGAATGAATACATTCAGCAAATTGGTAATGCCAAATAGCCGGCCCTAAGGCTCCATTGAAACGGATGTAAATTTCGAATGACCCCGGCTTAGAAGCCAACTCACGCGGCTCAGCGCTCAACAACCAACTGTGCAAGTCACCGTCGCTCGTGAACCAAGTTTTGCACTCTTACCCTTCAATTCAGACAATGGAATCACCTGTTACTACCAATGGACTTTCGGACATAAGGTGAGCCATTCAGACCGTTAAGACAATGAAAACCCCACTGACACCGCTCCCAGCCGCTCCAAGCGTCAGCGTTCTCCTGATGAGCCCACTGATGATCGCAGAGACCGGAGAGAAAAACGCCACCGCTCTCACTCTCGTGATCGAGACCGTGAGAAGCGTGAGAAAGACCGCAGTGATCGTAGCGATCGTCACGATAGGGACAGAGAGAGGGAGAAAGAGAGACGCAGTGAACGAGAGCGCGAACGCGATCGAGATCGCGAGAAGGAACGCTCGGAACGGCATCGTGAGAGGGAAAGAGACAAGGATCGATACTCTGACCGGCCTTCAGATCGTGATCGTGACCGCTCCGACCGACATGACAGGGACCGTGATAGGGATTACCGTAGCCGCCGTCGTGCCGAGGCTGAAGAGGCTAGCCCTCAGCCAGAGCGCATTCGATCTAAGAAGGACTCCATTGTTGACGTGCCAAAAGGTGGACTGTCGATAATGGGCGCGGCATCCGGCAGAAATCGAGACGCTGATGGAGACGAAGAAATGGACGCTAAAAGCCGCGACGGTCGCAGCGAGACAAGCAGCCGTCGCGAGTCTGAGAGAGATCGAGGGTGTGAGAGGCGTCGTGAATCTGACATGTTCATTGACGATGACCGCGATCGTGAACGTAGGCTCGAGCGACGCCGTAGCCCAGACGTTGATCGTGAGCGTAGTCCTGCACCTCGAGATCGCACGCCGAGGGACCGCTATATCGACTCTCCCCGTCGAGGAAGCCCGCCTTCACGCCGACGCGAGCCTCGACCAATCGAAGGCGATACATATATTCCTGGGGAGCCGGGGAGCCCTCCTCGTCCCATGGCTGTCGAACGTCGGGTTTCACATGATAGGGATGAACCCGGTCCCCCGAGGAATTGCACATCCCCGCCTCCTGTCAGGTATGCACCTATGGTTGTGGACGTTATGACTGTGTTAACCTGGTTTTCTAGGCATTCGTCTCCGACCCACGATTCCGCCCCAATCCCTGAGCCAGAACATTCAGAGGACTCTGAGTTGAGATCTGTATTCGTGTCTCAGCTTGCTGCCCGTCTGACTGCGAGAGATCTTGGATATTTCTTTGAAGAAAAGCTTGGTGAAGGATCTGTCCGAGACGTTCGCATTGTTACAGATCGCGTCTCCAGACGATCGAAAGGGTCAGTCTATCCCTGCTCCAAGAACAATTCACTAATATGGAAATAGCATTGCTTATGTCGAACTGAGCTCCATCGACATGGTCTCGCGTGCTATTGCTCTTACTGGCACAATTGTCATGGGCCTACCGATCATGGTTCAACTCACCGAGTCGGAACGGAACAAAGTTGCTGCCAGTGGTAGCTCCATGCACCTGCCACCTGGTGTTACGGCTCCACCTCCTGGCTCCATGCAGTAAGAATGATCCCTCTGTTATCAGAGTGACGCTGACATTATGATTCAGGCTTTACGTCGGCTCTCTCCACTTCAACCTCACTGAGAGTGATGTCAAACAGGTCTTTGAGCCTTTTGGAGAACTCGAATTCGTTGATCTGCACAGGGACCCGCTCACGGGTAGGAGCAAAGGTTTTGCATTTGTCCAGTGAGCAGAATACTGCCATGATTGGGAATGTTTCTGACGTTGCTGAAGGTATAAACGATCGGAAGACGCAAGAATGGCCCTGCAATCTATGGATGGATTTGACCTTGCTGGTCGTCAGGTTAGCATTTGGTGTGAGGCTAGTGCTTGTTGCTGATACATGTTTGCAGCTGAAGGTTAATACTGTGCATGAAAAGGGCGGTGCTATCCGCTATCAATCACAGAGTGATAGTTTGGATGAGAGCGGAGGTATGCAACTTCGCCTCTTGCACTGGCCTTTGTCTGAAACATCTGCCTAGGCGGTAACTTGAATGCAGCCTCGCGCCAAGCACTGATGCAAAAGCTTGCTAGGATTGAACCCCCCAAACCAGCCATTTCGTACGTAGATTGCCTGCCCAGAACGTTCTCTCTCTTATCGTTGATGTTAGACCCATGGCCAGCCTACCGAAAGCCGCCATGCAGTCCCGATCGGTCCTCCTCCGTAACATGTTCAAGGAACCTGAACTGTGAGTGATATGATTCACAACCTCAGAAGACATCATTAATACAGCGATAGGGAGGAGAAGGAAAATGGACCTAATTGGGCAAAAGAGCTGACTGACGACGTCAAACAAGAATGTGAAGACAAATATGGTCTAGTGGATTTCATCAAGCTGGAGCCGGACTCACAGGCAAATGCATTCAGGTTGGACCGCGTTATTGTTACTAATGTCATGATCAGGGTGAAATGTATCTAAAATTCAAGAGCATTGAAGCCGCTTCAAAGGCAATCGAAGGTCTCAACGGGCGTTACTTTGGTGGACAGCCCATACAAGCCACTTTCATTTCCGACGCCATCTTACAGGCTCATCAGTAGCGTGAACATCGTTACTCCCATGAAACCCTTACCTCTGATTCCTAGGTTCCTTCGCATAGTTTCTCTGACCACAAAGAGCACCGCGTGCGCAGACCCCGTATGATAGCATTGCGGCTTAGGCGCGTGTCTCTATTTTACTCTCCAACCCGTGATGCATGAATGTGACGTTCTGTCCACATGATATATTAGATCGTTCGTATGCAATAGCTTTGTTTGACAATGTGTCAGGTGTATTCATGTTTCCAGTGGTAAGAACAGAACTTCGTCACGCGCGCTGAGTAACTTGAGGTAGACGCCACAGTGCCCAATTTCGCATGCCCAAATACACAGGGTGATAACTGCCGTCATTTCCCTCTCACCATCTTCTTTAGAACCGATGCTTTGGGGCGTAACGTATCCCATTGTTATTGTCTCGCAGGAATTAACCAGGATCACTGCAAGAACGGCCGAAGACGAGCCATTTTGCGAGTCAAAGTATGACGAACCTTGGCTAATAGGTTCCAATATACCGAGGTAACTGTGAAATAGACGTTGTTCACTGTGCGGGAAATATATATATCAATATTCGGTCTGCTCAGGCCCTTCGCTCCGCGTCTCCATGCGGTTGTCTGTGCCTCGAGTTTATATCTTGTGAATTTTGCCGTTTTGGTCTAGGTCTTCGCTGACGTGTGTTTCCCTCTAACTTCCATCGGATTCGATGCGTCTGGTATGCTGTTCGTCTTTTGATGCTTCGCGTTGAAGGTCTCTATAGGTCGGTATGCTGTCTACTCCCGAATTCCTATAACCGCGACTGAAAAACCCCTTTAAGTGCGAGGGCTGGCGATGATCTCACCATCACAAGGAATTAACTTCCTATGACCAACGGCTCGTTACTTGGTTGGGTATAGCTGTTCGTCCGTCTGCTGTTCCTGTTTTGTGTGCAATACTTTGCTGCATTCAGTCGAACAACTTGTATTGTCGATGTTTGTTACAGAGCTGACTAACACATGGAGTACGTGTCTCCCGTATTGAACGTGTTGATGGCCTATGCTTTAGATGACTACGTGCGGCGACCTTGTCGATGGTCTAACCGCGCGGCCGCACCCCGAAGATCGTCGTGAGGTCCTAGGTTTCTGTATGCACATCTAGTTTGGGTCTTAACACCTTGATTCGACGCCGCGTACCCTGTGATTCGGTGCCTTGTCTTCGGTTTTGGTTGATGTGTTAACCTTACTTAACACGTTTCCGCCATTCCTCCACATATGCTGCAGGCATAGCCATCATAGGGGCCTTGTTAGAAGGCGACCGCAAGTCGTCATCTTCGCTATCTTCATCGGTGATGCTCCCCCCACTCCAATCGATAGAACCTTCCGCGTCTCGCATTCTCGCCTGTACTTGATCGGTGTGGACCGCGTCCAAGAACAGCAGAGTATCGGCGGCAGTGAGACGGGTGTGTGTCAAAGGCCGGGTACCAATTGCGTTCGAACCCTTTGTCCTCGCAAATGCGTTGATTCGCGTAGACGGAGCACCCGGAACGACGATCTGTTTAGTCGACCTCGACATAGCCCCTCGGTGTATCGCAAGGTCCACGTCTTTTCGAGGGCGCCTTCGTTTCGCAGCGCGGTTCCCTGTCGATTGTCCTTCTTTCAACGATCGTTCGTTAGGTCTCCCTCGCTTCTTTGGCGGCTCTCCATCACCCTCGGGTGTCAAGTCTTGCTCCAGAAATTGCTGTGCCACTTGTGCTGCTGCTTGCGATCGCGTTGTCCTCGGTGCTGACTGCACCTGCGTTTGTTGGTTGGCGGCCGCTGCCAACCGCGTGACACGACTGCTTGGAGGTGGTGGGGATTGCGCTCTGGACGTCGACGATGCCCTGGCCCTTTTCCCACGTCTTTGGACCCCTCCAGAGCACTCATTTGAAGGCGACCATACGTCATCTTCATTCTCCTCCTCTTCCACTTCGTCGTCCGGCCATAGAACCTCGTCTGCCCGACGTGCCTTGCCCTCTTCGCCCCAGACGGTGGAGTTGCTACTGACACTCTCTTCAGCTGCAGCGGTGGACGGGTCAACCTGCCTTCCTGGCTCGGCTCGGAAAGCTCGCCCATACGCGTCGAATACCGGACCATCTCCGTCCACCGATCGCTTTGGTTTCAATGCTGCCGGTACACCACGGGCTTTCTTGTCCCAGCGCATAAGACAATTCTTGACCACATTAAAATGCCGTTCCTGGGAAAGCGACATCTGGTCACGGTTCTCTTGGAAATGGATATGTGCGGCAACCATAACCAGATACGGGTGCGAGTGATGCTTGAACGCAGGAAACGGTGTCATTTCTCTTCCATATCGATAATGGCTCAGTGTGACCATTTCATCATAGAGCTGGTCCATCGGAAGATAGAGCTTGAAACCATCCTCAGTTGGATCGAACGGTCCTTCCTCCACGGGCCGCGGCACCAGGATCGGATGCGTCATATGACGAAAGGTGACAATTTCATATTCGAACCACTCGTCCGGGTGGGCGAAGCGGGTGCTGTTATGGAGCTGACGACCGGTTAGAAATGAATGCAACAAGAAAACCAGCGCATGCACTGACTTCTTCGAACACGAGCACGTCATGTTCTCGAATGTATGTTTCGATCCTGTTGATTTAAGCCAGCGTTGGCACAAACATCCAGTAAAAATTGTCCAACAACCGGTGAAGTGCGTAATCTACTACAATGGCCTTTCATTAGTACGGTACTTTCACATTGAAGCTTGTCACTTTCGCAGTAGCGCTAGACTTACGAGATATCAGATTATGACGGCTATGTATGTCGATGCGTACTCCCCGCTTCCTGAGCTTTTTGTACTGCAGCGCTTACGTTAGAGCATGTATACACACGGAGCACTCGCTCTCACCGCAATGGCAGCTTTAGATTTCGGGAGTATATGTGCAATTTCCACCGTCGGCCCGGTTCTCCTCGTCAACGCGCACATCCGGTTGTCCACCTTCCGTAACGCTTTCCTCGCTCTTCGTGTGATATCCGATCCTGGCAGGGAAGGAACCTTGGGCGTGACGTACAATGGAGACTCGACTGGTTCTGGCTCTATGATTTTGCGTGTGTTGCTCTTTGTCGCCTTCTTCCTAGTCTTCGCCGAGGTCTGTTTCGCCGCAACAGTCTTTCCTTTTTTAGTACGGCGATTACCTACCATTGACTCTACGTGGCCAAGCGTGTATAACGCGGTACAGAAACAAGGTGCGAGGAAAGAGGCCCATGCGACGCGTCTTCCGGAAGAGCGCGTTGCGGACCTTTTTTTGTCAGCGAATATTACTTAACCCTCGTGCACGTGAAGAGAAAGTCCTAGAACCCGGACTGCATAACGCCGCATTCCATGCGTGATGGTCGTGCTTTTTCCATTATTCCCTCAAACTCTGCACTGAGATCAAGATGACTTCCCAGCCCAGGCAAGGAGTTACCGTTCTGCTGCGCTCGCAACTAAAGTATAACAGGTATGAGTGGTATCAGACGGATGGGAAAACCACCATCACTGTCTACGTGAAGAATGCCGAAGCGGACAAGGTCAAGATTGAGTTTGCTCCCAAGAGCGTATGCCCATCTCCCTGTCAAAAATGTTTCTATTGATGGTCTCTGTAGTTGGTCTTTTCCTACGGCGACCAGCAACTTGTGCTGGAACCGCTGCCGACAGAGATCAATACGGATGCGAGCTCCTACACTGTCATGAAGATGAAGGTGGAGATTGGACTTGTGAAGAAGGTGGCGGGTCGCTGGCAGGCAATTACAGGCGAACAGGAAGGAAGAAAGTAACTCACATGCTCCAGAACACGGTGATGCTAACTGATCCTGCAGCTGTGCAACACATCTCGCCTGAGCCATCGACGAGCAATAGGCGCAAGGCGCGCAAGAATTGGGATGCTGTGACTACGGAGATCTTGTCCTCCGAAAAAGAGAAGTCTGTATCCGACGATCCCAATATTGGAGGCGACGTGCGTTCCATACCTTTTCCTTTGGGACAGTGACAGCGACTGACTTTTGAACCAGGTTGCTGGTGAGTCACTGTCATCTGGGTGAGTGAATGGATTGAAATGGTACCCCTCGTGTCAGCGAACGAGATGTTCGCCAAGGTATGTTTTATCGCGTTTGAACAGAATCACTTCATGACCGTCTGTCTGTTCAGCTTTATGCCGATGCGGACGAGGATGTGAAAAAGGCCATGATCAAGAGTTACACCGAATCGAACGGCACGTCACTTTCAATGAACTGGGACGAGGTGAAGAAGGCTCGCGTGGAGCCATACAAGTCGAAGGATGACGACGACAAAGCCTAGGCATGTCGAGTCATTCTTGCATGCCGTTGTCTTATTCATATATGATTGTAGGAACTACAATGATCTCGTTGAGCTCTGTCTCTCCGTTCATTCGCCTTGCTGTCGCCTAGCATGTATCCATGAATAAACCACGAAGTTCTCCTACTAAGACCTGCCCGAGACAACCAACACATTAGCTTGCATCAAAGTACAGATTAGTATGTAAGCGACATCCTGGGTTCCAGGCGGCACCACAGGCGCTGCATTTATCCCCGGTTCTTCGAAGATAACTCGCAAGTGTATGCTGATGATTACACACACCGCAAAGGACAACCTGTACCTCAGCATCCTCTTCAACTCGATATCGAATGGGCTGATGGGTCGCGAGCTCGAGGTGACATGTGTAGCAGGCGTATAAACGGCCGCAGCACTTGAATCGCAGGGCAACTATGTCAACGGGATCATGCCAGTGCTTGCAGCGTGTGTTTTCATCCAGATCTACACCAAGAACAGAGTCTTGACTGGTCGTCCTCGGGGATATTGGGCTCAAATTACCCATTTCACTTCGTGCATTGTGATGGTAGGAGATATACATACCGCTCGGCTACGTCCAGTACTGTCCTCTGCGACAAGCATGACATGAATGTTGGGGCGACTCTGATGACAAATTTAAAGTAAGGACTTCGTTGAGCGCCGATGGGAGACCCTGAGGTCGTCGCGGCGAACTTTTCCCTGACATTTTCGAGTTGTCCCTCTCTCGACAGCTTTTGCAATCTACTCATCATGGAAGCACTCCTCGCAAAAGCCGGCCCGTCCGTGCCCAAAAAATCTGGCTACCAGGGCAAACGGCGGCCCCGACAATCTGGCCCCGACATGACAGTGACCGCCATCGCAGAGCACACTCACCTGCCCAAGTCACTGGCGCTTGTTGAAGACGAACTGCCGAAAGTGCATCCTGCTGACACGAAGGTCGCATCAAGATTTCTTCAATCTCGTCTCTCCAAGCAACACATTCAGAAGCAGCATGCATTACTTGCACGCAAGGATGCGGAGTTGTTGCTGCCAGATGTTCCTGGAGGATTGGAAGCGGAGGGAGAGCTCGAGAGAACATGGAAAGTGGGACAGGAGGATATTGTTAAAGAGATAGGCCTTGAGACTTCCAGATCTCAACGTGACATCAAGCTAGATGGGGGACCGTATACTCTCAGATGGACGCGCAATGGTACGTGGCTCCCGAGTGAACCGTTGTTGATCTTTCCTCATGACAAGGTTAGGGCGACACTTGGCCATTGCTGGGACGTCTGGTCACGTAGCCACGTTCGATTGGCAGAAGGGAAATGTACTAGCTGAGCTTCAGCTACGAGAGTCTGTTCGAGATATAACGTGCGCACATACCAATGGTCTTGCATTCTTTGTATCAACACAAGAGACAGGTTTTTGCATGATTATACCATGTTCGCGGTCGCTCAAAAGAAATACGTCTACATCTATGATGCCAGCGGCGTTGAGCTACATCGATTATCGACGCATGTAGATGTGAACCGGTTGGAGTTTCTTCCTTATCATTTCCTCTTGGTCAGCGTCGTAAGTATTTTGCCATCTGCAAAGCGCTGCGACTCACAAGATGTAGGGCAACTCGGGCTATCTCAAATATCAAGACACGTCCACCGGCCAGATGGTAACGGAACTGCGGACGAAGATGGGTGCCTGCGCAACTATGTGCCAGAATCTTCACAACGCAGTGATTAATCTTGGACATCAACATGGTTCGGTGACATTATGGGTTCCGAATATGCCAAAGCCGGCGGTACAACTTCAGGCTCATCTCGGACCTGTTACTGGTCTTGCTGTTGATGCCAAGACTGAGGGACGGTACCTTGCCAGTGCCGGATTAGATTCTAAGGTTAAGATCTGGGATTCGCGCAATTGGGGCAAGTGCGTCAAGGAGTGGCAGCCCCTCGAGAGTGGTTCTGGCGGTATTGTTGAGTGGAGCGGAAGAGGTTTACTTGCCTTCTCTAGAGGGCGACGAGTGAACGTACGTCTGCGGTCTCCCAGCTCTTTTTTTGCTGTTCAGTTCGCTCTAGGTATACGCTCCCAACACCTTGCTGGACGGTTCTGCCAAACCGCCTGCACTATACATGTCGCACCACCTGCCAGTGCAGACGTGTTCCATTCGCTTCCGGCAGTTCGAGGATGTCCTTGCAGTCGGTCATGCTGCTGGCTTCTCTACTATCATCATTCCTGGATCGGGAGAGCCCAACCCAGATTCGTTCGAAGCTGATATCTACGAAACACGCACTGGGCGACGAGAGCGCGAAGTCCGAAGTTTACTGGACAAGGTCAGTTCAACATTTCTGTTTCATCTACTCTCGTTAACTCTCCCCACAGCTGCAACCTGATATGATTTCGCTCGATGCCAACTTCATTGGTTCCGTTGCCTCTGCGCCAAAGCGACCATATGCAGCGGCTCCTGTGCCATTCTCGCGCCTTGCTCGGACAGAGCGTCTCCAAATTCAGGGTAAGTCGGATGAACCCATGGAACAGGATGAAGAAGATGAGGAGGAAGACACTCAAGACACGTCCAAGCCAGAGAAGGAAAGGCTCAAGATGCGGGGAAAGGGCAAGAGCATGAAACGGTTCCTGCGCAAGAAACGCAAAAATGTGATTGACCCGGCTACTGTCGCTATCAAAGCCAAGATGGCCGCTATCAAGGAGCAACAAGAAAAGAGGAAACAGGCAGCAGAAGGTAGTCTACAACCGGAGAGGAAAGGTGCCTTGTCACGCTTCCACAAGACCTGATCTCGCACCTCTAGATAATCATGCCTCCAACACTATGTAATGTACCTCACGTATGATACCCATTGCAACGATCCGTGTCCCTCTTGCGTCTTGTCGTAGTCTGCCTGTCCAACCTTTGAAGGGTGTCGTTTTGGAATGTGTATGCCACATCTGCTCTTGCTCAAGGGGCTGTTCAATTATTCGACCTTCCATTCTTTGCCCAGCACTTGATCTTCCGCGCTTGTGAGATTCAGCTCGATAGCCCAGAGAGCAAGGGTGAAAAAGATGTTGATCCATCGCCACCAGACTTGGGAAGAATGGTCGAGCACTGGAATTGGGGTTAGAGTATGGGCAGGTTTCGATACTTTGTACGCACGAAGCAAATGTGAATATACAACGACGAGGATTGTTTGCCGATATATCATCAAGGCGTATGCAATTCTTCTGCTCTGAAAAGAGGTTAGAGTTTATCAAGACAAGTCCGTGCCTGCCTTACCGGTCGCATCTCAGTCTCATCCTCCTCCCATGGTCCGGCCGTGATTTTCATCAGAACCTTGCTTGCACGGTGCAGAACAGTAATACGGAAGACTAGGGAGAACAGAAGCGTCTTGGGGATTGTGGACGTCAAAAGTGTCAAAAGGGTATTCAAATAGGGGAGCAGGTGCGAGAACAGTGGGGGACTAGTCAGAGGTCAGTGAAGGCACTCATCGGGCGAAAAATGAGCTGCTCACTATCCTGCCGCCCATTGAAGGTTGCCTTCTTTCCATCCCCAGCTACGCCCAGGTCCACCTGGACCTTCGCCAGCTCCACAAAGCCAAAGATTATAGGAAAGGTACAAGGCAACGCCTGCACTCTCGATCACGTTTGTTCGTCGCATTATAAACCCGATCAGGGTAAGAAAGAGAAGACAAGTGAGGGCGGCGCCTAGCAGGACGGCTGAGACGGGAGAAGCAGCGGTGACGGAGAAGCAGATGTAGATCCAAGTGGCCGAGGCAACGTACGCCACTGCGGCGACAACGAGCAGACCAAATTGGACCAAATCCCCACGGTCTGCGATTGCCATCGCGTCCTGCCCCCAGCTCTGAATGAGCACGAGACTGGCAATGCCTTCGACGAGGACAAAGAATATGCTTGAGTAGCGCAGACTGGCGCCCCAGAGCCAAGCGACGAGATCGACCGAGGGGTTGATCTGACCATTGACCGGTGTTGCGAGGTTGAAGGAGAGAAGAAGGAGGATTGAGTGAATGGGGAGTTGAAGGAAGGTGAGCCATGGCTTGAGGATAGGGATAAGTTGAAGAGAGCAGTGAATGAGAGACTGAAGGGAGAGGAGAAGGGAGAGGAGTAAGAATGCCGGTTGGCCAAGTGTCGACAATGTGAGTGGCAGGACAAGCAATATCTGGCCAAAGTTGCCTAGCCTGGCGATAAAGGAAGATGCACTGTACACAATAAATGCGGCAGACATGGCCGTTGATATCGACGGCTTCGTTGTCCGACGCTGCTCGTCGTCGCAGGCAGAGAGGATAGGACGATGAGGAGCGACTTTGGGTCGACGCGCTCAAAGACGGTGAAGCAATGAAAAACACGTGTCCCTTATACGCCCTTGTCGCGATCGAGATGATCCACGTCGGCGCTGAATGGTTAACCACGTTGCACTCTCTCCTCAACCACCACCATGTCCAACACTGCCCAGGCGCTCAAATCCCTTCAGCTGAGGAATAACTTGCCCATCGCGGCACTGGCAGCGGCCTGCGAGCAATACCCCAAGCCAGAAGGTCATCTTTACTCGTATGGCACTGCAGGGTTCAGGTCACAGTGCGTGGCAACCGCACAACACATACAATGATCGAACTGACTCCACTCACAGCTCTAAATGGTTCGAACCTGTCGTCTTTCGGGTCGGCGTGATTGCAGCGCTCAGAAGCAAGCGTCACTCGTCGAAGTTCATTGGCGTCATGATCACTGCTTCCCACAATCCAGAGGACGACAACGGCGTCAAAATCGTCGACCCGCGCGGGGAGATGCTACAAACGGAATGGGAACCGTACTGCACCAAGATCGCTAATGCCCCCGACCCGGCGTCTTTTATCACCGCCCTGGATGACCTTTGTACCAAGTTCAAGATAGACGTATCCAAGCGTTCAAAGGTCGTCTATGCGTACGACACACGTCCTTCCTGCCCCGCCCTGGTTAAGGCCCTGCAGCTGGGACTGGCTGCCATGGAGACCGAGACTATCAACGAAGGTGTCCGCACGACCCCACAGTTGCACTACATGACCCGTGCCCTCAACACTCAGGGAACGAAGGATGACTACGGTGAGCCCAGCATCCCTGGGTACTACAAAAAGCTCTCGAGCGCGTGGAAGCGTCTCATCCGACGTCGGGAAGAGGGTTCTCTTCTCATCGATTGCGCCAATGGCGTGGGCGCGATCGCGATGAAAGAGCTCCTCGAATATCTCTCCGATGACTTTAAGGCAACCCTTGTCAACACGGACGTGTTCGTCCCAGGCGTGCTGAATAACATGTGCGGCGCCGACTATGTCAAGACGAAACAGGAGCTTCCACCTTCCCTCAAGGGGGTACTCAAGGCCGGCCAACGTGGCTGCTCCCTGGACGGCGACGCCGACCGACTGATGTACTATTATCTCGACGAGAAGAATATCTTTCACATGCTTGACGGAGACAAGATTTCAGCCCTCATTGCGGGATACTTGGTCGAAAAGGTCAAGCTGTGCGGTTTCAAGGAACCTCCAAGGGTTGGCGTGGTCCAGACTGCGTATGCGAACGGCAATTCTACCAAGTATATGCAGAAGACCAAGGCATTGCCCCTTGTGTGTGTGTCAACTGGCGTGAAGCATCTACATCACGCTGCCGAAAAGTTTGGCATCGGCGTCTACTTTGAGGCCAATGGCCACGGCACTGTTTTGTTTTCCTCCGATACCCTAGAGAACATCCGGAAGCACGAGCCTCAGACTCCCACCCAAGACGACAATACAAAAGACCTAAAGGCTCTCATAGATCTCATCAACTCCACCGTTGGTGATGCCATCAGTGATATGCTCCTCGTTGAGGTAATCCTGAATCATCTACGGTACGATGCCCGGGCCTGGGACTCGCTCTACACAGACTTGCCCAACAAGCTCGTCAAGGTCAATGTCAAGAACCGGGCTGACTTCCAGACCGAAGTCGCTGAGCGGCGTCTCACTCACCCAGCTGAACTGCAGAGGTTTGTGGATTCCCAGGTGGCCAAGTATCCCGATGGCCGCGGATTTATTAGGCCGAGCGGCACCGAAGATGCTGTGCGTGTGTACGCCGAGGCGGCGTCGAAGTTCGAGGCTGAACGTATGTATTGTCCTTACCATTCGCGGCATAGGACTGATTTATTCGTCGCAGAACTTGCGAATTACTTGGCTGGCTGGACCTATGATTTTGGAGGGATGGACCCCGCGCAGCGTCCGAAGGAGTATCTCCGCTGAACTCATTCCCGCGGACTAGATGTAACACTACGGATGATGATGACCAGCATTGTATGACATGAAGTAAAGAATAGCTTGCCCCTGTCCGGTAGGAATGATGATCAGTTAATGTCCTTAACATTCCCCCATCAAGCCGCTTGGTTAACCAGCATCGGCTGCCACTTGACAATATGGAACTTCTCTTGGCGGCCGTAAACCCACTTCCAAGTCTGAGTCTCCTCGTCCCAGTGCACATCCTCCTCCTGCTGGAAGGGTATCTCGACACCCCACTCGTCAACACGATACTCTGATTCCAGCTCGATACTGTAGGCACTGCGCGACAGGATCGGGAGGTCTCCAATGACCGGCATACCTTCTTGGTGATCAACGAAGCCTGCTAGTTGTGTCAGCCTGAGATGTCATAACGCATAAAGAAGCTTGCCAATGACACTGCCGGCCGCGTGCCCGAAGTCACCAATAGGATGGCAGTACACTTTGCCCTTAATGTTCTCCGCCTTCATCTCTTCCTGCACCTCCTTGAGCACCCGATTGCCCGTCTTGCCTTCCCTCATATATTCCAGGGTAAGGTCCTGCATCCTGTTCGCCAGCCTGAGACCCTCCTTAAGGCCGTCAGGTACGGGCTCGCCCTCCCAGCGAGCGACATAGGCGAGGTGCTGCGTATCGGTATTCATGTTCATGGCTGTGATGCCGATGTCGACGTGAAGCATGTCGCCCGGCTGGATAATTGACTGGTCATAGTTAACCAACTGCAATGCGCCTGGCGCATGATAACGGGTCACAGACGGGTGGAACCATGTCGTGACGTTCACTAGTGAAATTATCAGCATATATCGATCTTTGGCTCAGGGGTCTACTTACAGTGATCCATCTTCTCGCGGAACCACCATTCCACATCCGTCGTTGTGGTGAGGCCAGGAGTAACAACACGGTGGCTGAAACCTTCATCTATCATAGCCCACACAATCTCCGTCATGGCCCGATACCAAAACAGCTGACCGCCAGGCCCCTCGCCGCCGACACGATAGGAGATGAACTCGATGGCAATCAAAGGGATGGAGATGAAACGGTCGACCCATTTTTTATCAAGCGCCTTGAGAACCGCGTTCTTCTCGCCGCTATGCAATCCATCGGCGAAAGCGATGTGTCCTGTAGGATCGTCGTTTATTGCAATCCTTTCCGGGTCGTATGCAGCCAGAACCCGGTTGAGATCCGTCCAGACCTCGGGGGTGATATCGATCCATGTGACAGGATTGGGATGGCCCTCGAGAGACGATTCATTGGCATGGAACAGAGAGACAGTCCGGCGCCTAGCATAGAAAGCCGTAGCAGGCTTATAAGACCTGAATATTGTGTCTTCGGCATACTCCCTTTGAGAGATCTACACGTTGGTTATAAAAGAAGCAGCTGAGTGAGACTCATCGTCTCACAAGCCACGCATCAACACCATACCGCTTGAGCAATTTCGGAACAGTTAAGAGCCTCTGCCAATATGCGTCAAGATAGCGATACAAACTAGCATATGGTGCGAACCTGTGCGAGCCAATTATCTTCAAGCTCGGCACGACGACGAGGAGAAGGCAGACGCCTGTACGTGGGCGACGACGCCTGAATCAAGGCCGCCGTCGAAAGCAAGAGCACAGTGAGCAGAGTACTGAGAGAGATCATCGTTGGAGGATTCAGCAATCTGACCGACGTCCCAATGCATTCGGTGAAGGACCCTCATAGATATACCCGCGTTGCCTCCAACCTCGAGGAGGTGGGAATGAGTCAAGGCGCGCCCCTCGTGCGTTTCACGTGATCTCACTCCCTTATCTTGGATTCGCAATGTGCCTCCGCGGCAATGCAATGAACGTTGTCAAAGTCCGAGTCAGGCCAACACTCCTCTCTTCTCTTCAGCCTTGGTTTTTCTCTTCCTTCTCAGGTTCTATCCCTTGATAAGATGTGTCGCTTCTTGATCTACAAAGGCACGGAGCCCATCCAACTCTGTCACCTGCTCACTCGGCCTGCCCACTCCATTATTAATCAAGCCTTTGACTCTCGTCTACGTCTGGATACCCGCAGACCCATCAACGGTGATGGTTTTGGGGTTGGATGGTATGACAAAGAGGTGGATGAAGAAATGGGACGGCAACCATGCATCTTCACCAGTGTGACACCTGTCCGAGTCGTCCTGCTCTTTCCTCGGATCTTATGGCTTGACGCGCTCTCCTAGGCCTGGAACAATATTAACTTGATCCGCTTGGCAGAGAAGATCAAGTCCCCCTTAGTCTTGTACGCCTTGCCATATTGATGCCGCTGTAGCGGTTGTGCTGACGTGGCATAGCGCGCACGTAAGGGCAACGACTGCCGGCACCTTGTCCCTGGACAATTGTCACCCATTCCAATTCAAACAACTGATGGTTCGCACATGCGCACTCCATTCATCAAACATGCTGATGGCGCGTGTAGTGGATGCATAACGGCGAGCTGGCAGGCTTCATTAAATACAAGCGACGACTCCAATCTTCCGTCCCTGACGAGATATACGAGAAGGTGCTTGGCAATACTGGCAAGTTCGGTAACACCGATTTGTGTCTGGTGCTGATCATCCGTGCAGATTCAGAATGGGCATTCGCGCTATTCCTTTCCCTGGTATGTGATTGCGCAGAGTCGCTTGCGTGTTGGCTAACTATATTTGCCAGTTGTCCGATATCAACGCGACATCCTTCACCTACAAGGAACTACAGAAGACCATGCTCGCCACCATCGCGAAGCTCAACGAAATCGCGCGCGAGGCAGGCGTGACGGAGGTATGCTGTTATACGCACGCCTCAGACGTGGCTGACGTGTGGCATGTAGCCGAGTCTGATGAACTTCGCCGTGACGGACGGAGCGACCGTTGTAGCAACCCGGTACATTTCAAGCAAGACGGAAGAGGCAGCCTCGCTTTACTTCTCGAGCGGCACAACCTTCTCGGAGACGTCACGGGGCCACTACAAGATGTCGAAACGCGACAAGCGGGAAGACATCGTCGTGATCGCGAGTGAGCCACTCACATTCGAGAAGGCGGACTGGCTCGAGCTCAAGACCAATACGCTCATTGGTAGGACGGCAGTTTACTCCCGGAAACCGCTTATTGACCCGAATGCAGTCATCACACCGAAGATGAACCTTCTTCAAATCCCTATTGTGGACGAGTTCCATGTCCCTCCAGCGGATGCTGTCCTCCACAGGCGGGCGACCAGCTTTGTGCAGGAGAAAGGGCTGCTCAGCCCTAGGTTGGTCGCGATGACCGCTGGCATCGGCGATCTCTCACTCGCACCCATCGAGATGACAGCCCCTGCCCAAAATGTGCCATTCGTGGCATGAATGTTTGTATATGACTGGTCTCGATTACGCTATAGTGTGCATATTATTGTAACCACAGCTCGCACTGTAGTATAATCCATGGTCTATTTGTTCTTGGTAGCTCTAAAAAGAAAGCACATCAGCATCATGTTCTAGGAAGACGCAAACAAAATATGCGCACTTGTACGAGAACCTCTTTCGTGTATGGGCAAATTCGCCGAGCTTATGCCCTACCATCTCGTCGGTGACTGTCAAAGGGATGTACTAGAAGACGGCTCAGAACTGGTGCGGACAAGCGGCATAGGAATCACACACATCCTTGCCATTGTGGATCTCGAATCGAACACTATAAAATACCGCTCAGTTGTTATACATGCATTTGACGTGACGATGCATACCCGACAAAGTTCGGCAGGATGGTGCAGCTTCGTGCCTGCGTCCGAATGGCAGTACCGTTCTGGAGGGACTCCCTCAGATTGGGAAAGGCGACAAAGTATGGGCCTGATTATCCACATCAGATCACACATCAATATGTATGAAAATATGTACCTTTCCATGCTGCTCGCCTTCCTAGGCGAACGGCTGTAGGCAGCATTGTAGCAGCAGAGTGCAATTTGTAGCGTTAATGCGTGCCTACCAAAGACCAAGAATTACGTTGCTTGTGGCGATGCAGAAGGCGTTCTCCGTCGGAAGCGAGGTCGGCGTTGAGATGCACCGTCACACCAACCAAGTCACACTTGATGCACAACTTAACTTTGTTCCTTTCCATGAACAAGAGCTTCATGATAAAATGCATTCTGCATCTAACCCGGCTCCCAAGCTGAACACAACCCAAATTGAAGTGTTACACACCGTGAGAGGCGTACGGTGTACAATCTCTTTGGAGGGTTAGGCTTAGACCGTCAAGCGCCTGATTCGATTATTCAGCTTTGCGCAACAGCCCTCTGTCAAGGAGACAGGACACACAAAAGAGAGAAACTGGTGACAGCTAGAGGGTGGCAAATGACAATGAAAGACCCTGGTACTGTCGGGATAGTCAGCCGCCGGTGCCCTTTGTGCCACGTTCTTCACTCTGTATTGCTCTCCATCTCACATTCAAGTCGTTCCAATATGTCCCCTCCAATCCAAGTATTTCTTACTACGATAACGATGCAGCCTGTCCTGCGGCAGCGACAAGAATACCTCCTGCGCATCTTGCAGACCAGGAAGGTACCATTCACCTCCTACGACGTCGCAAGTGACGAGAACGCGAAGCGGTTGTGGAGAAGAAAGGCACCGCAGGGAAAACAGGATCTTCCTGGGATTCTCATAGGGGGATCGTTTTCTGGGGTGAGCATACGGTTTACTACATGCACAGAGAGAGCTGCCCTCAAGTCATAATAGACATTTCAGGACTTTGAAGAAGCCGTGGAATTCGCAGAACTCGATCAATTCTTGCGCCTTAACGAACCTTGGAACGAAGAGCTAGAATTCGAGCTTAACCCTCGTCTACCGCAGCAAGCTATCGGTGTTCCAGGGGCACATGTACCTTCGCTCACGCAGCCTCTGTCCTCCTCCACCTCTAAGTCTCCTGCCTCTTCCACCAGGAAGCCTCGCAAAACGGACGACCTCGAGCAGGAACTTGACAGTCTGAACGCGACAGATGATCAGATCTCTGACCTCCTCGAGAGCTTGGGACTTGAAAATGAAGGGGCGAGCGAGCGGCCAGGGGGGATAGCGAGTGTGAATACGCCCGAGAGGGGACAACAGAAGGGATTTGGGGCGCTGGGAGGAGAAGCGGCTCGGGCAGCTAGGGAGAAGGCACAGTCGAGGTTAGTATCGAGTGCAGGGACTGCCGCGTTGGCTGTTAAGCCTCTCGCGCTGAGGAAGGCTTCCGGTGTCCCAGCTGAGCGCATCCCGGATCAGGCGCCGGTGATAGAGGACAAGAAGCCCGAACCGACGCCGTCTTCGGATGTTGATCCGGAGGGACAACCAGTTAAGGGAGAGGGAGAAGTAACGACGGCGAAGGCGACAGAAGATGAACTTGTGCCCTCTGGGTTCGAGGGGAAGGAACTGCAGAACGCATAGTTCTACAAGTTCCCTCAAGAGCACATGGTGATATAACAGATACACAAATGCATAAGGATACTGAGACAAGTACAAGATAAACAGTGACTATTCCAAAGCAGACAGACCCCGTTCCGCCGCCAGAATATCCAGCAGTTTCTCCCTCCAGACATCCATCGCGTCTGAGTCCCCCCCGTTACGCAAGGCCTGCACAAACCTGATACAGAACTGTGCTTTCCCCGAAGCATACTCCTCCTCCTCCAGCAGCTCGAGCGATCGTTCAAAGTTCTCAGCTGCCTTGTCCGGGTGATCCCATGCCTGGAGCAGCGCACTCAACTCCGTCCTGCGGCGATCGCTCTCCGCGAGCTTCGGCCCGCTCAGCCTACACGCCTCACACTTGCAGGTGAAGCGCCAGTGCTTCCAAAGGACGGCTTGTCGCTCGCGTCGTGAGTGAAAGGCATCGATGTAGGTGATCGTAATCTCTTCTCCTGGATATATGTCCCGCACCGCACGGAACTCGAACTGCGTGCCGGTGAAGTAGCGAGTAGCGTTCGGCGAGCAGGAATGATTGATTCTGCTTCCCGTGCGGAATATACCGAGTACCTCCTGCTCCTGAAAGGAGGAGATGTCGAAGCAGTTCGTGTCACAGATGTCTATGATACGTTGTAGCTGGGACTCGAGTGCACTCTGCAGACTGAGCGACGGCAGGTTGCAGTTGGCAAGCGAGAGCAGGGCAGACCGCGCTGCCAACGGGAGCTCACGGTAGAACTGTGCTAGTCCTACAGGCTTGATATCGATATTGTATAGGAAGATGGGTGCCTCGGAGAATATGAGTTGTCCGCGAGCTAGCCTGCGCTTTGCGATGACGCCCTTGCCCTTGCCGGGGATGTCGACAATACGATAGTCGGGGTCGCGCGGGAATAGATCGACCTTCATCAATGCTTCATACTCGGCTTTCGCTTGCTCGATCACAGAGTCGCCGATCTCATGGAACCAGTACGGATACCAAGCCTTCCAGGACATTGTGCTAGAGCTAAGCCAGCAGCGAAATGCATTCGCAATCTCTGCAAGCAATGATAAATACACGTCTCAGAGAAGGGCTTGCGACACTGTATTGCTGACAGCGAGGCGGACATGAGGCGGGGAGACAGCGTGCCCATCCCTGTTATGGGTTATCGAGGAACCTTTCAGTCGACAGTTTAGAGACGCCAACGACTCGTGTAGTCCTCAATGTTCGAGCACCAGTCTAACATGATGGTTGTCGAGAAAGGGTCGCATCCCCACACAAGTGCTTGGCGGGGCTTCAACGCGGGGCGATGTCACCATGACAACCCGCGAAACGTAGAAAAGGGATATAACATACATCATCGCAAACATTTCCACGAGGCATAAGATACAAGTGAGATATATGAATGCAGACAAAAGCAATATACCGAAACAATCCTCAGCGTACGAGGTTCGTTATCGATGGTGAACGAAGCCTTCTGAACAAGCCGGCCAGCGTCTTGCCTCCGTGCGGCCCCCATTCACCAGCGGCAACCTCTTCACAGCATGACTCAAAATCGTCTTGCTGTGAAACCAAGTCCCAGTGCTCTACAATGTAGTCCTTATCGGATGATCAGAAGTGTTGATGTGACAACTCGTTGAAAGACGTACCTCTATCAGGTAGTGCAAGTCATCCCAGAAATGGGAAGCGAGCAAGAGGGGGAAAGCTGATTGTGGCGTAATTGTGCTCAACATGTGGTCGAGAGCCAGGTTGGACAGCCCAGGAAGCAAGTACCGGTGCGCAATCTTGTAAATAGATAAAGCAGAGGCAGGGGGAGGTTGACCAGCAGGATGAGGGTGAGGGTCGGTATTCAAATTATGGGAAGGGAAGCGCGGGAGGTGTGGCGACTTTGAGGGCCTCGGTTGAGGATTACGCTTGACGAAGCCAGTATTCGGACTACCGGTGCTGGTTGGTATTGGGATAGCTGACGGTTTACGGCTCGTGGAGGTTGGGATGCTTGTCGGCCGTGTACTGACAGCCGCATGTACGCGAGAGAAACCATCATTTCCGGTGATCGGGGTGCTGGGGACTCGCCTGATTGGGTCAGGGCCGGGCGTGGTCCGCTCCGCAATCGATTCCACGGTGTGTCGAGCAGGTGCAACCGAAGGCAGACTTTCCACGCTTGCGACACTGCGTGCAGCGCGGACGTCACTGTCGATATCGTCGCGGCTTCCAACACTGTCGGCAGAAGGATCGGCACGGATGAGCGTCCTCCATTCCCATTCCGCCACGCCACCCGCCAGACGCTGGGCTGACAAGCTCCCGACTGCGGTATCGAAAACGACGCGAGGGTCATCCTCCTCCTTGAAATGGATCCAATTCGTATAGACCCATTTGAGCAGCCAATATACAGATATGTAGTCTGCATCCTCCACAACGATTTTGTAGATCTTGCGTTCTTTAGACAGAATATAGGATGCCTCGGAGAAGGCCGAGTTCAGCATTGTGTGGAAGTAGTTGGATCGACTCTTCAAGATATCACTGTGCGCGTAGATGACGCGCTTGCGAGCTGTTTGGGGGCGGCTGCCGCTCAAGCGAGACGAGACCGATCGTGGGGACTGAGGTGCGCTTTGAACCAGCGAACCCGATCGCTCCAGAACAATGAAAGCGACATCACCCGTGTGTGCATTGTCCAAAGACGCTTCAAAACCATCAAGTAGATCACGGGGTATATAGTGAGCCGAGGGCAGTTGGGGTACAAATGGTCCAACCGGGCTGTGAATCTGCACGCAGATTACGAATGATTCTGTGAGGCTGATGTTTTGGTTTTCCAATAGGGTCGACAAGGGAGGAAGTGGGCATTCTATACACAATTAATCCAGCATGCCAAAAGAGCACGGATTGCCTACCCCAGAATTCACTTTCCTTCCTGAAGCACCAGTTCTGCTCCCAATTCTCCCAGACCCATTCCGCAGGAGTGCCTCGCTCACTGCCTCTCTCATCAACGCACTTGATCGCCACCAACAAGGAAGCTGTCATGTCAGAGTCCATGTTTGTGTGATCCATGAGACTTGTGATATACAAAGAAAGGGTTTGTGGTCCTACTCGAGTTGCTGTGGTGCAAGAGCGTGATGGACCTTCGAGGGGTGTCGTAGGTATCCTAGGTTGAGCGGGTGTGCGCGCTATCAAACATTTAGCGAACTTTCCATTCAGTGACCATTACATGCGCACCGATTTCCAAAATGAATTTGCCATCTCCAATCGAAGGATGCTCTCGCAGAATCTCGAATGGCTCGTCCTCGTGGACGCGCTCTGCGGATCCCTCCGGCGCGCTGGAGTGCTCAATCGTCTCACATAACGCTTTGACATCATTTACAGTCCATTCGAATGCCTAGAAGCGCATTATTGACCGGACCGAAATTAAGAGGATGTAGACGTACGGTGAAGTTCCACTGTCGAGTGGTCTGATTAGGAAGCGATCCATGCATTGACAAAGCCGATGTTGATAGGATACCCGAATGTTCAGGGGAGCTGGAAAGTGTATTGAACGGTGCTGGACTTGCAGAAAGCGAGTGTAAATGACGATGAGAGTAAGCCGACCACGGCCATGTTGGTCTGCCAGCGTCCATCGACATTCGTACGTGGACAACGCGGTCGATAGCTTACCTGGAGAACGGCGTTGGACGCGACGACGACGCGTCTGGGGACCAGATCGCTGGTCGCCAGCTGGGAGTGCTAACGCTCAAGGGAAACGACATGGTTGTACAAATAGGCGCAGTGGTCACTCATTCAAGGGCAGATGAATTAAAAAGAAAGAACGCGCGTTGTCCAGGGTCATAAACACGTTGCACAGCACAATAAAAGTAACAATTCATTGGATGTCTAGTACGCTCCTCGTTCTATTTCAATCCGATGGCTACTGCTGTGCCTATCCTATCATAGAGGCCCCGAAAAACATAACAGAACAACTTACTCGATCGTACTAGATGGGAATGAGCAATTGGGGGATCAGCGAGAGGAAAACGTTGCTTTGTGCAGAAAAGTAATTGCGACGTGTGATGGGAATGCCAACTAGTTCGGCCTACAGCCGACGCGTGAGAGTACAAAAGATAGCCCATAGCAGAAGGTGGGATGTTATCGAATGAGTGCTCGTGATGAATACACGAACGGTCATGAGGGGTGCGTGGCAGGATATAAGAAAGGCCTCAGTTGTTGCCGAAGCTGAACCCGCCCTGAGGTGCCTGCGTCTCCGTCTGGAACTGAATGACATGTCAGAGAATCGCAATGAAACGTGGGAATGAAAGACACTTACAGCGTATCCGCCACTCTCGTCCATGCTGGCGCCAATGGCTGCATCCTCATCTTCATCGTCAGGGAAGTAGCGGTCCATGATGAAGAACGCCTTCTTGTAGATTTCCAAATTCTCGTGATGTTGTAGGTTGTGGATGGTCAGCATCCCACCAGCCTCTTCGACATATTGAGCGTAAACATTGACTGCCCCGGGACCAGTAGCCTCCTTGTCCATCTCCCCAACTTTGAGGATGTTATCTAGCCCGTCCAGCGCGACCTGGATGATCTTGTTGTCCATCATGTTGAGAAGGTCGCAAAGAGGCTTGATACAGCCCTGGGAAACGAGGTAACGAATTTGCGGTGGTTCTTGGAGACCACCGGACGTGGCGTTTGAGATCGCCCAACAGGCCTCCTTCTTGGTCTTGAAATCTGCGTTTTGAAGAATGTTGATGAGAGGAGGGATTATGTTGGCGTCAATGACAGCCTGAATCTGATGAGGACTGCCGGCGGTGATGTTGGAGATTGTCCAGCAAGCCTCCTTGCGGATACCATCCTTCGGAGATGAAAGGAGAGAAAGGAGAGCCGGCAGTGCGCCAGACGCAATAACGACTTGGGTCTGCAAATCGTCACCAGTGACGATGTTTCCAATAGAACGTAAAGCAGGGGTTTGAACGGAAGTGGAGCCATGAAGGAGGAGATCAACGAGGCGACGGCAGACACCAGATTCAATAACAGCCTGGATCTTATCGTTGGATCCGTCCGAGAGATAGGAAATGGCCCAGCATGCATCGATAAGCACTTCCTCATCGAGTGAGTAGATAAGCTTGGTCAAAACAGACAAGGCAGGAGAAATCTAAGAAGTGGCATAAGGATCCCAATACTCAGATCAAGGAATGCACTACGTACTAGATCCCAATCCGGCTGAGGGTTTTTTCCACGGCAGAAGTTGCTGAGCGTCCAAGTGGCATTCCTGAGCATGCTGAGCTTGTTGTGCTCGGTGAGAAGTGCAAGGAGCGGCTTGAGGGCACCCTGTTGCAAGACGTAGTCACGGCACCGTGGACTATCGCCAGCAATGTTGCCGAGTGCCCAAACAGCTTGCTCCCGCACGTCCGGAGAGCTCGATTGCAAAAGCTGAATGAACATAGGGACAGCACCGGATTGAATCACAACCTGAGTGTGCTCTGCAGTACCCGAGGCGATGTTTGTAAGCGCCCAGGCCGCTTCGAACTGCAACAGCACATGAATCGTTCGAAAATGTTGGATGGGCAGTTGAATATGCTCACCTGGATCATGTGGTGCGCAGTTTGCAAGAACTCGACGAATCGAGGCACCACGCCACACTCGATAACACGATCGATAGGCGGGTTCTTCTCCTTCGAGAGCAGCTTGCGAAACTTAGTGGTAGCATCGAGCTGCCTGTCAGGATCATCGGAGAATACATCCGCGATCATCTGCGTAGCTTGCTAGAAATGACGAGTCAAAATGCCGCAATGCCGGACATATATGCGCGCTCGACTCACCTCTGGCTCCCAGTCCCCTTCAGGCATCTCGTCGTCCGACTCCATCCCGGATGTGAGAGCCAAGTTTCTCCGCTTAGCAATGTTTTCTTCACGCTTTGCCTTGCGAATCTCGACCTGGTGGTCCTCACGCCGACGACGGAGATCATCAGATTTGAAGTTACCAAACTGCCCTTTCGCCTTGAAGTCTTCAGGAATTTCAGCCATATATTCCGATACAGCCTGTGAAGTTGCTTACTTTGACGCCTATGCTCTAGATTACGATCCATATTGATAGAGAGAGCGCTGAAAGGAGTGATTAAGAGAAAGAAGGCAAGTGGCAGACGGCGTGGTGTACACGAGAGTGTGGGCTTAAAAGGGTCGACGCGTCAAGCCTGGCGGGAGCGGAGGCTTTTGCTCTTCACATCGTTGCCTTAATAGGAAAGTATGGAACTGTTCTTGATCTCAGACCGTTGCCCGCATTTACCAGTCTTTGTCATGTTGTAACCAGTGTTATGTACCGAGGTACGGTTTATCCCCATTTCTTGTTCAAAATAGGCAGCAAGACAGAGCACAAGACCGCAGGAGCTCGGAGGAGACGCTCAAACTCCTGGGTCTCATGAAGGACATTATTTAGGGCAGGCCTACTTCACGAGACCCTAGCAACCAACCCAACATCGAACGTCATTAAAATGGTTATGTTAACAATACAGCGATGTCTACCATACACCAAGCAGGGCAGGCCTGCTTTCATGCTGTTTCATCATGATACTAAGTCGGACCATGACGTTGTCCAGATACACAGATAATGGATCAAACCCCGGAATGTCGCCCTCATTGAGCGATCGTCCCCGCAGGACGATGAAATAGATGTCGTCAAATGGCCGTCCATTGTCGCTTGGTCTGCGGTCAATACGTGAAATCGAGCAACCACTGCCATCTCGGAAGACGGAAAGTATGTCTACAAGCGCGACCACCGCTGATTGTGGGAAACTGAAGCGAACGACAGCTTGACGATAGCTCTTCTCCGCAGTCTGAACTGATCGTGGTATATCATCGATGGTGGAGAGTAATACAAAACGTGTGAAGTTGTCTGTTATATGCATGAGCTTTACACAGAAGCGAAAGATGAGCCAAATACCTTGAGCAGCTTGAATACCTTTTCCCAGCACTTCTAACCCTGGATATAATGCAACGGTCATGCTAGAAGCAACGGCAGCAGCCCACAGATCATCCCCCTTTCCTGCTGCAACACGCTCAGCTGCCAGAGCTGTTGAAGGTACTTTTATTCGGGTCGATTGAGGGAGATTCTGCGTCAGATAACGTGCGCATTGGCCAAGAGCCTGGATTACATAGTCAGTATCAAGTCGTGGCCGATGTCGGACTCAGACACACCTGCTCATGGCTCAACACCATCTTCACTTGCTCTAACTTGACTCCCTTCCTCACGAGAAGACAATGTTGTACCCCGATTGTCTTCTCGCCTTTGATGTGGATGGCGGTGCCGACGGATTGTCGGCGCAGAAGATCAATTGTGTCGATCACGATCCCGTATATGGAGTTCTCCCATGGCAGTAGCGCAAACTGCGCTTGAGATCCCAGAGCATCGAAATTCTCTATTCACCAGCAGGAACAGGTATAAATAATGGGCGAAGGATTGTGATCGACGCGACACGTACCGGTGATCGTGGGTAGGGCCAGATAATGCGCCGCGTCTGCGAAGAGTTCATGTGCAGCCTGGTGCGAATACGTCCCTTCTGGTCCCAAAAAGGCTACACACGGTTTCTCCGTCATGAAGAGAAAGAGAATAGAAACGTGAAATGGCCGTCTACAGGACAGTCGAAAAAGGTTTACGGAGCATTCGGATTCCCTGAGACTTTCGCGTCGTTGTTGTCGGCCGGTGACGCACCACTTAACTTACTCAGACCTCCACCACCATACTATCGGCCACATCACTAACCTACTGCACAGTATTTATGCATAAATCAAACGTGCCCGCTATTGTATAGTCTAGTTCTTAGTCGTAAAGGCGCGTTCCTGTGCGAACAAAGGCTCGAGCTGCTTATTCGTCCACGCCTTGATGTCGGCGGAGGCCTCCGGCACGGGCTTACGGCACACGCCGCCGTAACCAACATATTGGTTCATACCAGCCTTTCAAAGTGCATTTGTGAGGAGGTTCTAGCATGGCCAACTGAATGCGCTCACCTTAACCCCGGGAAGTGAGTTCTTGCCAAACGCCCATTCACCGGTCGCGATCAATCCTTGCAAGCGCTGCGCTTCCTTGTAATCACCTGCCTGCCACGCCTTGTATGCGCGAACACACGTGACAGGCGTAAGATTGGCCATGCCGGTAATACATCCGATAGCCCCAACGGCGAGAGATCCGATCAGATATTCAGATGCACCACCAAGAACAGCGAAAGACGAGGGGTCGGGGCTGCCAGCGGCAATGCGAGCCATCTTGCCGACATTGTGGTCCGTCTGTTTAATGCCGCGAATATTCCGGTGTGTGGAAATCTCTAACACGTCCTCGGAGTCAAGCTCTAGTCCAGAACTCACTCCAGGATAGGAGTAGATGATGACAGGGATCGGAGATGCGTCCGCCAGCTGAGTCGGTCAGAAGCCGGTCGACACTGACACGGTAAACGGACTCACGTCTGTATAGAAGCCTTTGATGGCAGCCTTGGTCATAGCACCTGCATAGTACGAAGGAGGAAGCGCTAACAAGTAGTCTGCACCGGCTTGTGCAAAGGCATCCGCGGATGCCATCGCCTCCCTCGTACTTTGTGTGGCGAGACCTGCGATCACGGGCATCTCCTCGAAGCCTATGCCGTCCAACACTTTCCGGGTCACCGAGATCAACTGTTTCTTCTCTTCCAAACTAAGTGTCACGGCTTCTCCCGTTGAACCGAGCACAACGATGCTCTCCACCCCGGCAGCGGCCACTGGCATCATTTGTTCAGTGATCAGACGAGGTAATAGCCATGATCAACGCACTTCGGCGAACATGGTTCTCATACACGGGGATGTCGATGTCCTGTGCTGCAGTGCTCTCGAAAAAAGTCAGGACGGGGACATGAACACCTGCCTTGAGTGTGCGTGTCTTGTTTACGGCAACGGGGGACATGGCGGCTTAGCAGAAGATGCTTGGATCAAGTCTCCAGTGAAGCAGTGAAGCTGTATATATCCCGGACCGGTATCTGCGCTGGCGACAGTTCGCCCTCACGAACTGGGCATGCATGAATGCATTGACCTGGGGTCCTGGTCCAGATCGCGACAGGCGATAGTGATACGGACTCAGTCGGCATAACCGCGGAGAGGGCGCAAGAGGAGGTTCGGACCGGAAAAAGCCGAAGACCGAAGCGTCCAATTTTCTAACTCGCCACTCGCGTTCTCCACGAGATCTGCTTCCGTCTTTCGGTTGACTGCTTCCACCAACTTCAGCTGCTTTCGGTCATCACCTCATCCGGTCGCCATTCAGGACGACCGACTACCCGACTCCGTATCCCGCTCAACAACGTTATGGCTGAGGACGGCGTTAATGGCGATGAGCACCGAAGTGACAAGAGGCCGAAGACGTCCCGGCCGCTCGCCAGGACGTCGGTCGCGTGCGCTCGATGCAGGCAACAGAAGGTGAGCATTCATTAAACCCTGTCATCTCGGACACGATCAAGGATCATCGGTGCTCATCATTGCACTTACATTGTAGCTGCGATGCTCCGGCGGACAGCCGTGCCAGAGGTGCGAAAAACTAGGATTCGCACGAGAATGTCATCTGCCACCACCCCGAGCAAATCCGGGGAGTCGTTCGACAACAGCTCGGATAGGTCAGCTGGAGAATGAGCTGCTGAATCTCCGGCGAGCAATGAGTCAACAGCAAGAAAATACACTGTACCCACAGGGAGTTTCTGGTCCTTCCCAAACACAGACCTCCCGTTCGCAGTCTTCCAACGTATTCGCAACACCTATTAGCCCCTCCTCACATAATCATATCGTCGGTATTCCGGCGACCACTCCGTCGGAAGCCTCTTGGCCGTCATCGTCGTCACCTGAATCTCTTCAACGTCTTCAACAGCAACAAGGCATGCCTTTGTCAGCAGTTCATCACGGTCGACCGGGTGAATATCGCCCATCTGATGTCCTTTCGAGTACGACTATCAATCTGAGCCATGGTGGACCGAGCAACCCCAGCGTGACCTTACCAACCAGTTGGATTCGAGGAGGGTCACCATCTTCCCCTGTCATGCCACACGGCACAAAACGTCCACTGGAACAAACGGAAGAGCGCGTTCAGGCGCCATTCGGCGATGTTGTCTTTAACAAGTCAGTGTTTGAGAACCGAGAGCTGAGCAGGCTGCCTAGCCCAGCGCCTCAAGTTGGACGACGGCTCCCGTCTAACGATGTAGTCGAAGCGGGGCTGTTATCAATGGAGATGGCGGGCTACTACTATAATCAGTACGTAATCCCCCATCATCCCTTTGAGTGATGATTTATGCATCGTATAGGTTTGTTGATCACTGCCTGCCTTTCATTCCCATATTCGCCGATGAGCCGCCACCTACGCTGGACAGCCTTCGTGCTCGTTCTTCATTCTTGGCCACCGTTTGCATCACGCTAGGCGCGCGGATCACGTCGGGTCAAAGCGAGGAACCAATGTTCTATCAAGCGCTGGCAGATCACTCGGAAGGGTGCCTCGGAGCGACGATGACGAGGAAGATCCTGATTTTGGAGGACGTGCAAGCCACATTGTTGATGATGGGATGGGGATTACGGCCAAATGGACAAGGACCCGACGCCTGGATCCTCTCAGGGCATGCTCTAAGGATGGGGAAACGGCTTGGTCTCGACAGTCCAAGAAGTGGGGCATCTAAACACAGCGAAAAGGAGCGGGAGCGCGTGTGGCAGTTGGCTTGCGTGTTCGATTGCTAGTAAGTCGCATGATTCTCTTGCGCATCGTTGTGTTTAATCATATTCCTACAGCCACACGCTGGGCTTCGGTCGACCCAGCCCGTTCTGTCAGAGGCCCCTCACACCCGCGTCTTTAAGTCCAGGCTCCCGCTCAATCTCATCCTCTGATATATTCATCGCTTGCCAAGCCGAATTAGCCAGTATTTGCTTACAACTGGTCCAATGGGCGGATAATTGGAGAGCCACGGGAATGCAGCCCATTCCTGGCAGTACGTCAAGCACAGTATTCCCACTGGCTGGTCTCGCTAATCCAAGACGCAGATCTTTTATGGTCTCAGCTGGCTCCCCGCCTGGATGACTGGAGTGCTCGATGGGTCTGGCCAAGTTCGCGTTTCGTGTGCGCATCCACCCATATTTCTCGGCTTTATGGGGAACACGTGCGACTGTGCCTGGCCACATTCGTGCTCAAAACAATATCTCGGGATGGCAGTGGACCAGAAGGACCCAGGCTATCGACTGTAGTATCAGCTGCTGCAAAAGCGGCGAGCGTTATCGTCCAGATCGCCATCGATTCTGGCAACACTGATGAAGCCATTTCCTTCGCTCCCGATTACAACATCCTCACTTTTGCGCAAGCCGGAATGGCGATCATCTCCCTCGCCCGTCCTGGCCCAGACGTATGGGACGGTTTTACCGCTGGGCTGAATCCCGTCGAAGCTGCGGAGGTTGCCGATGCTCGACCTGACGAAAACGCCGCGACCTATCTGCTGAAGTCTCTGACTGTTGCTCTCTCCCGCAGAGATTTGAGCAGGACTGGATTGGCCACTTTCTTGAGCAAGAAGCTCCAAGCTGCCGCTGCTCGCGCTGGCTTGTATCTAGATGGTGTTCGAACAAAAGAGCCACCTCCTACACGCACTCCGATGACTGGTCCATTTCACACTGGAGCTTCTTATGATGTTGCGTACGTCAATCAGGGTTTCTCTCTCTATTGGCGCACTAATCGCGTGTTCAGTTCTCAAAACATTCCACAGCCGGCAGAAATCGACGACGCTGCCGTGGCTACACAGATGGAAGTGTCTACCTGGAACAATGCTCTCGATCCTTTCTTCTTCTTTGACCCAGCATTGGCTAATTTATGGTATGAACAGCCACCACCGCAATGATCACAGATCAGACTCCCTTGCACTATTTATACATCCTGTTACATGTGTGCCTTGTACGTTGTAGCACCTTGGCGAACTCGTTATTGCTTTGATAGTATTCCCCTCGTCAACACCTTCGCCCCTTATCTGGTGGTTTCTGCATTATATTGCCTTTAACTCTAACCGATATCCTAACCGTCCCGTTGGCTTCTCCGTGCCCGGCTTCTTGATCCTAGGTGTTTCCAAAACGCCCATCTGCACCAAGTTGTACTCCTTGGTCCACCAATCGTAATCTGTTCTCCAAGCACTGGGGCCGTACCAGTTCGTAAGTCCTCTGGGTAGGTGCACCATACCAAAATCATTAGCTCTATTTCCAAAACTTGTGATGGAAATAGCATGTTGTCCTTCTTCCAAATGCTCAAAGACAATCATATGAGGCTCATATGCTATGTGGCCGGCTTCCTTTCCATCGCAAGTGATCGAAAGAACTGGCGAAGCGAAGCGCGTTACCTGAACTGCTGCTGGTCCCGCTCCCTGAGTATCGAATGTACAGTTATATGTGACGTTGCCGGCGTAAAAGGGTAAACCTTGAGAAGTGTAGTCACCGAAGGTGATTTGGGAGAATTCCAATGGCGTGATTGATGCCCTTGCACCTCGAATTTCAACACCGAAGTCGCCAAGAAGGTACGCACGTTCCACGTTGGTTACTATGCTGAAGTCGTAAATGAGCTGAAGCGTGTGAGATCCTCTTTTCAAGCTGGGGAGCCGGACCGTTTGAATGTCTTCATCTACCCACCATCCAGTGACGTAGGAAGGGACCTCCTGACCGTCGAAGCTAATTTCGATAGCTTCGGCATCTTCTAATGCAAGCTGGACGATTCCAGGCACATCGTGGTGGACGTCAAAGACGAATCTAACAGACACTCTGGACCGACTTTGACGTTCCTCCTCGGCGATCATCCATGGTTGCCTGCCACCCGCGGATTTGAAAGGGAGGTTCACTCGGGCTCGAACCAAGTTATCAATGCGCAAAATTTCTTCCACCGGTTCCCATTCTTTATCATGCCCTTCATGGCAACATGGACGGGATATGCTTCTTTGCGACTTGTATTGCAGATAAAGAGATAGCGATTAGGCCCATCCGCCCTCAGCTGATACAGAAGGGTATCCGCGCGGTCTCCAGCTCGTTGATATATTGTATCCTCGCTGAGATGTATGTCGATATCCCTGGAAGATTGGAGCACATTCAGAAGATGAAAACGAGTGAATTGAATGATATTTTGGGGGCCAAGATGGTTCGAAATGTGCAATTTTGACGGAGGAAGCTGACCATCCAGATACTTCGGCATGTCACCCAGCAGCAGAACTCTGCCACCCAGCTTCCCAAACCGTGAGAGTCGGCCGAGTGTAGTCGAGCGTATGGTAAGCAGGTCTGGAACAATGACGACCTCGTAACGACACTTGGATACTTGAAGGTACTCTCCTGTTATGTCTCCCAGAGAAGTCTGCTCCGGAAACAGACTCTCGCTGATGAAGTCAAAATCTATGTGACCAAGCAGAAGCCAGTTTGTCAAATCAACAAATGCTGCGTCGCGAGCCGCCAGTTCTTCTCCGGACTGGTCGTAGGGACCATAACGAAGCCAATAGCTTTCAATCGGGTGAATCACCGCGACTCGACAAACTGGAGATCCTCGCGTGAGCGCGATGTTCACACGGGAAAAGTGATCTTCGACCATCTTGTACTGGTCGCACCATGGGGACTGGTACCCAATCGCTGCTGGGTAGTCCCTCTTCGCTTCGCCCGCCATACTCTGCCAGGCCAAATGGTGGACACGCAATGTGACGCCCAAGGCTGCCTGCCAATCGCCCTGGCCCTTGTGACCCTCAAAGGTAAAGTCCCAGTTGGTGACACCGTAGATTTCGCTGACCATGCCCCGTAGGCCATTCTGACGGACAACACTTTGAGCTTGCTTCGCTGTTGTGAATTCTCTTCCATCGCAAAGTTGGTCCATCCCTGGAATATCCATATTCCGATAGCAACGCATGGCTTCTCCAAGGCTCTGCGTTTGCAGATTCAACGTGGCTTCCTGGTAGGCAAGTCAGGAACTTGAATTAAGAGATCAAGACTGACAGACCCTCAACATATGACCCGCCATGAGAATGTTATTAGATCGGCACCACTGGGAGATTGTGTCCAAGAAACATTGAACGAATCGCTCGGAAATCAGATTGTGATAGTCATATCGTGCACGACTCGGAGTACCATCAGGAAGATCCCAAATCAACTCTGGAAAACGATCGAGAGGATCATATCCAGTCTCCCCTTCGAAGAATGCGGGGAAATCCCGTGTCCATGGCCCAAATACGTCAACTTGTCCAAGGTGCGTTTCAAACCTAGCTTGGCTTGGAACTGAGGCTCGTCTGTAAAGATAGATGGAACTGTTCTTCCAAAGTCCCCGCCGACCTCTCGCTGAAATGCTTCATGCGTTGTCTTGATGAAATACTGGATCGCCTCCTTATTCAGAACATCGACATAGGTGTCATTGTTGTAGAATTCGGAAGGCGGGTTGGGCTCGACGTAGAGGTGCCAGACATTTTTGCCAGTTTCGGTAGGCCGAAGCCGTTTGTATGACGCGAGATGACCATGCTCTGTGAGCGTAATGTCGTAGCTTGCTATATAATCGCCGCATTCACTTCGAACGGGAGAGGTGCTGGTCTTCCGACCTGTTCTACAAGCCTCCGTTAATGGCTTATTAGCAGAGGATACTCAATGTCGCGTACCCCACGGTTCCTTCCGGTGCTTCTCCATACTTCCACGGGGTGAGTAGATAGTGCAGACCGCGATGTTCAGGATGATCTTTTAAAACTATGCCTCCGGCGTAGCCACTAGGCCATCGATCCTCGTCGTACAGACAAGTAAGCATATTCTTCTCCTTCGCCTTCTCAACACTGGCTCTCAAACACTCCATGAATTTGGGTCCCAGATACTCAGAATCCAGTCCAATTCGGCTGTGGATGTGAACGCCTCCCATGCCCATTCTCTGGAAGACGTCCAGCTGGCGCAGGAGTTTCTCCTGATCGAGTTTGTTGTTCCATGACCAGAAGGGTGATCCTCGGTATTCTGCCGTGGGTTGCCGGAACAGGTGATCGTCGAATGGCTCAGCAGATTTAGGGTATGTTAGAGGATTCAAGCAGTTTGCTTGATTGCTCCCTGGGATGTCGCCCATGATGGTTTGACGACGGGAACAGTCGTCAGTTTATGATGCAAATGAGAGGTGAACCGATCAACCCTGGTACCTCACAAGAGATCGTCGGCACAGTAGTCGCCCCGAAGCCCGGCGGTAATGAAGCTCGGCCCCACCAAATGAAAATAGCTCAGGAACCAGGGAGGAATTTAATCAAGATTGCAGCGGTAGCCACGGTACGGATCAAAACTTGGTGCCGTCGGTTTGGAACGGGGCCGACGGAACAATTCCTGAGAATTTTGGCAGCTGTCGACCCTTTGGCGGGGCCCCGATGCAAATCAAAGGCGGGCGTACGTGGGGTAGAAACAAGGACAACACAAGGAGCAAACAGTGTCCGCACATTTTGTGTTTGTTGGAACCGAATCGGGCCGAGGTTATCCGAACATCCGAAGAGCCGAATTCATCGCTAAAGAGCTAACCGAAACCGAGTGACCGTCCTTCCCCGTACCGTTCAGAACCCCACAGTGCGATTCTTATTGCGGCCAATTGAAATGCCGTCACGGACAACGCGAACAGTATAATACGCTTCTTGCATCCACGCACGCTTCCAGTGCACGTTCGGTCGCTTGCCAGGAAAGTTCTCTTCACTTTTTCCTTAAACCTCTCGTCGCCGGAGCGCTCAGCAGCATTGAAGGCAGCGTTTCAATATGGGTTTCAAGATCATCGAGGATCGTCCTACACCGAAGGAAGTTGTACGTCAGTTTCAAATCGTTTCTTTTTGCATGGCCTGATCAGCATCGACAGTACAACATCCAAACGTATTGGACAGGCATACAGATTGCTTGGGGTGCCTTGACCTTTGTACGTTTGCATCCGCGCGAATGTGGCAACTTTGTGTCGACCACGATCTCCTCAAGTCATTTGTTGACTGATTATCCAGGGTTATGATGGTGCTTTCATTGGTACAACGCTCACGAGAGCCTCCTTCCAGCGCGATTTTGGTCTGATCAAAATGTCCACAACCGACAAAAATAATGTCAGCTCGAATATTACCTCCATCTTCTCCGCCGGCGCTTTCTTCGGGGCTATGTTCGGATGGCCCATCATGGAGCGGTATGGCCGTCGTGTCTGCCTCCAAGCATCCGTCTTTGTCTTTATCATCGGTGGCATTCTTTGTACGGTCGCTACCGATCAGCTCCGCATGATCTACGCTGGCCGTCTCTTCACTGGTCTTGGATGTGGTGGAATCACTGCCGCGACACCGACTTATCTCGCGGAGATAGCCCCCCCTCCCATTCGCGGCCAAATGACCGGTTTCTTCGAGATTGCCTACCAGTGTGCGTCCGTTATCGGCTTTTGGATAAATTACGGCATTGGCCAAAACATGGACTCGAACGATAGCAAGGCGTGGCGCATCCCCATGGCGGTGCAGATTATCCCCGCAGGCATGCTCGGTATCATGTCGCTCTTCTTTGTTGAAACCCCTCAGTTCTTGTTCAAGCGTGGGAGGGACGAGCAGGCGATCAAGAACTTGACTTACCTCCGCGGCTTGCCTGTGGAACATCATTGTGCGTATGGTGCGTCGTTATCGTGTACATCTGTCCCTTACCCCTATATGCAGATGTCCAGGAGGATATCGCTCTTATCCAGCTCCAGATCAACAACGAGCGCTCCATTGCCATCGGAAAGACAGATAGCATCTGGGGCTACCTCCGAGGCTCATTCCACGAACTTAGCCTCCCGGGAATGCGCAACCGCGTGTTCCTCGCGTTCATGATGTTCATGTGGCAGAACTTTTCGGGAGCCGCCGCAATAAACTACTACAGCCCGACTCTCTTCGGCGCTATCGGTATCACCAAAACCTCACTGTACACCGGTATCTATGGTCTTATCAAAGCTGCCGGCTCGATCATCTTTTATATCTGGTTCATCGATCGATGGGGGCGTCGCGAGCCGTGGATCACATCGTCTATTCTCTGCAGCATTTGCATGGTATACCTTGCCGTGTACGTGAAAGTCGGTCATCCCGCGGGTGAGACCAACCTCTCTCCATCGACAGCTGCAGGAGGCAAGGCTGGAACTGCTATGATAATGCTCTATTCGTTCTTCTGGTCTTTTGGTGCGAACGGTCTTCCGTGGATCGTCGCTGCGGAAATCTATCCCCTGAACGTACGTGGCGTCTGCGCCGCTTACTACGCTATGCTCCAATGGCTTTTTGGCTATGTCATCACCAAGGCCCTCCCCAGCATGTTCACGAGCATGGGGTGGGGTGTATTCCTCTTTTTCGGGTGTATGCTCTTTGGTTCTGCGGTGTGGTCCATCTTTTTCCTTCCCGAAACAAGTGAGTACACTATTTACCTCGGTGGCATCGATAGTGACTGAGAATCTATTCTAGAGGGTCTTTCGATGCCAGAGATGGATGTGCTGTTCGGCTTCGTCGGAAAGGATTCCGACTATAAACGTCGTATCGATGAGATCAACGCTGGCAACATTGGCAAGACGGAGGTTGCTGGTTCCGATAATCCCGTGTTAGGGCCTGAGAAGCTGAGCGAGGAAGTGTAATGATTCCATACCTATGTACGACACGTTGGAATACTCGAGATTTTTTGGGTTTGAACTGGGTTTACGATACCGGATTTCCTAGGTTTGCTGTGACGATAATACGACCCCCTATTCTATACGATCAATGCTGGTCAGACCATGGGCGGAATATCGCCTTCTTTCCCGGGAGAAGTTCTCCGCTGATCAATCGGACCAATGCGCAACCGATGTAATAGCGGGCAGTCGCGGCCCCACCCTGGTCTTCTTATACAGTAGCCACATGTGCAGCGAATCATACTATGCCAGCGGACAGCCTTTCAGGCACGTTTGACTACTAACAGCCGGCGGTATGCTGTTTAAAGCGGGCCGAGTACCTTTCGAGAACGCCAGAAAGATAATAAAGACAACCTTTTTGGGGAATTCTTTCAGCTGTCGGCGGGAGCTGCGGAACGGGGTGTTATCACCGCCAGCGATACCGCGGAACAGAAGGCAGTGATGGACTTCACGAAGCAGGAGAATAAGCTAGAATATGTCACAACGCGTGGAGCGATATTATCAACATGTCTAGATCCCGGTCTGATTCTAATAACACGACGTCATCGGTTATTCGCCGTCGGAATTACTGGTCATGATGCCAATGGATAGGGGTGTCCCTTTGAATGTGACTTGACATATGGGGGGATAATTCGGCAGTGGCTGACCCTTCCATAGAATTACAAGTATTAACATCTAATACAGCCAATTTCGGGATTTGTGCGCCGGTAGCGGCCTACTTAGATCCACACAGCAGTCGCTGAGAAGTAAATAATAATCGAACAGAGAGGAGGAGAACATATTCAGCACAGAACCGTTCCGAAAAGGAAAAGGAAGACCAAGTAAGGACAGACTGAGATCCCGCCAGCAAAGATCATACAATGCCCATGGTGGCACCCATGTTACCTAAAGGGTTCGTCATGGAGTTCATGGGGTTACCGAGTGTCCCGAGCGTGCCGAAATCGATATCAATGCCGATTTCAGTACCAAGGGACAGGGTATGGGGTAGGCCCATTCCGAGGCCTAGATTATCCAAAGAAAGAAGGTTGTCGAAACCCTGCATGGGGCTGAGGTCGTCTAGCGGGTCTGGAGGAAGCTGAGGAAGGATGGCGCCCTGCAGCCCATTAGGTGGTAGGCTCTGCATTTCCGGCGGGCTCTCCACTTCGACCAGCGTCGCAGCACCGTTAAGTGACGCGCTGCCAGTACCACCACTAACGGAGACGCTCGTCTCCCGGCTGGGGTACAGATTGAAGGGTGTCGTGCCGGTAACGACGCCAGTCATCGGGCCAATGCCGGTGTCCCACATTTCCTTATCTTCGCAGTGAAGCCGGAGCCTCTCCTCAACTTCGCTCATCTCGGCTTCCAGCAATTCTGCTAGCATTTTGCCGAAGCGTTGGCCTAGAGGCACCTTCTCACCTATTCTCGATAAGGCGAGCCTGACAATTCGCTAAGTTACAATAACCGGAAGATGCTTGGTATATCCTTACTGGAAGACCTGGATTTCTCCACGAAGCGTGATTGCCGCGTCTCGATCTTGACCATCAATCTTGGCTTTCAAGAAACGGACAAGGACACGAGCAGCGAGGTACCATGCCTGCTGGAAGGCTATTAGTAAGCTGGCCGGCCGATGACCAAGAAAGAGTACTCACACAGCACGCATGAATAAGTAAGGTGATGTCGAATGACGTGCTGCATAGGATGTATACAGTGTGTAGAATGGCCCGTGCCGCAGACAAAACTCGGTCTGCCGAAGGGTCGTTGGGATCGGTAGCAACAACGTGCGGATCATGGAGGTGGATGACGGCTCTAAATTTGGATAGATAACTCAGAACGAGCAGAATGCTTCGGAAAGTAGCGGCACTTACAAATGGGGGAGTACGGCAACCATATACAAGTTTGCATCAAATACATTCCCACTGTCTGCCTTGAACGGATCACGGAACTTCGCTGGCAGCGAATAAACGAATGCTGCGATCAGACCATCAAGTTGCTTGAATGCTGGAGCCTCCCGCGGGTTTGACACACCGACGGCTTGGGGACTGGTGCGGAACCTAAGGTTGTGTAGATGGACTCGGGACATGAGATGGACCGCCTTCACATGCATGCCGAACGCGTCAAGGATCTCCTGAGGGTGCGAAGTAAGCACGTCTACGGTCCCCAGCCGTTGCCGTGGATACTCCAGCTTGATGCCTTGTTCCCAATCTGCCTGACATATAGGAAGCTCCGTGGAGATGTCTTGCTCATCTAGCGAGTTTGCCCAGGTGGCACTTGCGCAGGCGTACTAATCGTGTCGTCAGTCAGCAAATCACCCGCGGATGGAATAATTAGGCGCACTCTTTCTAACAGATACGCGGCCCAGAACGTGTTCCTCCTCATCTCCATGTCGATCCTTCCCTCAACCGTGTCAGGGAGAGAAGGAAGAAGCGCGGTCTTCCCGGACCTGTTCAAGGTCGTAGGGATTTCGTCCGAAACGTTCAGTCCCAATGGAACCGCTTGTCGAAGAGCGACTCCGGACCAGATCCATAGCTCGACCCATCTCGCCTGGGCAAACCAGTACCATCCCAAAATGGTTATGGCTAAACGTAGAGTTGCCATGTTAGCATACATTTGGGATATGTCCGCTGGGAACGGGCCGTCGCACCTTGGAAATTCTCAACTAGATGTAGCCCTAGCGCTGTACTCTCGTCTGCAGAGCTCCTGGCCAAGCGCGCCTGTAAGTCACCAAAACTCTCCGGGCGTTTCACAGGCTTCTTTGGCGGCTGATCGCCCTGGTCTGGAGGCGGTGTATCTTGGATGATAGGGGTTGGAACCGCGGGAGAGAACATGGACGCATATGCGCATATAGCATGCAACAGAGATGCGGGAGGGAAGAGAGGGTCTGACGGAGAGTGGGTAAGGCCATGGAGGAAGGAGGGTCTATGAATAATCCGCGCAGCGAGGGGGAAATGGGCAAAGAATACATCAACGCTACAAGCATACAAGTCAGGGATCATGAAACAAGCGTTAGACCAAATCAGGACATACAGGTGATGCAGCATGTCTGGGAGAGGGAGATGCGCCGGCCAGTTGTTGAAGAACATCGGACCAAAACTTTGTGGTGAACCGTTCGCAGAGCTGTTGGCGCTCATCGATGGTGTGAGATCAGGCGTTCCAAATAATGCGGTTAATCCGGTTACAGGTTGGTTGTATGGCGTCGTCGCAGTGCTGCTGAATGGTTTCGATCCGTTTAAGCCATGGAAGATGCCTCCATTGACGTAGGGAGGATCGGGATGCAAGTGCGAGTGAGGGTGCGTCGGTCGTCCCGGGAGGTTCTTTTCGAGCTCCCCTATGCGCGCTTTTAGATGGTCGATCGTTTGCGCGTCGTGCATAGTGTTTCCTGGCACGAAGTCCCAAGGATCGTCGTAGGTACATGCTGGAGTTCCGCCCGCCGTGTCGGAGATCGTCTGTCCTCTTGCTTTCCACGATCTCACACATCCCCCACAAAATGGTCGTTGTGCATCGCTGTCAAGCGCGATGAGCGATCAGGGGTAAACGAACTGAGGATGCAGGTAGATACTCACCACTTTTGTTTACGCTTCCTGCATGTATGACATGCCTGGTTGCGAGCGAGGGTAGGCCCTGTCGCAGGAGCTGCTGCTTTTGGCATAGAGGGGGTGATAAAGATGAATATATGCGCTCAAATCGAGGGTAAGAGGGAGCGCGTGCGCGCTGATGTGACCGGGGGTGGGTGGGAGTGCCTCAGTCAGATGCTTGTCTCTTCCGTTCAAGATGGGGGGAGGTAGACAAGATGGTGGAGATGAAGTTTGCAGCCTGTTGAGGTGGTGGTGCTGGAGTAGGAGGGGAGTAGGATGGTCGAGGGGGAGAGTAGGGTTCGTTTGTTCAACCGGCGGTGGGGGGGGTGGTGTTGCTGGGATGGGGGGCCCTAAGAAGAGAACGAGCTTTGGGAATTGCAGAGCGTTTATTCAGTTCAGGAATATGGTCTTGGGGTGTGCCGACGGAAGCATATCCTCGGCTGGTGCACAAGACTGATGGCGAATTACACAGATACAGCCATCCTCTCTTCCTTCTTTCGCCACCCAGAGGCCCACCAGACTCATGCTCATGTAATCAACTTTGCTTCCATGTGGGACACACGCGTAAAGACAACAGGGCAAAAACGGGCCAGAAACAGAACACAGAACCATGCACACAGCCTGCCATTATCCCATTCATCATCCCTTTCCCCCTTTAGCACATATATGCACCTCTTTTTTACCCTGCCACCCCCCTCCCGTTTACATGAATGTATCAACCCCTCCAAATGGCAGCACAGCGCATTTGTACAATAACTAAATACCCAGAACCATATCCACCAATCTGATGCACCGCAGCCACGCGGGGCCTAACCTCTTACATCCTCGCGAATTCTGACCAGTATCGCGCTTCGTATCGCATGTCCCACCTGATCTCATCTCTCTATGAATTGCGTCCTTCGCGCCCGTGCTCCCGTCCATTTTGCCCAATTTCAACCCGCAAACCTGTGCAAATTACCGGCGGATCTCGTCCCATCCTCCTCGCCCTCAATAGCCGGCGCGCGCCCCGATAATTTTAGGTCTCCTCCCCTCTTTCCAACTTGGCCTTGCCGGACCCCAGGGAATATCTGCGGAAACGGCCCGATGCTTCCCGTCGTCATTTCCCATACTCGTGTCCGTTCTCTCGATCTTTGTCTTTGCTCTGACCCGATGGAGCATCGGTCCGCCCGGCACAATTCTCATCCCACTCGGCACATGGGCGGATTGTCACTGGAAATGTTTGTATGTCCACAACCTCCGGTTGTCCAAACCTGTGGAGCGCGAAGTCAACTTCTAACATATCTTGTCTACTAGTGTGCCCTTGGCGTCACTATCTTCAACCTGCGATCTAAATTTACACACTCTCATGTCTCAGGAATCGCCCAGTTCTTGCCGCAGACAAATCCTCTAGACATAGGAGGACATCCGCTCAATCAATGATAACACGTAAATGGCGCAACTTTCTTACGCCCTGATTCCCACTCAACTGGGGTATCCCTGGGGCGCGCCAAATTCCTGGATCTTTCCCTACGGACCGATGATAGCCGTATCGGCAGCGGCACCCAAGGCGCATCAAAGCATTCTGACCAGCGGAACCTCCCCAGTATGTGACCCCTGCGGACGCTGCCGCGTCATAGGTTTCTGCAACTTCTGTTCGAAGCGCGACGAATATTCGCACACAAGATAGGTCACGAGGATTCTGCGGCCGTAAATCTAACTCATCTGTTCAACCCCGTTAGGCACCGAGCCCACGGGTCAGGGGTAGCTTCCTATATACGGAAGGCCGGTGTACTAATTGGGAATAACAGAAACCAGGACGTCATATCTACTCGACTCATCCACCCCTATTTCTAACACCAACCGAATAGCCGACTTATTCTCAAGGCGCCATCTTACCAACGTGGGCACGAAATCTGTCCTAACACCCGTTGTCATCTGTCACTGCGAAAGCCTGTGGAAACAGCCCAGATCGCAGTGCGGAATGTCTCGGCCGGAAGGTGCGATTGAAATGGCAAGTCTGAACCCTGGTAGGGATTCCAAAATGAACAGAAGCTTCTTTATTCCAGACGACAACCTCATATGCCAGACAGCATATCGACGCAGTGCTTTTTGCAACCGTGCTCTTGGCCCTCGGTCCAATTCAACAACTCCGCGGCTCTGACAAGACCTTGTCTCTGTATGGCGCCAACAACCTGGTAACATGAGTCTGCAAAGGAGGACTTGCAGTGCAAAAACGGTGCCGTTGACCCCTTGGCCTAGATCGAGACATCGCCATATGTCTCTCGCGTGTTCCCCACATATCGTCAGGGGCACTTCCATCCTCCGTTCCGTCCCTACGGCAATTCCAGGGCGCCGACATTAAGCGCCTCCTAATGCCGGTACCGGCCCTTCCTGAACATACTTGGAGGTCGACCCCTGTTGATCAGTATTGCAAGTGCCAGACACCAGTATACATTCGGTACACGAGGGTATTCGACACTGCCAAGTTGTCCCTCCATTGTAGCCCCACACGGGACAACTCCGAGAATATGTCGTACGAGCATCGATGACAACCATGTCGCTGCCGGATGCTGTACTGTGCGCTCTTTCTTCCTGACACCAAACCCTTGGGCTGCGCAGGCAATCGGACGTGTGCACACCTCGTGCAAACACTACGTTTCTTTGTCACACCTGCGTCAGTCGCTCGCAGGCAGTTCTGTTGACACCCACCATCGGAAATGTCCCGGCTTGCCATCGGGAGAGAAGTGAAAGAGACAGAGCGACTTCTCGCTTAGGCGTCTTACAACGACACACCATGTTTACAAATCTTTGTCCCTCGAGACGCAGTTGTAAAGACTACAAGTACACGATATACTGCGGATCGGGAGACTCCGAGAACAATATGGAGAGTCGGGAAACACAGTCGGGACATCTTGGGCGCTTTTGGATGAATCCGGGAAGACGACTGACGATGGTTAACCAGGTGCATACCGACGATTGTAGCGAGTCGGGCATGATGCCCAAACATGGAAGGATGCCCGAGGACCCCTATATGCTTAGGTAAACAAACTCCGGTGCTCCGCCATACCACACGGTTGCCGGTGCTGTCAGACATCATCGCCCACAATTGTAGAGGTACAGGTTCACAAGGTCCGTCGGTTAAGTCGTCGAATCCGCTGGCGAGATGGTAACAAACGCTGATCGTGGCGTACGCAGAGCCCCACAATTGCATCTACCAGCAAGGGTATTAGCAACCAACTGAATGCGCGACCCGATTTCCTCGGAATTAACGGCCTTGAAGAGAGGTCCTCTCGCGTATACCATACATATGCCGCAATTCTTCCGCATGAATTCACTTTCAATGCATACGATTGAAATCGATTTTCCCGATACTCGCGATGCCTTATGGCAACCATTCCAATTCGGCACATCCACGGCCCGTGATGAATGTTCCTCGAATCTGCCAGTGACGCGACCTATACTTAGCTCGACGAGCTCTGGAACAGGATCTATAGTGCCCTCGCGGAACAGAAAGATTCTCAATATGAAGGGCACCTTGTATCGGAAATCGCGACTCCACTTCGTCTCCGTCGCGAGATGTTGATCTTGGCACTCCTCCCCATACAGTCAGCGGCGATTGGCACGTGTGTCGGCACCGAGAAACCAGCCCTCGCAAATCATCGTATGGGACGAATATTCGAGCAGACATACGATTTTGATTTAATGGCCACCCATTTTGCCACCCCACCGTTCTTTTTCCCCCCTCAAAAAATACGAAGCAATCCTCAATTTGGGCGCAAGCTTGGCGGTATAACTCCAAACTCCATCTTGGAAAACAAAGCTGCGATGCGGAACCTTGAAGTGGCAATGGGAATCGAACCGGATGCTCCAGATGACCATCTCTCGGCTGGAGGATAGGGACTCTCCCAGGTTCTGGGCTCTGACTGCGTCGGCTATTCTCCGAGTCACTTGCGCTGATATCAACCAGAAAAGTGAAGGATATTTTCCGGAGAAATGCCTGACCACGGTAGATCAGCGCTGCAATGAGGACGCGCGCATGTGGCTGGGCATCACCATCTCTGCAGCATTTACCCGTGACGTTGGGTCATAATCACCATCGACACGAAATATCTAGAAGATGGTGTTCAATTTAGGGCGCAATTAATTAACTCCACACCATGGCAGTATCATTCTATCTAACCGGTGCATATCGCGGCCCAAGCTTATCTGGCAGAGCGCGGCGAGCAGCGCGGAACAAGGTCCCAAGGGATGATCTCAAGTCTTCCATCCGACTTCATTTTTCCTACAAACAACCGGCCAGCTGGGTATGCATACGCTAATTTTCGCGATGCACTGCGCTTGCGGCCTCTCTCAACCCACACTATAGGGATATTGGCGAGCGATTTCACTGCAGAAATGACCTCGGAGAATCTACACCCAATGCTGTGCATTCCCGACTTGACACCCGAGAAAATATCTGGGCTAGAAGCTCTTCGAAAAGACATCATCACTCTGTCATGTAGTCGAGCCTGCAACCGAGCAACACTTGTCATTCGTTCATGTGCTGGAGCAGCCCCTCGAAACCCATGTGTCGCGTGTCTCGCTCTTATGTCCGCTCTCTTTCTTACAGAAAACGGTGAAGCTGTGTTGGAAGAAGGTTGCCAGTGTAGACCGCGTCATCCACATCGTATACTGCACTCAGTGCGACATTCGCTGCCTTGGCACGTATCTCCTCCTGCGTGCTGGGGTCACACAAAACCCGAAGACTCGCTTCATGCCATTAAACAACGAGTTCCGCCGTCCAATCGAGCATGGAAACTGCCGAGGGCTTTCTTGGACGTTTCAGGAGGGATCAATTACACTTGATTCGGGGACAATGGCAAGTTCGATCGGTTGTAACGCCGACTTCAAGCTGCGTTATCGCCGTGTGCCCAATTAGGGCACATGTCTTTCAGGAGCAGAGATATTGTATTATCCTCTCTTCCAAGCCGTCTGCAGAACAGTGGCATTTGGACAATATCCCTACATTCTTCATCAAATCGTGATAGCATGATCAAAAGCGCTTGTTCGACGGTTTTCGGGCCCTGAGCGAGCTATGGACAACAAAAAATGTGCCTGACCCTCACTTCTGCCGCCTCTATGGAAACCCTCCGCTGCCTCGCTTGTTTCCACCGACTGCCAAGGCTCGTCCTTCACCGCCTATTGGGTTCGCAGAAAAGCCACGAGCTGACAACGCTGCCCCAGCCGCAGCTAAACCTCGTGTGAAGTGGACCTGATGCCGTCACTCTCGGAAGACCAACGTATCATCCTGTACAAAACGGTTTCACAGGTGCGACCGGGTTGAAGCTGTAAGCCCCGCTGGGACCTATCTTCTCCTGATTCTGGAAGCGAGGTAGTTTGTTCTGGATGTGGCTCAAAAACATGGTACAGACAGCACAGGATCACCGCTCCTTGAAGAAATCCATGATGCAATCGATTACAAGGCTGTGGCTGAAAGGGGTCCACAGTTCGATGAAGAACGGGGCCGTAGGGTGTAGCAAAAAAAGACGGTTTCAACGGTATGTTATTTTCACAGGTCTTGTCCCACGTATTCCCTGAGGATGGTGTATAGGGCCAAGAAAAGGAGAGTTCTTACAGGTTCATTGTTCCTCTCACACGGCCATTACTCCGGCCCGTTTCTTGGCCAGACAATAACTGACCAAGTGGCCCAGCAATACCCAGCCGGCAAGATGTCTTTTGACTCCACTTTTATCTCCGATAGTCTTCTGTTGACGATCGTGCAAGAGATAATTGGTGGCTGGGCTGCTCCTTCCCGGTGGATTCCTCTGTGCGTGGGTAAAGAAGTCCGAATATTACAAGCGATCGTGCATTCATTGCAGCGCTCTTGACTGCTTCTAGTTCTGCGACGGTCCGCCACGGCTGTCGTGCGTTGGGACGCTCCAGCTTCCCGGCACTTTTGCGTCCCGTTCGGCGTGTCGTACGGGGAAACTGTCACCGGTGCCATCAGAGGAACTAATGTGCCTGGCTGCGGCATACAATTCGCTGGTACCCAGGGAGCTCGGCACGGAGTGTAAAGGATCGAGTTGCACTGGTGTTAGTTCAGATGTTCTGCAACCGCTTTGCTCCAGGGTGGCCGAACCCGCCGGGCACTGGAACGCTGGGGAAGCATCACATCACTACATTAAGCAACTGTACGACAAAACGCATGTTCCGTTTGTGAACATTGGTTCTTTTTGGCGCCCGAATCAATCGCAGGACGGGATCATGTATTCAGCCGCCTGTCGTTTATCCACACGGAACTCCCCGGAACATGGGGCTTTCATTCACGTAACTTGTAGCATAACCATCTTCCTTCCAACCCCATTGAGTATCTCGTCCCTTTGATGCAATGATTCTGCCCGAGAGCAGGGTCTCGCAGAGTATTCAAATGAGAATTCGTCGTATTGCCGTTGTGTTCCACTCCTCAGAGGCTGTTCGCGAACTCCGCACATCCCTCTAGATGTCTTTGATGAGGGAGAAACGCCGGACATCCAACCCCGAGCTGCTGCGGCACTGTTGAAGGAGACATTCTCTAGAAGTTTGGAAGCCCCAACCCTGAGGCCCTTCACTGATGGGAAATTCGGGATAAGCTCGGCGAAAACTGTATGAAAAAACAAAATCCTGAGCGCGTAAGAAACCACCTGATTGTAAATGATGGATTTTTGGAGTTCTTCACAGCGATAATCAAAGTACGGAATGCTGCCTCTTCAGTATTCTTCAGTGGATAGTCTAATTAGGTACAACAAACGAGAAATACAACAGGAACTTTGCTAATTCCCACGGTCCATCATCGAAACATGATCCTAACTCTTCCCAAGTCCGCCCGTGTCCTCCCATGCTCCTCCTTCCCCCCAAGCGGTACACCCCCAATCCTCGCCAGCCAAGCCTCCATATCCTCCCAACTCACCCCAAACATCCAGCACAGCTCGTCCCCGGAATGTGTGCCGTCCAGCAGCTGGAGGAGCTCTGTTGGCACCTGCGCGGGAGGGGCGAAGGAGACCCCCACTCCTGCTGGCGGGGTCGTGCCGGGGGTAACGACGCCTGGGCTGGGGGAGCGTGGCTGTCTTGTCGGGAGGGGCGTGAGCGAGTCCGAGCGAGGTCGGGACGGAGCATAAGGCCGAGCAAGGAGTTGTCGCGTGAGGTTACTCCTCTGCCCATGCCGTCTTCCGTGTAGTGAATAGTTCTGGCCTACGCTGTCCCTCTCCCTGTCCGTAGCAGTCGGTGTGCGGCTCCTGGTCCTCCCTGGAGTGTGCTCGCCATCTCCCTCCCCATCGGACTCTGCAGCAGAGGGTATGTAAACAGGATACCGTTCCACCCGGCGCAGGAAGCCCTTTATAACTCCAAAAGTGATAAACCGGCAAGCGTCGAGCGTGACCTCGTCCCACACCCCGCACTCGTCTGCCCATTCGGCGACCGTCTTCCCCGGCTTGAACCGGTTGTAGAACCGCAGGAGGGTGGACCAGGGCAGAGGTGTTTTCGTTGGTGGGGTGACGTATACCGGGCATTCGGAGGTGACGACGGGGTCCATGGCGAGGTACTTGAATGCCGGGGTGAGCATGTAGATATTCGAAGGGGAAAAGAGGTCGAGTAGCATCACATGTTGGTAGTACCTGTTCCGCACTTCACTCAGTTGCACTCCAACTCTCCGATCGCAAACTTACAAAAGATGCTCAACGCACCCCCTCACCCAGTCCAAGTCGACATCCGCCTCCTCCGCAATCCGTCCCACGCATCGCACACCATCGACCCACTGAACAACCCTAACCATCGTCACATCACTACTTCCATCCAGCTTGCTCCTGATATCCACAAGCGCGACGGGGACGTCCCAGTCCCGTACGCGACTGGGGTTGGGGTAGAAGGGGAAGATCTTGAGGTCTAGCGTCGTGTGCGGCGTCAGAGGGATAGAAGATTCGCTGTACGAGTTGAGGTCTTCGTATAGCTGTTCCAGGAGTGGGTAGATCCTACCCGCTGTCAAGGGGGAAGAGAGGAACAAGCTATCTTGCTGTTCTACCTCATAAGCCCTCCCCTACACAACCAGGAGGAAGACGTACCTCGCACTCAGTCAACACCCTCCCCACTTTCCGCACAACAGGCTCCAAACACCCCAGATCCGCATTCCTCTTAAACACAAAACAGCAATTAAACCGGAATTCGTTCCTGGTGTACCGAGAATGCTCGAGCAGCACAGGGAAGCCAGCGATCTTGTGTGTCGGGGTGGTGCAGATTACGAGTCGGTTGCAGAGCTGTGTTTTGGGGATGACGAACTCGGACACGTCGTTGAAGTCGAACAGGGGGACAGGGGGCTTTCCGGTAGGTGCACTTGCAGGTGCAAGGGCAGGGAATGCGCTGCTCGAGCCTGAAGCTGATGTGTGGAAGGACGTTGCGGTTGTTGGGGAAACTGTGGGCGTTGCGGACACTGCGTACCTCGAGGCGACGAGTCCTTCTGGCACTTGATAGGCAACTTTTGGACCTTTGGACGGGTCGAATACTGCATAGAAGACAGCTTGAATACGCGGTAGGAAAGATTCATCTGGTTCTGTTGGACGCATTGTTGTAATTGTTGGAAATTGATATAATTTGTGTGTGGGGAAGAGAAGGGTCCTCGAACGTCAAAGGCAGAGAGTAAATATCCTCTATCCGAATTTCGTACAACTACAGTCCCACAACGGGCAAACCGTCTGCAGACGACTAAGTAAGCTGAGGCTCCTTCATCATCTCCTTCTTAATCTTGAGCAACACCGCCGTCTTCCAGTTGTCCAGCCTCGTAACCCTATCAAACTCGGCAACCGCAGCGGTAAAGTCATCCACATCGTCGTTCTCCACAGCGTCGATCAGCTTCTGCACAAACTGCGCTTCTCGCGTAGAGCCAAAGGTGATATCTTTGCTGATGTACTGGTCGAGGTCACGCTTGGCGGAGATGGCATCCTACCCGCGCATTATGAGTCCAAGGATGAGTTAGCGCGCACAGGCGTGGACGCACGGGGATTGCCAAAGCACACAAGAGCGCACGGAGCCAGTACTCTTTGACGCTATACCTCGTGAGGGATGAAGTGAGCGAATGGTCCGCGACCTGCTGGTACCGCCCAATCGCTTGTGGGTAGTGCTCCAGCTCTGCGTGCAGGTCGGCGGCTTCCTTGAAGCAGCCGTTAGCGGTTCTATAGAATGTCAGCATAAGCACATCATACTAGAGAGAGTAGAAGTGCAAGTGCAGGTAGAGATAGAACATGGACGCACGCAGTAGCATCCTCCTGAGAGTACCAGTCACCCGCTCGCTCAAAACTCTCCACAGCGCGGGCAAGGTCGTGCGAGTCCTGAAGGTAGATTTGGGCAATCTCTTTCTCCCTGTCGGCGGCTTGACGGAACTTGCCGGCCTGAGTAAGGAGGGTGATCGTCTTGCTCAGAGCGTTGATAGCGTCTGTGAACTGGTCAGCAGCAGTAGGGAGGTGGGATGAAGGAGGACGTGGGAGAGGAACGGATGTTGGAGAGCGCACTGACCATCCGGGAATCCCTTCTTATACGCCTTTCCAGCATTCCACCACGCCGCCGCCGCCTCGTCCTTCTCCCCTTGCAACTCCCTGCACTCCGCCTCCCTAGCATGCGCGTCCCCCGCTTCCTTAAAGAGCTTGTCGAGCTTGAACGCGTTCGCCGCTTGCTGGAATAAGTCGCCCGCTTCTTCGTACTTTGATGCGGAGGAGGAGAACCAGCCTGGCGAGGACCGGAATTTCTTGTCGGCTTTGGCGAAAATGCCTTGGGCGGGTGAAGGTGCCATTGGTGTGTTGACGATGAGGACGAGGTGGTGGTGGTGGTGGTAGTGAACAGGGACGTGTGAAGGTTAACGTCCCTCTCTCACTGCCTCTCATCAACTCCTATCACTGCTTTCCTTGGCTATTTCTTAATAATAATCACAATAATATTAACATTAATAAAATGCAAATAAATAAAATAAATAACAATGACTGCAATAACGTATTCTATTATTCTATCGAAGCCCAATTGTAATGAATAAAATGTGTACACAATTCCTACCTCCACACCGTCCCTCTCCTCCTCCTCCTCCAATGTCCCGCCTACGAGTCTCCGTCGTCCAATCCTGTCCTCCTCAACTATCTCTCTCCTCTCGTTCACCATCCGAATCCCTCTCTCTAACACTCTCAAAGCTCGACGCCCTCACAGCCCAAGTCGCTGCCCAAAACTCCGGGTTTGCCGTCTTCCCAGAAGCGTTGTATGTCTCCCAATTTCCTTGTTACCGTCCTGCACTGACGGGGACAGCATTGGTGGATACCCCAAGTTTGCTACGTTTGGAGCGACGATAGGTGATAGGCAGCCTGAGGGGAGGGATGACTACCTCGCCTACTGGTCCGGTGCCATCCCTCTCCCAGCAACATCCTCCTTGCCCGTCCCTCCTGGTTCGCCCGTATTAGCAGAGTACACAGCGCTGCAGCAAATCCTTTCCACTTCGTCAAAACACGGCGTCTTCCTCGTCTTGGGGGTCATAGAGCGCTCGGGGGGAACGCTGTACTGTACCCTGCTCGCTGTGCACCCCGAGCATGGCCTGGTGGGCAAGAGGCGCAAGCTGATGCCCACTGCGGCGGAGCGTGTCGTCTGGGGCCAAGGGGAGCCGGAGGACTTGGACGTTCTCGTCACTCGTGTCAAAGGGCTAGGCAGTGAGGAAGAAGCAGAAGATGTCCAAGTGCGAGTGAGCAAGTCCGTTTGTTGGGAGAACTACATGCCCTTGCGTACGTCCCCGCTCTCCTCGAGGCATCCGCTCACCGCTGGCAGTACGCACCCACTTCTACTCGCAGAACGTCCAGCTATATTGTGCGCCTACTGTTGACTCCCGTCCTGCCTGGGAGCATAGCATGATCCACATAGCGCTCGAAGGCCGTTGTTTCGTCCTCTCTGCATGCCAGTTCTCCCAGCAGTCGAACTACGGCCCTGCGCACCCCGTTGGTCCAGGACAGGAAAGGGATAGCGAGGGAGTGGTCATCGCCGGTGGGAGCTGTATTATCAGCCCTATGGGAGAGGTGCTTGCTGGCCCACTTCGAGGACGTGAAGGTGTGTTGACGGCAGAGATTGACCTCGAGGACTGTGTGAGGGGGAAGATGGACCTCGACGTTACTGGGCATTATGCACGTCCAGACGTCTTCCAGTTAACAGTGCGCACCAAATGAAAAGTGAATTAATTACATTCAATTTGCAATAGACGTCCAGCTAGATCTTCCTCAACTTCTTCGCTCTCACACCGCCAAACTTGATCTTTGTGGTGTCGACGATGGCGCGAACACACGTCCTCATCCTCAACCCCTCCGACCCCAAGATACTCTGCATGACGGCGTCCCTACCCTGCCCAAAACCGTCGAGGTGAATCTCCAAACGGACGTCCTGCTTGTCCAGCAGCGTCTCTATAGCCTTGATCATCCGTAGTCCGCACTGATAGCCAGCCTCATACGACTCTCTGTTCACTTTCTTGAACCCGACCGTCCCGCCAGAATGCTTCAGTAACACCCTGCTCGGTGGTACGCGGACATGAACGAGCCTCTCAATCTCAGCGAGCGCACGGGCCTCCTCCTCTTGCAGCTTCTTTGCCTCCTGCGCCGCCTCATCCTGGTCTTTCTCCTTCTCCGCCTCCTCCGGTCGTTCTCCAACATTACTCAGGCCGACCTCTTGCTCCCACACACTGCCAGGCAGCGCCCCCGCAGTAGGGGAATTCAATGCACTCCCACTATCCTCCCACCCTCCTTGAAGCCCATGCCCATCCACACTGACTCCCCGAGCCCCAGATCCATACCCACTCCAACCCCCGCCTTCCTCGTTCAAGCTCACACCCGCAGCGACCCTCGCCCGCTCTTCCCGTACCCGCTTCGCAATCACGATCTGCGGCACGCTCTTCTCGCTCAGCGTGACGATGGTGTTGTTGCGCGTGGCATGGACCGAGAGGACGAGGTAGGTCACGGGTAGGTAGGGGCGGTCGTATGGGCGAAATGTAGTGGACGTCGGCGCGGGGGGGAGCGTGGTAGGCCGTGGCTCGTACGCTGTGGTAGGGGTAGGGTGGAACGCTCGTCGACATACAGGTAAAAGTCGTTGTGGGGGAGGTAATCGCCCATAAGCGCGTAATAAAGGCATCATCGTCCTTCTCCTCGAGCTCGCTGTCGTTCTGCTCCTGCTCGCCGTCGTTATACCTCTGCTCACCGTCCATGTCGCCAATAATTCTCATTGCGTGGCTGTGCACGGAAGCTGTTGACCCCTTGCCTATTTCCCGCTCTTCTCCGAGTTGACCATCACTGTCACTCTTCCTCGACCGTTTGCAGACAATCATGCCTGGTGTAAGTCTACAATCAAAGAATAATAATAATAACTAACAACATCTTTCATTTACTTTGCTGCAGCTCGCCGACACCCTATACAACACCATCTTCAGGCGCAACTCCGTCTTCGTCGCCAGCATCTTCATAGGCGCATTCGGCTTCGGCCTCGCATTCGACACCGCCTCAAACAGGTTCTGGGACTATCATAACCGCGGTGTGCGTCCTCATTCTCATTCATGTGTTGATGGACGAAGCTTACTGGGCTGTAGAAACAATGGAAGGATATTCGGGACAAGTATGCCACTCCTGCTGAGGGAGAGTGAGCCTTCCGTGTCACCCTGCGATGGTAGGAAGAGGGCGGCTGAGGCTTGTCAAAGAAGGGAAGAGGGCATAGAAAACGCGTACTATACCGTGCACGGAGCACCGTCGCTCCAAAACCGAAATGGCATAATCCTTTGCCCATCCTTTGCTCAACAATGTCTGCAGCACCCGATGAATGTCTAGTTGAGCGGGCCGAAGAGGGCAACACTGGTATATGCACAAATCTTTGGAAATAAAGTGTAAGTTAACACCAAGCTCGCTAATCAGTCCTCTTCTTCGGACCCATCTCCATCTCCTCTACCCTGACAGCGCTATTCAACCTCCTCCTCCTCTCCTGTTTCTTCTCGTTCATCACCCGTCCCTTGGCCGGTCTTGCAAGTCCAAGGAGGGGGAATGCCACTCCCAAATCTCCTCGACCGTGTTGGGGCTCTCGGAAGCCTGGCCCGGAGTAGGTGAGCATGTCGATTGGCGGGTTGAGCTGCGGCCAGGAGACGTAGGACACCCCGTGAGCTTGGATGAAGTAGAGACTTAGGAGCGCAAGGAGCGTGAATATGATGTTGAACGGGAGGATGGGAAGGGTCGCTGTGGCACATTCCGCGAGTGAGCAAGAGGTTGAGCAGAAGAACGGAGTACATACAGGTAGACCGCGGAAGGAGCGCTCCCGCTGCGAGCATGACCAGCGCAAAGAGGAGAACGTACGGCATGCTCCTTACGAGCACGCTCCTCTGTTCCCACCCAGCGACGGTAGCGCCTCTCCGGGCACGCCACGCGCCCGTGAACAAATCGTACGCATCTTGTCGCGCACCGTCCAAGAACTGGTTCTTGAAGTATCGCGATGCACCGTTCATGAAGTCGTTGATCGCTCCCTCCCGCGTACGCTTGCCTGTGCGGGTAAAATCTGACTTGAGCGCACCCGTGCCGGCGTAAGCGAAGGCAACGGCATCTCCATGGTCTGCCCAGACTGTATACATAACAAGAAGCACCGTTAGTTCGTCTCCCATCTCATCAACACGCACACGTACCCTCCCGGAAGATGTTCATAAAGTCCATATGATCTTCCAACCGCTCGTCTTTGCCCAAAATACCCGTTACGCGCAATTGCTGCAACAAGCTCCATTTTGCCAAAGCGGACTGGACGACATTTGTCCTGTCGAGGCAGTCCATGCAGTTGGAGCGTACGACAGCGGTTTGCATGTGAATGGGCTGAGGCTGGCCAAGCTCCTGCCGGAAGTACCTGTGAGTGCATGTCAGCCAGCCTAGCAGGCAACAACGAAGTGGACGCGTACCCCTCGCTCTTCAGCGCCGGCTCGAGCCTGTCGATGAGCAGCTGTATCCTATCCCAACGCATATGCCTGCACTCGTGGTGGAAGTCGAAGTACTCATACTTAACCGTCGGCATATCCGCCTCCAGGACATATTTCTCATACGCGTCTTTGACGTGCTTCTCGCGTCCCGTCTGGTTCACCAAGTTCACAAGATACACCGTTCCGTAGAGCTTGTTCAGCTCTTCCAGGTGCATCCGTAACGCACCCGTGGTTTCGGGGACTTCCATAATCTGCACGTCGGGCTTGTAGCGGAGGTTGTTCACCTCGGCCCAGAAGATCGGTGTGCTTCCGCGCATTTGGACGAAGCTGAGTCGTGTACGACCCTCAATCCTCCCTCCGCCTAGTGAGTGCCCTTCGGGGTCGAGCAGAACCAACTGCTCGGTCTCGACAAAGTTTGCGACGTGCCCTGTTGCATCGATGCCTCGGGCGAAGTAGCGCGTGCCGGTGCGGTAACGTGAGCGCCGAGAGATGAGGCAGAAGAGGAAGGGACGACGGTTGATAACGCAGTGGCGAATATCAAAGGACCCATAGACGACGGGAAGAATGAAGCGGGAGAGCTATCGAGCTACGTCAGTATCTCAGCTCTACAACAGCAAGGGATAAGGACGTACATCCTGCCCCTGTTCCGTCACCTCAATGAACCTCTCGCTCAAATACCGATTCCACCAAAACCTCTCGTCACACTTCCTCCACAACCCCTCTCCCTCAACTTTCACGTCCCCCCACTGCGACTGTAACCTCCTGGTCAAGTCCCAGCCATAGGAGAACCAGAATTTTCCCGAGTCGAGGTGGTTCTTCACGAGTGTCAGAAGGCGTTTCTCTACGGGGTGGTCGAGGAGCTGCGCGCTGTTGGCAGTGCTGGGTATGGGAAGCACTTTGAAGTCCGTTGCGAGGTAAATCTCGGAGCCGATCAGTCGTCCATGCCTTGCCCGGTTAGTGATTACGATGAGGAAGTCGGCTTGATGGAATTTATACACGTTGCGTCTAGAGAAGCAGGGAAATAAGACGTACCGGTGGTGAGGGATAGAATTCCCAAAATACCATATACCCTGATAACCCTCTCATGCGCTACTGGGGTATGCCTGCGGGCCGCTATCACCCAACTTGGTCAGCTGCGAACATGCATGCCGCCGCGTAGCTCACGATTGAGGACTATGCTCTCCGTCCGACGATCAATGACAAGCGTCTCATTCGGTTCTGATGCGCCTGCGACGATGGGCTCGAACGTGTATGCATCGGGGTCGACGTACCTTTGTCTTGTCAGCAGGATGCCTTGGCAGTATTGGGATGGTATGCTTACAGATTATAAGAAGTATGAAGGTAACTTGCGGACATTGTACGTCCTTTTACTTTTACTTTTATTTTTGTATGCTTTGTCGACGCCGTTCTTGTAAAAGAGAGGAGGGAGAGAGAGGACAACGACGACGGTGAAAAGAGAGTGTATTGTATATAGACACTTTCGGTGAAGGACAAACGTGTAAAGAAGAGATGTCATTATGATTAGGTAATCATAAGCACTGCCACAAGGGACGGGATAAACAGCGCACGATACTTTTGACCATAGCTTTATATCTTTGAAAAATGCCTCGTCGACCAAGACCAGAAAATCGCAGACCTCCTAAATCCGTTCTAGAAAATGCGGCGGCGTTGAAAAGGAATGCGAAGGGTCAAGCGGCAAAGGCACCATCTGCGCCTGTTGTCCAGCAAAGTTTGAAGCGGAAGCGAGACGACGAGGAAAAGGAAGAGGAAGAGAGTGATGGAGGCTTCTTTGAGGATGCAAGCGATGAAAAACCACGCGGAATGTTACGGGGGAATGCTGTGGATGAGGGAGATGATGACGACGACGAAAGTGACGACGACGACGAGGACATCGGTTTCGACGGAATTGATGAAGATGACCTCAGTGAGGACGACGAAGAAGATGCGGGTTTGGCGATGTATGAAGACGACGACATGCGCGATGTAGGCTCAGCTGATTCCGCAGACGAAGGAGACGACGCTGGACAGCTAGTACGTATCTCTTATTCTCACTTGTTAATTTCGTATCTTACTCGTCTTCAGAAAAAGCTACGGTCAAACCTGTCCTCTCTCCCCCTTGGACTCCTCGCCAAAGCCCAGAACTCCCTGCACCAAGCCGAATCAGGTTCAGACGCTGAAGATCACTCGGACGATGATTCAGACTCAGCGCCATCTGAGCACGGCCCTGGCGGCAAGCCTGTTGTCAAGACAGGTGAAAAGAAAGTGCGAAAGGAGATCCAGCACCGCTCGACCAAGCATGCGTGCGTCCATTTTTCTTCCCTTCCTCTTCGCATATCACTAACGCATTCCCTCCTAGGCCAACCGAGGCAACCTCTAAACGCCCCGTCCCCCGCCTTCGCAGCAGCCTCCCATCCCTCGCACCCCAGCCCCGCGACCCTCGGTTTACCACTCTCTCAGGTACGCTCTCCCTCCCCCACGTACGGCAGAACTACGCCTTCCTCTCCGACGTCCAATCACAAGAAGTTGGCCAGCTGCGCGAGGCGGTCAAGCTCGCTAAGCGCAGACTGCCTAGTACGCCTGAGGAGAAGAGGGACGAGGCTGAGGCTGAGCTTGCCAGGCTCGCGGGGGCGTTGAAGCGCGCTGAGTCGGTGCGGGAAAGCAACACTCGCCAGGCGCATGAGGCTTCTGTCCTACGAAAACTGAAGAAGGAGGAGATGACCAAGCGCGCACAGGGGAAGGGGGAATGGCACATGAAACGGTCTGAGAAGAAAAAGGTGTTGCTTGAAGCGAAGTTTGAGCGGTTGAAGGAGGAAGGTGGGCAGAGGGCTGTGGGGAAGGCCTTGAGGAAGAGGGAGAAGAGGGAGGGAGAGAAGGAGAAGAAGAGTAGGCCGTTCGTGAGGGGTGAAGCGGGGGAAGGCAGGTCGGAGGGACGCGGTAGAGGCAGGGGAGGAGGGATGAGAGGCAGAGGACGGCTGCCCAGAGGAAGAGGTGCGTTTGGATATTCTGGGAGAGGCGGGTTTGGTGGTCCTGGTAGAGGTGGATTTGGGAGTTCAGGGAGAGGCGGATTTGGAGGAGCTGGGAGGGGAAGGGGAGGCGGAGGTATGAGAGGTCGAGGACCGCCCAGAGGAAGAGGAGGGTTTGGAGGATCCGGGAGGGGCCGACCATCGCACGTCGAGGATGGAAGACCGCCGAAGCGGCAGAGGGTGGAATAGGGAGTCATACCAGTTCATCAGACTTCTACACTTTAGGATACAGGGAATTATCATTTGATATATTGCAGGACCGAGTGGTCTGTTGGGTGCTCTTGTCGGTGAAATAGGATCATCAATGGGGAAGAGTATGCACATGTGTGAAAGAGGTGACGGGAGAAACAAAATGGGTGCAAAAGTTAACGTACTATTGATATGGGCAAGCGCTAGACGTTCCCAAACACCATAGACGATATCCCGGCCATACCACATCGAACCCGATGCAAAGAGAACAGAAGAAATCACCCATCACCGTACTACGTGCTCTGCATCATCTCCAGCAACGTAGTCGCCCTCTCCTTCGAGTACTGTTTAGTCGGCTCCTCCTTCTCCGCTTTCTCTTCTCCCATCTCTTTCGCGTCCCCTGTTTCTTCAACAGGATCGATAACTTTCTTGCACAGCTCCTCCATCTGCTGGTATGCGGCGCCTTTCACCGTCCGGAGGTACTTGAAACAAATATCCGTATACGCATCCGGCAGCTACACAGGCACGTGAATAGGTGAACAGGGAATGGACGGGGGGACGTACCAGTTCTGGATCGAGCGAGTTCTTGATAAGCCATTTCTGGAGGATCTTGTTAAATTTCCAGCCTGGAGTTGGAGGGTTCGCGATGGATGATGCATACCCCTTGGCGTACTCGATTGCTGGAAGTTAACGTTGTGAATTAACGAAACCGAGTCAATCAAGAGCTGTCCATACCTTTCCTTGCCGCATCACTCAGCTTGTCATCTTCTTTCGCCTGATCTGACGATTTCTTCGATTTCGACTTCTTGTCTTTCGTCTCCTTCACTCCTTCAGTTTCGTTCCCCAACTTCGTCTTCTTCTTGGTAGGCTCATCCTCAACAGACGCCTCAGCCTCCGCCTTTTTTGATTTTTTCTTCTTCTTGACAGGTTCTTCTGAAATAGCCGGAAGGGCATCCACATCCATCGGCACTTTCCTCTTCTTCACCAGCTCCTCTCCCACAACGACAGGTCCAGCATCCTTGATTTTCTTGCTCTTCTTAGTCGGTTCCTCTGGTGTAGAAACCGCAGGTTCTACGTGCCTGGATCTCTTGCTCTTCTTCACTGGCTCTTCTGCCGCAGCCGGAGGCTCAACATCCTTGGACTTCTTGCTCTTCTTCACTGGCTCTTCTGCCGCAGCCGGAGGGTCAACATCCTTAGGTTTCTTGCTCTTCTTTACCGGTATCTCAGGAGGAGTAGGCAGAGGCCCCACTCCCTGCTTGTCTTTCTTCTTCTTCTTTGGAGCTGGCGCTCCAGCGACCGGCTCATGTTCCGTATCCCCCTTTCTCTTCTTTGACTTCTTCCTTTCTTCAAACCGCTCAAATAAGTCAAAATAGGTTTGAAGACGGGGCAGGCTCACGAATATTCTCAACAGGTAGGTTCTCCTCAGCTGTTGTATGTGTAGGCAGGCTGACGCCCTTGACAGGAATCTGGGACTTTACAGGAACGTCGAGATCCGCATCAACAGGCGCAGGCGCAGGCGCATCAGCCTCAGCCTCAGCAACCTTTGGCTTCTTCTTGCTTTTCTTCGCGACGACTTGCATTTTTCTAGAACTTCCGCTATAAGTACTCCGATCCGAACTTGTGCAGAAACCGACTTACACACTGTCACTCCCAATGCCAGGCGTGTTATCCGCAATCAGATCATCCGCCTTCCGTTTCCTACTCGACTTCCCATCTCCAGCATTTGTAGGCTTCACCATGTCCAAACACTCCAAACACTCCGGACGCCCAATTGCAAGTGAAACGAAAGAAAAAAAGATTGGTGAATGACGCGGTTGAGGTAAACGCGTGCACGTGCGCGTTGGGCTGAAGACAAATTTGCACCCGCTTTGGACGCTCGTGAAAATCGGTTAGTCAGCATTCTCATACTGCTCCACATCCCCGATGTCGATGTCCTCGTCCCTCATCTCATTCCCAATCGCTCCCCAGTCTCCCGCCTCTAAAACATGTCCTTACAACCGACAACCGACGAACGACCAGAATCCCTCAGTTTCACAACTGTGCACGGGTCCTTGCGGTGCAGGTATGGGGTACGGGCAGCGGTACAGTGGGAGTGATGTGATCAGAGAGAGAGGATGGAGCACGTGAGCGCAGGAATGGACGTGAGACACGGGTAGGGAGGGGCGTGGGAGCGACACTAATGGTCGGGGAGGGAAGTGCAGCTGGTCTGCCTACAACTTCAGCTCTATATACGTACATGTTCATGTCCATGTCCTTCGGCTGTCTGTGAGATGCTGATCGGGAGAAGACTGGACTGGTGTCTGAGTGCAACGCTCTAGTTCCAGTTTCCGTCCAAGTTTTAGGAAGGGGACTCCGGTGCCGACTGCCTGCCAGTGCTGTGCCGTGCCGTCCCACGCCGACAAGTACCGATCCCCCACACCGGGCCAAGAAGTTCATTTATCTACTACATGTACCGTAGCACTCACTATTCCCATGAGCCAAGAGGTGCTAGGTGCTGGGCCTGTGGGCACGGGGACGAGGCGTACGCGTATTGGCATATTGGCGAGGAGCGATGCGATCGGGTCGGACTAGCTGGGGCGGAGGAATGTTAGTCTTACATCCTTACATTACCTCTTTACCTTTACCTTTACAGCACTGTGCCAGACAAGAGAAATCTGTATACGTCCGGAGATTCCCGATCTGGATGGAAAGATAGATGGCTGGCTGAGGGTGGGAGTACTAGTGGTCGGTATACACTGGCTGATACGGGTGGGACAGTGCAGGTATTACGGCAGACAGCCTGAGGTTCAACGGACGAGTTGCAGCAATTGGAGATGGCTGACTAGCTCGCGTATGTCGGATTTCGCAGGGTTCGGGCTCTGTAAGTTAGGGTTTTCCTGCTTCTGGTCTAGCCGCTGGCTGCGCTATGCATATGGTCTGCGGGATGATAAAGAGCTGAGTTTGTTTAGGAGGGTGATATGGAGGGATTTTGCGCTTGAGATATTCAATTCTAGTAGATCTTCAGGTTTAATTTGTTGTGTGCGGTGATCAGAGTTGTTGTATATTATCAGTTGATGCGCCTGTTGTCGAGGATGAAAGATATGGGGGAGGATCCGTAGCGACTTTAATGGCGAATAAGAATAACCCAAGACAGAGTAACATTCCCTTATGAGACATATGGGCGACATATGCGCTGTGATTGGCTGGCAGTGTGGCGCTAAAAGGCACGTCGTGTGGCGCTCGGCATTGCCACTGTCAACCTCCCTTTGCACCTCTTGCATCTGAAAATACGGTTTGATGGAGGCCGAAGAGTGTGCCGATGACGCTGTGGTGATTGCATGGGTCTGTCATTGGTGATGTAGTTGGGCGAGGATGGGTGAACGTGCTCCCTCTTGAGTAGATCGGCACTCTTAGCCCGATCGCACGCCTTCATCGCACTTTATCTCTCTCCCTCTCCCTCTCTCCTTCGATCGCAGAGAGTGCTAGACCGGTTCTAGTCCTCTTCTCTCCATTTTGGGCCGATCTACGCAGTGACTTGTTCGCATTCCACTCCATTGGATACTCCTCGTGCTCTCCACTCTGTCGGCTACGACAGGTACAGGGATATTCGCACATTTCAGAACACGACAAGAGTACTAGTACCTTGGGTGCGCACATCCTACCCCTCTTCCTCAGAGTAGACGCTCACCTTATGCACAGTACTCTGACAACCAACTTGCAATTTGAGAAACGACACAGCCAGAGCGAGAACGGTTCATCCGGTGCGTACACTTCAGTTCATCTTCAATTTCCGCCATTTCTTGTCTTTTGTTCATCATTCGTTCATTGTTCGTCTTACTGCTTGTGTTCATGTTTGTCTTCCTTTGGTCGACGGCGATGCGAGAGAGGATCCTACCCCTAAGGGAACCGCACCCAAAGGCCAGGACCATCTTTTCCCAAAAACCACCTCTACCCAGCAGGCCGGTGTCCGGTGCTCGCTCGGTCGAGCTTAGCGCTAGAGGGGGGATGGGGTTCTCAGTCGGTTGTCCTTCATCTTCATCTCGCTTTTGTCTTCCCTTTCCGCATTATACTGCACACTGCACGTCCTCCCGTGCCCCATATCACACCTTTCAGCTCGCAGCCCAACCCCTCCTGCTCAAGACCAGCAGAGAGCAGGCATGTCATCTCCGGCCCGACCGGGTGCAAGGGGCTTATCACCCAGCTCAGCTTTTCCCTCTGTTTCTGTTTCTTATGCGTCTGCTTCTGCGAGCTCTCTGGGTCCGGAGGCATGGGGTGCTGTAGCCTCTGGCAGAGGGGGAGGAGGGAAGTCTACCTCTACCAGTCCTTTCCGGCTTAGGAGCAGCACCTCCCCGAGTATGCACAAACGCCAGATCTCAATCTCATCGGCAAGCTCGACCGGGAGCGGGCAGAGTACCTCTCCAGGAGGGGGAACCCCCTCAGCAGGGAGTAGGAGTTCATCCGGCAGCGGGCCGACTTCGCAGGAGACTGGCGAGGGAGGGACGACGTTCACGCTGGCCTTGAGCGAAAGCTCGGCCACGACCGCGACCGCAGCTCCCAGCCTCTCCCATTCCGGGTCTGGATTTTCGATGTCTGCTTTGACTTCCTCTGCAACTGCTGCGTACCGTGGTACAGGCGGGTCGCTGACTCCCGGTGTGACTTCTCGGACTTTTCCTACTTCATTTTCGACTGCCTCTCGGACTTCTTCTCGTACTTTATCTCCAACTTCCTTTTCTACTTCCTCTTCTGCTTTCTCTTCTGCTTTCTCTTCTGCTTCCTCTTCCACTTCCACTTCCACTTCCTCTCGTACTTCCTCTTCTACTTCCTCTTCTATTTCTTCCTCCACTGCCGCTCGTACTTCCTCTCCTACTGCTCCTGCATCTACTACTCTTTCCCACCCCTTATCTTCATCTGCCTCTTCTTCCCATTCTTCATCCCTTTCCTCCTTCTCTGAAGCAAGCGACTCACGATCCCTCGCATATTCTCTTTCTCCAACCGCTCCAACTTCCACCGGCTCCACTCCCCTTCATCAATCTTCAACTGCATCTCCAACCCCCACTCCCACGCGCACGCCCACTTCGTCCTCGGTTACTACGGCTCCCTCTTCTTTGGGAACTGATACTTCTCTGCCGACGACGACTTCTCGCTCCAATCCGGTGACTCATTCAACTCTCCCTTCTTCTACGGCTACGAATGCCTTGGGTACTAATACTGTGACAAACGCGGTAACCGATACGACTCTTACGAACTTTTTCTCTGAATCTACAACCTCTCCCTCTAACACTGCAAATTCTCCCTTGACGACATCTCCCACATTCACCCCCATTTCCTATTCTGGGACGACTACTTCTCCTTCTGGGAACCCCGCGGTCACTTCCTCGGCGAATATCTTCCCCCCTTCCTCCCGCCCTTCCATACCCCCGGCTGCGTCATCTCAATCATCTCGACATGCCTCTACGAACATACCATCCTCTGTTTTCCCTACATCCTCAATCCCCGTTTCGTCCCCTCGGGGCGCATCAACCCTTGCCACAAACCCCGCTATCCGGTCAACCACTGAAATACACCCATCTACTCACTCACTTCTCACTCCGGCCTCGTCGAATCCCGTACGCACCTCCTCGCAATCCGTCTCATCCCCCATGTCCGTTTCGTCCTCCCTATCTGTTTCTGTTTCATCATCCCCCTTAACCCTGACTTCTGAATTGACGACGTCATCGTCTTCCCTTACGTCTTGCCCGTCATCGGTTACGTCCGTATATACAGTTACAGCTTCTAGCACGAGCACTGGTGCTGACACATCAACATCGGTATCGCCATCATCATCAGGATCCAGCCCAACCAACCCCACAAGCTCAAGCTCAAGCGCAACCTCTAGCAGTGCACAGCCCTCCACAGCTCAAGTTGCCGTCACCCCCTCCGGATCCAGTGTTCCAGCGCTGTCGACGCCCGCGACAATAACAGGAACAAGAGGAATAGGATTAAGCTCCCCAAGTACGAGCGTGGTGACTACTCTGGGTGTTTCACCTTCTGCGACAGACGTCAATTCTGCCAGCTCAAGCTCAAGCGCCCCTTCCTCATCCGACTCAGACTTGCCTAGGTCTAGCTCAGAGAGTGAAAGTATATCGGCGGTGTCTATGTCCTCTACTTCATCTATTGCCAGCCCTTCCAGCCTCTCTTCTTCTACAAGCCTTTCTTCAACAACAACATCATCGTTGACCGCAACTCATTCAGGGTCGATATCTGAATCCGCGTCATCATTGTCAGTCAACAGTGGTGCCACACCGTCAACCATGAGTTCTACTTCCGCTATTCCGTCCTCAATGGCTGAATCTTCTCCTTCACCGTCACCACCACCTTCATCGACGCCCTCCTCATCACCAACGACGCCCTCGACCAACCCACTGCCAGCTCAGTCTGCAGCGTCCGTTCAGTCCCTCATGTCCCTCGAATCAGTAGCATCGGTAGCGTCGGTCGCCAGCGTCAGTCAAGCCTCGTGCGTCTCTCCAATCCCTCTGTTATCATCTAACTAACCCCTTCAAGGCTAGCAAGTCTGAGCAACGCAACAGCCTCTTCATCCTCCCCAACGTCGGACCCTCCAACCTCATCATCAGGGTCAGCAACAGGTACGCCCACTTCCACTTCGGCCTCGGCCTCCCCTCCATCCTCTGCGTCCTCATCCCCTTCCTCCTCCTCGCCCACTTCCTCCTCAGCATCCCCAACATCACCCACATCCCCAACCTCGACTCCCTCCCAATCGACACCCACCAGCTCCCCTTCATCACCCACCAGCTCCCCACCGTCCAGCCCCCCAACGTCCTCCCAGCCACCAACAATCTCCCAGCAAGTCACATCCCCATTCACCTCCAGCGGGTTCCTCTTCGGCCCCACATCTACCTCCTCACCAGGGAGCATCACCCCCGGCGCGTCGACCCCCACAACCCTCCCAACCAGTACGCTCACATCCGGAATCTCCCTCGCACTAAGCACAGACTCCAACGGCCAAACATCATTCACCTTCCCCACATACCTTACGATCGTTTCCCAATCTACGTCCACCTATGGACCGAGTGTGACAGAGTGGGTCGTTGGTGGGAGCCAGACGTTTGAGAGCACGCTACCCGGTGGGGGGGTCGTTTTTACCGTTACGCAGGTGGTGGCGAACCCTACGGGGGACTTGAACCAGGCTGGAGCGGGGACGAGTACGAACCAGTGAGTCTGCTTCTCCTTCTATTTCCTTTTTCCGTTTTCCGTTTTCAGGGCGTCTTGTCCCCGCACGTTCGCCGCCATTCCCGGAACTGGCTAACCCCTTCCCAGGTTCTTCCACAACACAGGCGCCGTCGCAGGGGTATTCGTCGTCGCCGGTATCCTAGTAGCGGCGGTGCTTGCCGTCCTAGGCTACCTCTTCTGGCGGAGAAGGAAACGCGCACTCGCTGCTGCGGAGAATCCGTTCGAGGCAGCAGGACCCCAGCCTCGTCGGCCGTTCGAAGCGTCGGACGAAGACCTCGCTGGCGCCCCTGCTGCTGCTGCTGCTGCTGCGGCAGCCACGACACCCAGGTGGAGCGGGCAGTATCAGTCTGTCACTAACCCTACCGACGCGCATATGATGCAACAGTATCGCGAGCGAGACGCGGCAATTGCTGCTGCTGCCGCTGCGGGGCATTATACGCCTTTCTCCCGCCAGCCGGGGATGGGGATGGGGATGACGCAAGTGCAGACGGGCTCTCCCTTTGTCCCCGTCACCGGTGGTCTACCTACTGGCGCAGCGTTGGGTGCAGGGGCGTATGCGGCTAATATTGGGGCGCAGTCGGACTCTGCTACTGCGGCTTCGGATCAGTATTCCACTCCCACTCCGGAGGGGACGAGTAGCACCAGTGCCAGTGCGCAGATGCAGATGCAGATGCTCCATTCCCGTCAGCCGTCAGACGAGAGCCGGTATGCCGACAATGACAACTACGCTTATGCGGGGGCGGCCGTAGGTAGCAGCGGGGAGTTCGACCCGTATAAGGGTTTCGCTACTGGCTCGAGCGCGAGCGCGGAGGGCCACGGTCACGGTCACGGTCCTGCACCCCCGGCGGCAGCGGCGTACCACGACGACCCCGATCAGCCGTATGTGGACGAGCCGCACCCGGAGGACGCCGGGTTCTGGAAAAGACGCGCAGCTTGGGAAACGAGTTTGCCACATGGGGACGCGGACGCGGATGGGGATGGGGAGGGTGATGGGGACGCGGATGGGGAGGAAGGGTTGGACGAGCCGGAACGAGCGCTTAGGGTGGGTCTTTTTTGATGGGTGGTCATGGTCAGTGTTCTGGGGACTGATGGGAAGATAGGTGACGAACGCGTGATGCGTGATGCATGATGCGTAATGCGTGGATGCGTGAAATGGGGTACTGCGAACGATGTGATGTTTGGACTCCCTCTCCCTCCTCCTCTCCACCTCTTTGGCTATGGAAACTGATGACTGATCTCAACTGGCTGGTGAACGGTTCTCCAGATTGGGCGCTCTAACCGTATACTCTACCACGGTTTCAAAAAAATGTGCTTTGGCACGTTACGCTTTGCACGCACTTTCTCTTTCCTGTTTATGCATTTGCGAACTTTGTTGTCCATCCATCCTTCTTCCATCCATCCATCCATCCATTCATTGTCCATTTTATCCATTCTTTTTTCAGTCATCCAGTTGTCCAGGTATCCCTTACCTTTTCCCACTATTCAAGGGCACGATATACGACTAGCACGCCTCCCCCCCCTTCCCCCAAAGTCTGCACGACAAGCCTTATCGGACCGATCCATGTATATACTAGATTTCGGACGATTGGTATGATTTGATGAATGACGAGCTGGTTATGCTGGCATTGGGGCTGGTTGGTAATGTGCAGGATAACCTCGTCCCCGTATCAGATGCCTTATTCTGCATACGCATGTCCAACTCGACTCATGCTCGCTTGTCTTGTTGCTTTCATGCCTCCGTCCCTCTGTCTGTCTGTCTGAGTATCATACCACCCCACCCCAGCACCCGCACCCGAACCTGAGCTTGTTACCCGCATGACCATCAGCCCCACCTCCCACGTCTTATCTACCCTACGTCTTCACACGTGCTCGCCGACTGCTTAATATTGACATCAATAACAGCATCTCGATACGGTATTGATATTGGGTCAACAGGGAAACCGAGGGAACTTTGTTTTATAGCTCGCGGGTAGGGTGTCGTCGTGCTCTGAAGAAAGGGATTGCTAGATTGGGCGCTAAGTTGTCGGTTCCTTTCCCCCGCGGAAGAGACAGGACGAGTTATTTGTATTTGCTGGTACATGAGTCCGAGGTTTATAGCAAGAGAGGGAGGTACTGTAATGATGTGGATCCTGGGCCTGTTAGGCAGCTGGGTTGACGGACACGGGTACTGCCGCTGCAGCCTTAGATGCAAGCGCATCCAAAAAATGACACAGTAATGGAAATACTTGAGGATTATAATTAAACTGATAAGAGAGTTATAAAGATACATGAACTTGTATTTGAACAGGTGGTGAAACGCTGCTTGTGATGACGGTTTGACCCAGCCGAGCACTGTGTCCCCCCTAAGCGCGTCAGTCGCGCACGACCACGACCACGACCATGGCATCCCAAATCCTACCCCTCGGTGCGTCCCCCCTTCCCCCCAATCCCAAAAGCCTGAAAACCGCTCATTCATCTGCCTAGAGCTTATTGACAGATGCATCGGTTCCCGCATATGGGTGATCACTAAGACGGAACGGGAGTTTGCGGGCCGTTTGTTGGGGTTTGACGATTTTGTTAGTGAGTGACATTTTTGCTCTTCCTTTCCTGCCTACTGCTGTGTCTGGGCGTACTCATGTGGGTTGGGGTAGATATGGTACTGGAGGACGTGACGGAATTGTCAGTATTTCATTTCATTTTGGGTTGAGTGGGAATGCTGAAGTGCATTTAGTATCACGACAGAGGAAGGGGTGAAGAAAGTAAAGCTCCAGCAGACGTTGCTGAATGGGAATAACATCTGTATGGTGCGTCTTCTCCTCTTCTGCTCTCTACCCCGTTCTGACTTGTGTGCATGCTTCGCCGTATAGCTCGTACCTGGCAGTAACGGTCCTGAGGATTCGTGACCTATTCCGATGTTTCCTATTAGCTGTGTTGGGTGCATGCGCTGTGTAATGTAATAAATTGTTAATATCAGGCTTTGCTGTCCGCTGTCCGCCAAATTAATGATACAATGAATGATACAAAGATGTAACAATTTCCGGGTGAACAAATGATTTTATTTCACATGGAAAGATACCCGACAGACGCGGTGACGTCGGAATATATGAGTTTGAGGGGCATTCAACGTCGACGTACAAATACCCTTTCCCTCTTCCTTCTTTACCACCACCATCTCCTCCTGCTCATCCTCCTCGACGTCAACATGCCTGACAGCCATACGCGCGCCGACCTCCCCAAAGCAGTCCTCTACTCCTGGCCAGTAAGCGTCTGGTGTTCAGTCCGTACGTCCGCCCTCGTCCCTCCAGGCACAACTAACCCACCACAGCGAGGCTCGCACTGTATGCCTCACCACATGCATCACATACTCGCTAATAGAGACACAGAGTAGAGAAAGGTTACGGCTCAGAGGAGATAATCATCAAGGCCGTCGACATCTGTGCGTCCCTTCCCCTCCGCCCCTGCCCGCCCCTCAACTGACAGCAAACAGCCAAAGGAGACCAGTTTAGCACCGCCTTCCTCAGGCTTAACCCCCATGGGACGGTGCCTACGCTTGTTGTACCGCTCGAGCGCAGCCTGGGGCCGGATGAGGAGAGCCAGTTCCGGGCATTGAGGGACTCGGTCGTGCGTCCTCTTTCCTATAGTAGGAGCATGTATGCAAGCTGACGCTGACGCTGCCCCGCCCTGCAGACTATTACAGACTTTATCGACTCCTCCCGCTCTCCGCTCAGCAAGACGAACACTACTTCCTCCGCCCCTGCGCCCTCCCTGTCCCCAGCGACGATCGAGGGGTCCAACATCAGCAAAGCGATCATCTCCCTGCTGCACGACTCGAAGGGCGCGGACCCGAACTTCCTCAAGCGTTCCGCTCGTACCCCCGCCGAGCTCCAGGCTGGCAAAGCCGTCAACACTGCCCTTTTCGCTAATCGCCAGGAAGCGATCGAGGCCTCCCTCTCCGAGCAGCCCGAGGGGGTGACCAGCAAGCTCCGCACTTTCCTCGAAGGGAGGAGCGAGTCGAACAAGGTCTCGCTCGATATCTGGTCCAAGGGGGCCGAGAGCGTGCACGCGAAGGAGTTCATGGAGAGTAGTAAAACGCTCTGGGAGGTCACTCTACCCGACACGTTCAAGAAACTCGACGAGCTCATCATTGGCCCCTTCTGTCTGGGTGATCAGCTGAGCGTCGCTGACCTGCATCTTGCTGCCTGGCTGGCGCGTGCGGTCAGCGTCTGCGGAGGGACGGCGAAAGCAGAAGATGTGGAAAAAGTGGAAGAGAAGATCGGTTTGCAGGAATTCAAGATTGGCCAAAAGGTGAAGATGTTCTGGGCGGCGATGATCGTCCGTCCTAGCTTTAAGGCTGTCTATCCTGGCGGAGTTCTGCATTGATCACTGAGTAGGAACGAATAAAAATAAATGTACAAATAGTGCAATGAAGATATACTTTATGCGTGTTCATTTCATTTCTTCAACTCACAGCCACATTTTCACATCTTTCCCATCATCCACCACCATGTCCTCCTCGACCCAATTCCCCCCTCTCAAAGGCGACGCCTCCCTCCTCCTAGCCTACCAACTCCATTCCAAACGTGTCCTGCTCATCGGCGGAGGTCCCGTCGCCGCCTCCCGCCTCACCCACGCACTCGAAGCCGACGCCCTCGTCACCCTCCTCTGTCCTTCCTCAGGCTTATGCCCCGAGCTCCTGTACCGTCTCTCCGACCCTTGGTGCAAGAGTAGGATCACGTACCATGACCGGCCTTGGCTTGGAACGGAGGATCTAGACCTGGACGGAGGAGCAGACATGGTCCTTTCCGCAACGGACGACCCTGGGGTATCCAAGTCTGTCTGCGTAGCTGCGAGGAGCCGCAGGGTGCCGGTGAACGTCGCTGACGTACCGGAAGAATGCGACTTTCATTTTGGGAGTACGATCCGGGATGGACCGTTACAGGTGCTCGTTAGCACCGGGGGGAGGGGGCCGAAGGTCGCCAACCTGATCAGGCGGAGGCTGGAGCGCGCTTTGCCTGAGAAGTGCGGGATGGCGATTGACAGAGTTGGGGAGCTGAGGCGCCGCTTGAGGGCGAGAGCGCCCGGGAGGGAAGAGGGGAAGAAGAGGATGCATTGGATGGTTGGGATATGTGAGGCTTGGGAGTTGGAGGATTTGGCCGAGTTGGAGGAGGGGGATATAGAGGTGTTGTTGAGGGATGGGTGGGAGAAGGGCAAGGTGTTGAGCCCGAAGGATTTGGGCAAGGTGGGCAAGGGGAAGGAGAAGGTGGACAACGGATTGAATTGGAGGAGGGAGGGAATTGCGGGACTCTTGGGCGCCGTCGTTGGCGCTGCTGTCGTGGGACTTGCAGTGTTCGTGCGAAGCTCGAGGTAACCCACTCAAGGAAGGACGACGATTTGGATTTCAAGGTAGAAGTAATGAATAACCACTCAATTGTATCTATACATTCATCTCCAATAGATTACCCTGGCCTGTGGATATGTAGATATGGATATAATCAAGATTGCTCCTCTCACCGCGTTCCCTCCTCATGTTACTTGTTACTGGTCTGCCTGCTCCTGTTGATCGGCAGGCACCTCAAACGCACAGCAGAACGTGTCCTTGTCGAACAGCAGCAGGCCGTTCCCATCCGGCGACCAAGCGAGCTCCTTCAGCTCAAACTTGCCTGCGCAGGTCATCAGGTTACATCTACTTTGTTAGGGGAAGAACTCACGGGCGGGAACACTACAGCAGTCTGCCATCCCCTGCCGCACATCTGAGTCCTCATCCCCTTCCCACTCATTCTCGTCACTCCACAAATACACCGCTCCCTTCCCCTCGCATCCCAGTGCCAACTTGTAGCCTCCCGCTTGGCCAGGCTTCCACAGAGCAGTAAACACCTTGCGCTCGTGGAGGAGGACAGTGTGCAGTTGGGGAAAGAAGGGCAGGCTCGGAGGGGGGAAGGAGAAGATGTGCGCTGCATTCGGGGTGGTGTCGGATCGCGCGAGCAGGTAGCGCCCGCACGGGGAGAAGGAGAGGTAGGAGGCACCACTTCGCAGAGGGACGCGAGAAGGGTCGGGCCGAACAGACGGGAGTGAGAGAGGGAGAAAAGCGGGAGAATCTGGAAGGACGGTGAGCGAGGGATATGGTCCTGGTGACAGGACGGACATTGGACAAAACCACGGTGCATCGTCGCTTCTAGCCAACCTGATGGTTCTCGCCACGCGTTCTGCACCGAGGTCAGTTCTGACATTATTTCTCGCTCAGGTGGCTCACGATCCCACTATCCGCCCCGAGCTTCACACTCATCTCTAGTGTAGCCACCGCCCTCCAGTCCGCCAGTTTCGCCAGAATATGCAGCTTGTCGTCCCACCCTCCTACGGCCACGAATCCAGAATTGGGATGCCAGCTCACGCACCGTACGCCGAGTCCTGTTTCTGCAAAAGGGCCAGGAGGGGTGAATGTTGCTTGTAGGCGACCGTCAAGTGCTAGGATATGGAGTTTGAACTGCGAACCAGGGGGTCAGGTCGGGCGCCTGGACACGAATTGGGGAAAGCCTACATCAAGCAGGGATTCCCAGCATGCCACATAGAGGCCGTCTGGAGATAGACTGAAATCCACGAGAGACGTCGTTGGTAACGGCGATTGCTACATTCGTTTTAATTTGATCCCCGATAAAGATTTAGCGAACTTACCCGTACGAGCGCAAACCTCTCCAACGGATCATGCACATTCAGAAAATCCTTCCCTCCTTTACGGGTTGCAAGCACAAGCCATCCCGCATCGAGCGAAAACGCATACGCTCGGTCTGGATATGTTGGTTGAGGGATGACAGTTGACTGGCCAGAAATCAAGGAGTGAATCGTCAGTCGTAACTGCCCCGTATCAGCTCATGGAGCACCACAATAAATCATGTACGCACACCCCATTCTGACCAGCACAGGATATTTCTCGCATCGAGTGCAAATTCCGCTCTGACAAGTCCCTCAGCACCTGCCTCGATCCCTGCCTCCCAGGTCTCCTCCCCCTCGCCCTCTCTTGCGCTTCTCACTTCGACCACTCCTCTCCCTGCTAAGCAAGCAAGCACATACTCTTCATCTTCACTCCATCCAATTGCGGTAATACCACCACTCTTGGTTCCATTGGAAGATGGAGCGTTGTTCCTCCCAGATGGGGTAGGCTTCGCCTTGAGGATCTGGGATGACGGGGACGGTGCAGGATCGATCTCCCACGTGCGCATTATCTGTAGTGTGGATGCCAGGCGGATGATTAGTCGATCATATGTTGCTGTGAGTATATGGGACCCAGAAGGTGAGAATGCACATAGTTGGGATGCATGTTTGTATAGGTCTGTAAAGTCCATTTGGTGGTGGTTGAGAGAAAGTAACGATATTACAACAGTCAGGGACGTGTCCTGATATTGTTCACGTGATTTGGTTGTTGACAAGCGCCCACCTCACCGTCAGTTTCCTCTTAAAATTTCCCTTCACTCCTCCTGGTAGTCATGCTTCTGAGCTCGTGCAATATTATCTCTTTCCGCTATTACGTTCCTCTTTAAAGTCCCCTGACATGGCTGGTCCGCTGTCTCACCGTTCCGCAAGAACGCTGCCAGCCTCCTCGTTGAGCACGCTTTCATTCTGATCCCATATATGTGAGGACCGAGAATGTCCCACTCCATTTTCTGCATCTCTCAAGATGACCCTTCTTTCCCTGGTGGTCCCCATTTTAGCCCTGAGCGTTGCGGCTGTGGCTCCCCCATGGACAGCATCTGTGAGATTTTTAGCATCGTCTTGATCTCCCCGTGCTGATGTTCGCTTTCAGGACGCGCTCAATGCCATAGGACAAAGCCTCGACGAGGGAGACTATCCGTCGTTTCTACTCAAGGTCAAGGGGAGGATCCAATCGCACTCCGTCCCCGAGATCGTGACTGCCCTACCTATCCCCGAGGAAAGCGTTGTCGAAGACCTCGTTGGCATCATTTCTAGATCCGAGTTTCTTAGTGGTTTCGTATATCCCCGAAATAGACGTCGTGATCTCGAATCAGAAGAAAATAGCGACTGGAACTTGCTCCCCCAACCGGTGCAAGAGTGTTTTCAAGCCTTCCTCGACGATCTCACTGAGGTGTTTCTCCGCACGTCAACACTCCAACATGAGCCTAGTATGGAGGATCTCGTCCCGGAGGCTCTTCCTCATCTCTTAGAAAGGCAGCTCAAACGGAGATCCGCCTTCGGAGAGTCCGTGGGAGAAGAGTCGAACGAGCGAAAGACAGGCGACGGAGAACACGTCAACCCCGACAGCTTCGCGTACGTGATGCTGGACGAGCTACCCGACGAGTTAGCCGATGACGAGTTTATGGCGTATCCTCCTCGTCCCCATGGCCGTTCGCTCACAAGCAACCTGCCAGAGGTGGGAGCTCGCGCGGCCTACTTGGCTCGTCGATCCGCCGTGTCCTGGATCGACTACCTCATCCAGGAGAGCAACAAACTCAAGAACAGCGCTACCATGACCCTGGTTTTGGTTGACATCAAGGAGCAAATACTGCATCTCCAGCCTCAAGATTTCAGACGTGATACTCGTGGGTTGTTTTCGGATTGGGGCGTTGCAGAGAACGAGTTCGAATCGGCATTATTCGCTTTGAGGCACAGATCGAAGTTGGTAGATAATCTGCTGTCTGCATTGCACGACGTAGGTGTTGAGTGAGCAGACTGACAGCAATTCTGTCATTCACACCTGGTTTCGTCAAGACTATCAACTGTAACCTTGCACAATGGCGTTCAAAATATCAATTGTGATAAAGTGGGATATCAGGTGGGATATCAAAATGTCCAGGATATTGTTAATTCTACAAGAAGGAACCGTGCAGCAAAAGAACGAGTGTGAGCGCATGCGTCATGCTGTGGAACAGCGGCGCAGTGCCAGAGGTAGATATCAGCATATGCTGGATATCGACAATTAAACAACAAGGAACTATGCGTAAGAAACAAACGAGTGTGAGCGCGAGATTAGTCCCGCTGCTACGAGACACTGGCGCAGCGCCAGATGTTGGTATCAACATGTCCTAGATATTGGCAATTAAACCAGAACTAACAATGCAACGAAAGAAACGAGTGTGAGCGCGAGAGTCGTCCCACCGCTGCGAGACACTTGCGCAGCGCCAGATGTTGGTATCAGCATGTCCTACATATTGGCAATCAAACAAGGAACAATGCGAAGAAAGACGCGAGTGTGAGCGCGAGAGTCGTCCCGCCGCTGTGAGACACTGGGGCAGCGCCAGAAGTGGAGAGACCATTGGGAAGCGTGCCGTTGTTGCCCACTGAACCAGAGGGAAGTCCGGCATTTGGAGATGGCGGCGCAGTTGCTGTGATAATGAGCGTGGTGCCGTCCGTGATGATGGTTATGGGGGTGGAGCTCGCGGATGTCGTAGTAGTCGAGGTTGAAGAACTAGAAGTGGTGTTGGATGCTGAAGTGCTGATTGCTGAGGAAGCGTTAGAATCTGGAGGCATGTTAGTGGGTGTACGGCTGGGATACGGATTCTCGACAGGCAATGCCGAAGAGGAATCCAGAAAAAATAAAGGAAGCGGCGGCTTTCGCATCAGTCAACTAGGGCGATTGATCGTGTGGTAAAAAAAAGGGGGAAAAAAGAGGTAGTAAATACATACTGCTGGTCACCGTAGCGATCAACGTCGCAGTCGGAAGCGCAGCATCACCATTGATGGTGCGAACTTGGGTAAAAGTAAAAGGGCTGTTGTATGATTAGAATTCGATGTTAAGACGCTGTTCCGCAATACCCACAATGGGTTGGGTCCTCCACTGCCAGCCTGGATTTGAATCAGGCCACTCATCGACAGCACCTTGTCGGTTTCTCCTGAAGAGGGCACAAGAACGAGCTGGTAGTTGGATCCGGTAGGGAGGGAGTTTTGTATTTGGAAGAAATATTCGTCTGTGGTTTGGTCAATGGAAGGGATCGGAACGCTGTCGGTCACGGTCGTCGGCGACTGGGTGACATCCTATTGGAAGTGTTTAGCGAACTCGTCCACACCTCCAGTTTCTGGATCTACCTCTGCATTATACAGCAGTGCTGTGAAACTGCTGATTCCCAGATTCTCAAATGCTTGGTAAGCAATCAATTGCTGGCCACTGCTTGTCCACGTGGTGCTGTCGCTCTGCGGGTTGGGGAATACAAGAGCGACACCATCAAAGGACTGCGATTGCCAGTCGGCCGTGACAAGAGCAAAGGTAGGCGATAACGCGACAGGTGTGGAAGTGGCATCGGGACCAATGATTATCCGATATCCGTACCCAGGGTTGGATACCGAAGGAGCGAGAATAGTGTTGTTGGGATTCGTGCTGCTGGTCGCGTCGAAGAATCCCATGGGGATAGCACTGAAGGAGCTGTCCTGATTGGGAGGTCAACATGATAGGGGGTAGATGCAAGCAACTGTCACGCACTCCCGGGCGAACCAAAAAAACATTTCCACTCTGCCCACCATCCGTGCATCCTCCGTCACCTCCGGTGACCACACTGAACGCCCTCTGCCCGATGGCCAGGATCTGGGAGGAGCTGAAGAACTCTGGAGCGCTGCATTGTGCAAGTACAGAAGTTGCGGTCAGACCCGCCACAAAAATAGCACGCTTGATGGTGTCCATGGTCGTCTAGTGAGAGGTGTCCCGCGGTGTGAAATTGGGGGAGGGGAGAGTTTAGTACCAGAGCGGTTGCCATGTGTAAACTTCGACAATTTACTGCTGGAATGCTTCTTTGCTGCGTCATATGCGCCTTATTGTTATTAGTGGCAGTGCATAAATGTTACAGGGTTCATTCAACGGAGCCATTTCAAGGAGTTAACATACATTTTATGGAATGGAACCCTGAACTCTATCTTTCGGTCCAGTTCGATACATCCCGGCCCTCACCCTTCACTTTCACATTAACTCTTTGCTTTGTCCATTTTGCAGTGTCGGAAAGAGTGTGCAACGCACTATGCACCTCTCATGCTTTTCCAGCGAATTTCCCACGGCCTGCTCGTAAGCACCACTCGGAAAAAGCATTCCTCAGTGTCTTTCAGATGCGGCACAAACTTCCTCAGCACACGATTAGACGAACTTCGACTCGGCGATGATGAAGCGTCTCCGACCAATGTCCTGGAAGAACCAAAGAAAACTATTGGCATTCCCCGTACTCCTATGAGCATGTTGTTCCAGCTTGGAGAACCCAAAAAGGACACCGGCGAAACCGAGCCGTCCGTCCCGAAACGCTATGGGGCTGCAGTCCAACGCGGCAAGCGGGCAGGTACTTGGCGGGCCCCTCCAATATTGTTGCAATTGCTCGGCCCTCGGGCTGTGTCGAATCTTGCAGATGTACCTCAAGCGCTCCTCGTATTACAAGGGTTGATCGATGCGACTCCAGCGGATGCGAAAAAGGACCAAATCACCTGGCAGGTGTTCGGGCTGGTTTTGAATACATTGATTCAGCACCGACTGTATTCAGATATCAAGACCCTGGTTCAAGAGATGCGCCTACGAAACGTGCTACTTCAAGGACCTGTAATGACAACTCATATATGTTCCATGATCGAAAAAGCGCATTTCCATGAAGAAGCCTTCGAGTGCTACAAGGTCTTGCGTAGCGTGAATCCGAGCAAGATCAACTCTCTTACGCTAGCAAACTATTTTATCAACAAAGTCACCAAAATACCGCAATTCCCACGAGCTGCGCATGTCTTCGATATCATCGACCAAGCCAATAAAACCTCCCTCGAATTTCAACCCCATCAAACCATCACAAATCTTCTGAACTGCTACTCGATCAACCTTTACCGTTGGAACGAGAGAAAAGAGAACCGTGAAAAATATCCAGATTTTCCGACCGACATTCGAAAGGAGGTCGACGAAGTGGGCAAATATATTCGTGCCCAATTCTTTGACCCACCGGATATCCATGTGTGGACATCACTCCTCAACGGATATAATTTCACGGGGAACTTCTCGAGCTGCTTCGAGCTGTGGGACGAGTTGCGTGCGACTGACATGGTGAACCCAGTCACCGTCAGCGTTATGATGGACGCTTGCGGCCGAGCTGGCCAACTTGAGCTCGCTCAACGCACCTGGGCCGAGTTGCGTGCTGAGGGAATTCCCCTGGACAAGAAGAATTGGAATGGGTATGTGGAATGTCTAGCATTAGCAGGACCATTGGGGCATGCAGCTGCGATGGGGGTTGTGTTGGACGAGATGGGAGAAAATGGGTGCCCTGATGGTAAAGTGCCCGGTGCGACAATAGAGACACTCTCCATTCTTTTGGTGCATTCCTGGGACGCAGGGATCCGCAACATTATCGAACTATTACAAGAGAGACTCCCAGATCTCATGCAGAGGATAGAATCTATGGCCGTTGCAGAAGGAAGTGAGCATTTCCCCACCAACTACCCCGGGCAATCTTGACAATGCTGCAGGTATCTTCACCGACCAGCCCAACATCCCGCAGTCTAGTTCGTCATACATTTACAAGGCGATTCGAAGTCACTCCTCTACAGCAGCAGCAGGAGATACGCAGCTAACGAAGGGAAGGTGGAAGCGCAACTCCCACCATGACAGCCCTTTGGATATGAGGACATGAATGGATGGGATTAGAATTCTCCTCATTGTATTATGCATCATTAGCACTGACATTGTACAACCGACCGCCCAATTTATAATTTATATCCTTCGAACATCAAACTGACCTGCACAGACAAACTGAACACCTCCGCTCAAGTTGCAGGTGAACATGACTTTCGACCTATTTTAAGCAAAGTCTGAAAGGGCGCCTAACCATGGAAAGCCTCCGCTACTTCCACGTCCCCGGCGCGCCTAAAGTTTATCGTGCGACCAACTACGCACATACCTTCTTTTCCATAAAGCTTTGAACATGTTTCTATACGAATTGCTCTGTGTGATAATACTTCTCCTATTGCACCTGGCTCGTGCGATACTTAATATCTCTCGCTCCTTACTACACTATCTCCGTCGTCAGCCGGAACCTCAACCACTAGGCGCGGAACGAAGACGCGTTCCTAAGCACTTGGCGGTGTGCTTTCAGGATGCGAGGCGAGAGGACTCCCAGGTGCTGCTGAAAAGTTGCGTGAGTATAGAAGGATGGGCTAGGCAGATTGGCATCAAAGAATTGTCTTTCTACGACCGTAAAGGTGCGCTCGCGTAACTACAACAGTGAGGTGCGGCACTGAACGCGTACAGGCATTCTGCAACTGCACGAGACTGTTCTCCGAGAGCTTCTTCCCGCCTCTTCAACACCGATTTCCACCCCCCCAACTACTTCCCTCGATATAGAATTACCCCTCACACCACCCACCTCTTCAAAGCCCACCCCTCCATCCTCAATAGACGGGTTGTCCGACTCCGAGACACCTTCCAAAAGCGCTCTGCGCAACAGGCGCAAATCGTCTTCATCTCCTCTCGGCACTATCGACGAATCCTTTGTATACCCACCACCAAAAGTCTACATCCTCTCGTACGACCAATCCAAACCGCTTGTAGCTCAAGCAGCACAATGGCTCGCTGCACGAGCAAAAAAGACGCCCTCTCTCACCCAAAAAATCTCCGTCGCCGACATCGATGACCTTGTCAAGGCTTCTTTTCCATCTCCGGATATAATCCTAATTCATCCTACACGACCTGTGATGTTTCCCCCGTGGTCCCTGGTCCCTCGCCCTTTGGAGCTAGACGGATTCCCGGCATGGCATATGGACCTGTCGGAATTACAGTATGTGTATTTTTACCCTTGCGTTCACAGCTATACCTGAGCATGATCCAGCTATGAGCCTTCCAGAGCTCGGTTCTCAATACCCCGCATATGGCACGGAGAATGGACACAGCCAGGTATCGCAGTGGAGGAGAGCGAACTCTCCAGAATGCTGGAGAGCTACGGGAATGCGGAGTCCCGGAAAGGCCGCTGAGGACGGAGTGGAGGAGTACGTTCCTTCAGTTATGTGTGCATTCCTGACATTCATCATAATATTACTGCACAAGCATGCACACGGACGGGTCAGATCGTCCAAGAAGCTTAGTATCCTAGGAATGTGAGGGCTCCGCAACGTCCCCAAGGTATGGGTAAACCACAGCTCCTCTACATCTACGTCTCAAGAAGTTGCGTCAATAAGTCGTGGATTCTACCGATATCTAGTAAGCTACTACACATTACTCGACACATCTCAATGTATACGATCTGCATCTTGGATGACATAAGAGCGGAATTGGCGTGCCGGTATCCTCTTTTCGAAGAGGATATCAATCCTGGGACAGGATCTCAGAAAAAGACGGCATATGAGGTTGCATCAGACGTACTCATCGATCGTACGACCACCCGTCTCCGGAACGCCGAACCAGGACCAGATGGTGAAAATTACCCCGAGCCCTCCGAACAGCCAGCCAACCTTGCCTTGCATGTTCGCTTCATCGGGATTGATCCTAGGACAGAAAATGAGTCCCGTGCGTTTATAATGGCCCATTTACGTACAGATATGGGTTAATGACCTGGATGATGAGGGCGCCGATTTGGTTGATGACAACACCCCATGCGACGGTCTTGGACCGAAGACGAGCTGTGGAGATTTCGGCAAAGATGCAATAGGCGAGCGGACCACTTCCACCTGTGTGAGCATGCTTGAATAGTAACAGATCTATGTACACTGACATTCCGGCTTGGTAGGTAAGCATGTATAACATTGTCTGAGCGCTCGTCAGGCCGCTGAATCGGACGGCGAAACAAACGCGGGGCTTACGAAGACTCCCATTGCCCAAAGTGCGCCGTTGCCGGGTACCAGGGACAGGACGCCGATCATCAGCGTATCAATCGTACAAGCGACCATGCCCCAGAAGAATATTGGGCGACGGCCAAGGCGGTTGGTGAACCCGATCCCAATCAGATTTCCGACAATCTACGATAACTGTTAGCGGGCGGCATATCATGAATCCAAGCTGGTGCGCACAGCCAATGCCATGGTGCCGACACCAAGGTGGAAGGCATTAGCGTCGTTGAAGCCAGCCAAGTCAAAGAAATAGACGCTGTAACCTAGGACAAATTGCACGCCGACCATTTCCTGACAGATAAAGACCATGCCCGCAATGATCGTACGGCGAAGATCGGTTCCACGGAAAAGGTCGACCCACTTGCCCTGGCCTGCGATCCGTTCTTCGAGCTCGATTGTCTCCTTGATGTAGATGAGATGTAGGTCGATGTCGAGACCCGTACCGCCGAAAAGACGCTCGCTGGCCTTCTTAGCGTCTACCATCCGTTCCCTACGAACCAAATACCAAGGCGACTCGGCACGAAGGGAAGGAAGACCAAGACGAATACCGGGAAGAACCATTGCACGGCACTTCAAAGTCTATCAGTCAGAGAACTGCCAGGGAGCAAGGCATTAATCATACAGTGGAATACGATACGCGAAGGAGTCGTCGCGGCTCCCTGTTCCCTGGATGATCAAGTTTGACAAGCTGGACGGTCCTATGAGTGCAATTCCCTTTGTAGGATATGAACCCACAATTGACCAACTATATCCGTCAGTATACGTTTATTTAATTCCAATTGACTCGACTCACTGACAATCCAAAAGTTGACAGCACCAGTAGTGACACCGCGTAGAGCAAGAGGCGAGACCTCCGCGCAATAGGAACTGGCAATAGTTGTATAGATGCCTGTGCCCTCAATTGAGAGAGGTGGCTTTGATGGCATAACAAAAACGTACCCACGGCAAAGCCGTTGATTGAGCGACCGAAGAAGAACATGACGAAATCATGAGGCCGAATGAAGAATTGCAGGAAGAGCGCTGCGATCGATATAATAGACGCAACCAGGAGTGACCCTTTGCGCCTGGGAGCAGACATTGGTTAATGCCTCCAATAAAGAACAGGTGACGCACCCAATCTTCTCCCCAATAAAACCTGTTGCAAAGGCGCCTAAAGCTTGAAATATGTTGGAACCAGCGTTGAACCCGGACTGCCAGGCCGCAGAGATGACCCATTGATCATCGATGAAAGTGCCCAAGTCTCGTCGGAACGAGGGAATCGCGACGACTGCGCCGGAAACCTAATCGCAGCACAACTTAATCAACATCAATCCTCACAAATAAGATACACACCGTGATATCGTAACCCGCGATAGCGGATCCTACGCTCGCGTACATTGCCCAAAGGAAAGCCACCCAATACTTGCGGATGGCAGCGACAGTGTTCAAGGACTTGTCATCAGCCGATAGCTTTGCAAGCACCCTGGCATCGTGCGCGTTATTATTCGAGGATGGTCCACCCTTCTCGATGATGTCAGACTCCTCGATATATTGGGAATCTCTGCCTGGCTTCTTGTCCTGCACCGTACTCATTGTTGTCTTGTTGGGGAAAGGTGTTCGAACTAGATTTGACGTTTCTTGGATAACAGCACACTGACCAATACATAGCTGACGACAATCGGCCGCGTGGGTATAAGAAGGGCGGGCGTCGGAGTGGAGGGCAACCACGAGCCCACAGCTTAGTGCGGAACAGGCCGCTCAAGTATCTTTCACCTCGAACTGGACAAGCTCCGGTTTAAAGAAGCCAATAGCAGACAAGAAGTGTTGGAACCAGACACCATTGTGCTGCTCAACTCCGAACAGCGCGCAGTCAGGTCCATGCTGCTCCTCGGATAAGTGCAGGGAGATGTCGTGCTGGTGGAGGCGTAGAGCAGAGGAGCGCGCCCAAAGCAACTCGGATATCAGGTAGCAAGATAAAGCCAGAGGAGGTGCCGATTCCGCGAGTGCAGTGCCCTACCAGCGATTGAATGGCACCGATGCAATGTGCGTTCCGGAAAGAAGACAGAAGGTCCGAGTGGGGACATGTCTACTCGTCGAGCTTCCCTGACCGGGTAAACTGCGGGGAGTTGGAAATATTGGTGCGCGGGGGCAGACCAGCCGACTGGTTCGGAGGTCTCCCCCGCATGCCGCCCCACACCATTCAATATTCGGAAATATGGGTGCTTTCTCCGTCAATATCCAACGAATACATTCAAGGTTAGATTTGGTAGATATTCCGCTCGTAATTCAGAATATGTTCCGACCCGGTGTCATCTCCGATGGACGAGACAGCAGCTTTTCGGCGCCTCACGTGATCATAAATAGAATTACAGCTTGCACACAAATATTGGGCTACACAAGATCAATGTGACTAATCGCGCGCACAACACTAAGGAAGGCCATCTAATCTTCATCCATGTCCTCATCGTCCTCGTCTTCGTCGCTGTCCTCGCCTTCGGCAACGGTGACCTCCACATCGAAGTCTTGGTCTGCACCGTTGTACGAGTCACAGATCAAGTAGAGTTTGAGCTTGTGCTCGCCCTTCGGCAGTGTAAACTCCAGTTTCTGCGAGAGGGATCGGTGTACTGTGACCTTCTTGATGCTGAGCAGCTGCTTAGTGGAAGGCTCCCCGACCACAAGCCACCAGTTGGCCATCTTCTTCACAGGGTAGAAGGGGGCGACAACGAGCTGCGAGTCCTCACTCTCATCCTCATCCACTTCTCTTTCGAGATTGACCGATAGAACGATCGACGAGCCAGCCTTTAGATCATCCGGATCCTCGATCGTATGGGACATCTCAACGTTGGGATACGAGTTGACAAATTTGGCCACATCTGCCATCTGACGTCTGCTCATCTGCAAGAGATTGTTGCGTTGTTCATCCTCGAGCTCCATGACATCGTAGACGGATTCAACGCCAGCATCAGTGCACCGCTTGATAACATCAGTCTCAAAGTGCGGAATCTGCTTCAGAGGGGAGTCGGTCTCCCACATGGCTTGAACGCACATCTGCGAGAGGTCCATTGCACCAAGGGCGTTGAGGAATGCATTGGAAGACATGACATCGACGCAGGCAGAGAGGAGGTTGAGTACCTTGCTGAGGATGAGAGCTTGATCCGCAGCTAGATCAGGGGGAAGCTGAATACGAGAGAAATGGGCCTGGAGAAGGAGGAAAGTCTTGAAATACGGCGCATCATAGTTGACCTGGTCTAGCTTGACGGGAACACGGTCGTAAATTCGCTTGAGCAGAACATTTTCATGCCGACGGATGGGGACAGTTTCGAACTCGGCCGAGGAAGAGACAATTTCAAGTAACCCCTTTAACTTGGTCGTTGGCTTGAGCGACATGCTGTAGACCTCGACAGTCACATAAGAGATATTGTAGTAGGCAGCGATCATGCCAAGGTTCAATGGCCCTACATCCATCTCGTCTTCGATAGCAATGCATTTAGCGTTCACGAGGTCGTTGAGGGTTGTCTCCACGAGTTCTGAAAGATGATCGGAAAGATGTTGATGGCTAACAGCGCTGAGGTTGTAGTAATTCGGGTTTTGTGTCATACGGCGGTAGAAGTATGTCCATGTCAATATGTCGATGGCATCCTGTTTGTTCTCGATCGTCCTGACGGCTATTTCCGCAAGGAAAAAGTCGTGGATCATATGAGTCGGCAAGTGCGATTCGATAGGCAATCCCTCATTTAAGAACTTCCGATAGAACTCTTTCTTCGTCTGGTTGAGCATGAGCACGCAACGACTGCTACTGCCGGTAGCAGGATTGCAAGCTCGGCCCATCATCTGATGAACTTCATTCATGGGATAATCCACGTAACGGTGTTCTTTTCCTTCAAAGAACTGGAGCCCCATGAGTATTACCATGTTGCACGACACTGGGAGACCCCACGCAGTCTCGCGAGAAGCAATCAGGACTTGGATGGCGCCAGCTTCGAACAGTCGCTGTACGATTCGTTTGTCCTGCTTGTTGAGTGCTTCATGGTAGTAGCCCACTCCATGGCTGAGGGTTTCGACTAGGCCGCGATCAGTCAAGTGCTCAAGATGAGGTTTTAAGTCATCCTCTTCGATATGGACGAAGCGGTTCTCCTCTTCATCTGCTTGGCAGTACGTTAGGATATCATCTGCCGTTAAACGGCACTGCTTCCTGTTGGGCACGAAGATAATCACGGGCTTGTTCGGAGAATGCTCCAGAATCGCCAAGTAAGCGGGTTTCGCCATCGCAAGCATTAAAGAGGGGAAGTGGGGAATGGTGTAACTCTGCAGATGAACTTCCATTGGCATAGGCCGGGCTCCAGGCGAGAAGTTGAAAATAGTTTGAGGGCTCGCACCGATCCATTCGCCCAGATCGCGGGCGTTCGCCAAAGAGACGCCGCAAGCTACAATCCGAGTCTTGACCTCGGTCTGTGCTGAAACGTATCGCGTTCGAGAAATAATTATCTCGTACGTGGGGCCGACCTCAGCTCCTACAAGATGGACTTCGTCGGCGATAAAGAGGCCGATATTCTGGACGTTCTTGCGCTGCTTCCAACGCCGGGAGAGGACGTCCCACTGAGTGGGAGTACAGACAATCAAATCCCCCCTTTCCAGCAAACGTAGATCGGCACTCGTCTCACCAGTAAGGCTGACAACCTCTTTGCCTCCCTGGAGATCCCTGAATTTCTCCTGCCACTCAGCTACTCGAAGATCTACCATTTCTTGATACGGTTCAATGCATACTGCTCGAGGTGTATCTGCCTTGGACCATAATCGTAGAAGTGCAAACTCTGCGCAGATCGTCTTGCCACTGCCTGCTGGAGCACCGACAAACACGCTGTCATCGGTGGTGTACAGAGCAGGGAACACTTGAGTTTGAATTTTGTTGAAATGTTGGAAGTTCGAATATAACTGTTCAAACTCCTTATTATGGAGGGCGGAAACTGGCAGAGGCTGAAGGTCCAGAAGAGCAGTGTGTGGGGGGAATTTCTCAGGAAGAATGAGGTGTTTGAAGGAGATGGGTAGCCGAGTCTCAGACTGTAGCCAACGGTCGGAAATGATGGAGACAAAGTAGTTGGGAGGCACGGGCTCGAACATGGGTACCGTTAGGGTGACCGTGTGCTCGTCTTCAGCATATTGTTTTCTGAGCAAGAATTGATCCTGGAACAGAATGATTTCTCCATCAACGTCCTCGACCATGATCCAGAACAACTCAGATGCACCATGAATCTGTTCATCCCATTGAAAATCAGGAGTGATCGTGAGGTCGATGCGTAGAAGAGATCGAGTGATCGGTTGAACATGCGCTTGGAGGTCCAGTTTTGGGAAGGCGTGTACATAGCGATACACCATTCGACCTGCCTTCTGCACACCGATGAGTTCACCGATTTCTGGTGGCTGCAAGTCGAAGTAGCGATACCACGGAAATTCCTTGCGTTCTGCCCTTCGGATGATGTCCGCGGGGATACCACGGAACTGCCGCAGCGGGCTCATGGAGTTCCACATTCGCTTTTCCACCATCTTGCACATGTCAAGAGCGGATTTGGTGGGCATGGCCCAGCCACGCTTCAGACAAATTTCGAAAATCGCACGCAAGATGCGGCCCGCAGATTGAGTTACATAAACCATGTCGGCAACAAGGGCAAAACCTTCGAGTTTGAGGTTTGATATGTATGCTTGCAGCAGTACATTAATCTTCGCCTGAGGGTCGTCTACGCCTTCCTTCACAGGGATTGGCACTCGCTCCAACATCTTGGCTAGTTCGAGCTTCTCCTCTTGCCGGACTGGGATGAGCTTGAACTCGTTGCTGAGGGCAAAGACGCGGAAAAGATCGATCATAGACATGGTGGACCGTAGATGTTGATTATACGTTGCCATGGAGTTGTACGTCACATAATAGTAACTGGCAATGCGGCCGAGTTCCGTACTGTGGAAGATACCAGTCTTGCGATCGTACTTGATCAATTGGCCCTTCTCCAAGAGAGCAGCGGCAGTGTGCACGATGTCAGCACGCTTCTGAACTAGGAACGGATCATCCTCCATATAGTCAAAGCCAACTTGATACAACGCCGGTGATTGCAGCATCCGCACGTACAAGTACGTATAGCCCAGCCATTGGACGGCTTCGTCACGATTACGGATCGTACCAAGGACAATCTCGGCATTGAGGTTATCAGTAAGTTTGCTGACAAATTGACTCTCGATTGGAAGTTGCTGGTTCATCAAGCTGAGGTAGTACTGCAGCTCCGAATGATTCGTGATGATAATGCCTTCGCCATAGGTGTCGAATTGGGGTCGACCGGCACGGCCGAGCATTTGCAGGACATCCTGACTCGAAAGTTCGACCCAGCGACCTTTCTCAGGATTGTAGATCTGAGTGCCCTTAATGATGACGCAATGAGCAGGAAGGTTGACACCCCACGCCAAGGTGGCAGTGGCCACTAGCACTTGAAGATGTCCATCGGTGAACAGATCCTCGACGAGAGTACGATCCTCCCTGGTCATTCCAGCATGATGGATGCCGAAACCGAATGGCAGCAGGTCTCGCAAATTCGAGTCCTTCACGTTCTCCACCTCAGTGAGAAGGATTTCACGCGTCGCACTGTCTGGCTTGACGAATTGGGTTATGGTCTCCTTCTGGACGGCCATGTCACGGATGAACTTTGCCGTCTTAGAGGTTTCCTTCCGCGAATGAACAAACACTAGAGTCTGGTTTGTCCCGGCCTGGTCAAGCACCTTTTCGTAGCACACTTCATTCATAACCTGGAATCGCTTGATGGCCTTCTTCTCAGTGACACCGATGAACTCTTGCCTCAAGCCGACAGGACGGAAGCTGGCATCAAAGTAGAAAAGGCCCCGTGTTGGTTCCACACGTAGGAATCGTGCAACGTCTTGATAGTTCGGGAGGGTTGCTGATAATCCGACGAGGCGGACGTACTCCTTAGTTTGCTCCATGCGGCGTATCGTTCGGGCGATGATGCTTTCGAGTACCGGACCACGGTCGTCGTGCAGCAAGTGGATCTCGTCGACGATCATGAGGCGTACCAGATTAGTATAGCTGGTATCACTGCTCTTCCGTGTGATGACATCCCACTTCTCTGGAGTCGTTACGATGATTTGTGTCTCAGCGATTTGCTGCTTCGTAAGCTGGCTATCACCAGTCAGCTCGCCGACTTTGACTCCGAATGGTTTCAACCGAGCGCCGAAGTTGCCAACCATCTCTTGAACAAGCGCTTTCATTGGTGCCACGTATACGATCTTGAAAGCATCGAGGTCGAAGGCGCCTGTTTCTGGATCACGGTGTTTGCTGAGCTCGTTCAAGACACATAACATCGCAACGTTCGTTTTGCCAGCACCCGTGGGCGCGCAAAGCAGAATGGGGTCGTCATTGCCATACGCAATGGGGTACACCTTACTCTGTACCCTGTTGAGCGACCTAGCACCTGGGAAGGCTTCCTGGATCCAAGGTTCCAGCGATGTGATAGGAACGAGCTCCTTCTCGTCTGCCTGCTTCTTTTTCGGTGCTGGGATATGGATCTCCTCGTAACCTTTCTTCTGTCGCTTGAATGAGCCTTCCGGTAGTTTGACGGATTTGTTTGACATAAGATGGCCGCCTTGTGAGAACATCATACCCTCCAAGTCGACAGCCCTCCGCGGCTGCAGGACTGCTGAACCAGGTGCAAGAGTAGCCTTAGCTGGGATCGGTGCTGTCTTCAGCGCAGCAGGGATTTCCGCCGACGCTGATGCTGCGGGTGCGGTGCGATCTCCTCGAAGGACTCTTGCGATCCACCCAACGCCCTTCTCACGCATGGCCACTTCGACGTCCATCTTTTCGTTATCGCCGGCACGATGCCACTTGGTCGCCCAGTTGACCACATCGCGATTTTTGATCAGCTTGCGCACGAGGTCAAATTTGTCGTTGTCGTAATCAAACAAATCCATGAGCTCGTTCTCTGCGTCTCGGATGTTTGCTTCAGATTCCAGGATGCTGAGCGCAGCGGTGGTCTTCTCTGCAGCTGTGACGGGGTCGGGGTACACTTCTGCCATTTGGCGTTGAAGCCAGAATGCATCGACTTGGTGAGGTGAGAGTGTGTCCTTGTCTTTAGCTGCCCCGCCGGGTCCAGCAGCACCCTCGGTCCCAAAAACAAGCATCGCCTCCCCCTCTCCCGCTTCCGCCATTTCAGCATCAGCGTCGGCATCTGCCTGTTCCACCTCGTTGACTGCACCACCCTCTTCTTCTTCCTCCTCGTCCTCATCACGGATTTCAAAGCCTTCTTTCTCTTCCTCCTCCTCCTCCTCTTCGTCATCCTCGAAGACAACAGCGACACCAGTCTCATCATCGATCTCGGCATCTCTTCGCTCTGCATCGGGATCGGCCTTCGCCTGATCTTCCTCGCCGTAATCTGTGATCTTCTTCGACAGGTTGATAAGCTGGGAGAAAACATCTGCCTGCAGTGGGCCGATGACTTCCTCGATCTCTTTCTTCTTGTCGAAGTCCTTCATCTCGTCTGACTTGAGCACCTCGAGCACCGCGTCTGCCGCAGAGCGCACGACATCCTGCGCCTGGTCTCCGAGGGCTTGGTGCACGGTTCCCAACATGAGCTCGTATATCTCCCTCGTCTCTGCCGTTCGCGGGCGGTAAGTTAACCCCTCAAGGTCCTGCGTTGCCTCAATAATATCAGTATAGCCAAATCCTCCCGCAGCACCAGTGCGTTTCTTCGGTGCAGCCCGCTCTCGATCGCCAGCCTCCTCAGCAGCTCGTTTCTTTTTCTTCTCTAGGTCTTTGGGCGTCTCGCGGAAGGCGCGTGAGCCCATCTGCTTGGGGTCTATACGCCCCACAAGCGTTTCAGGTGCTCCATCCGGTTCTCGGTCTCGTCGTGGGAGAGCAGATCGATCTGAACGACAGTCAGCTATGTGATGACTTCGAAGACAATAGAACACAACACACCGGTGGTGAGGACGAGCGAAGAGATCGCCCCATAGTTGTACCCTGACCAATCAGGCCGTTTTGACATTTTAATCTTGCAATTTTACTGATAAACGCGAGATAATATAGGGAGACAGAAAGAGAGAAAAGGATGAGGTATGCAGGAGTGGCCGTCGGTGGCCAACGCAGTACTTTTCCACTCAGTCGAAGTCGTGAGTCGCGAAATGGAGTGGCGCAGGACGCCAAGCTTTGCTTCCGGTCATCGGAGTTTGTGTTAGTGGCGATGCTCTCTATCTCCGTTCCCGACAACCCAAGAGACTCTCTGTTCTCATTCGACGACCGTTTGCGAGCGCAAAACCAACATGAGCGAGCAGCAGCCTATCGGTCGCGTACACGCCACAGAGGAAGAAGTGAGGAATCGGACGCTTACGAGGGAGCAGATCAGAGGTACGCCGTTTCATTTCACATCCTCGAACTGGGATTGCTCATACCTCGTCACATAGAGATCTACCGCAACCGCGAAAGGATTCTCAGGGAGCAGTGGGTCAAGGTGTCTGAACTGTTGATCGTGCGCGAGGAGCTCTCCAAATGCCAAGAGACGGAGGGTGTCAACGCCCTGAGCGAATGCGCGTGGTTGGCGAAGAAATACACGGATATGATGAAGAGCGGAGAACACAGGGTGCGTGTTGTTCAGTTGTGTGTCGAGGTTATGGTGTTGATAGGAACATGCAGGTCAAGGGGTGGAAGAAGATTGATCCGATGCCTAAAATGTGGTGATGTAGCCTGCCCGAATGGAAATCTGTAATCCTATTTTCGCTTCTTGCCCAACCAATGTGTTCGAGACGAACCCCTTGTCCATTAACGATACAGTCTTATCCGCATGACTTTTGAACCGTCTATTCCTGCGCCCTGGCCTCCGACAATCCAAGGTTATTCATCCCGCACATATCCAGCCAGACAATCCCATGGTCACTCTTTCCGACGTTCTTGCCTCCATAACCCGTTCCCATCTCCCTTCCCTCTCCCTTTTCTCTGATCAACTGGCGATCCACCAGCGCGTAATCCACCCTGGCGGCATCGCTCCCCACCGGTTTCCCTTTCGCGAACCAGCTGTACGCTGTCTCGCTCCCGTGAAAAGCACGATATACGTCCACAACCTCGGCCTGGGGAATGAACACCTCGTTAAACTGTTTCCTTGCCAACGCGTGCGGATGTTGCGTACGCAAACGTGGATAACAGTCCACCTTTGCGAGGGAGATATTGAAGTCTCCTATGAGCACCGGCCTCAGTCCCCGTGCCCGCATTGTCTGGATTTCCTCGAGCAAGAGCATATTAAATTCTCTCTTTCGTTCGTTCCTGGTCTTCTGTGGCAGCACCTTGGCTAGCGGATCTCCCTCCATGCGTGGGTCTACCCAAGGGAAGTCACTCCCATTCAAAGCGTAGACGTTGACCAGCGCCCAGCCGTCGAACTCCAGTATATGCACTCGTCCTTCCGCGTCCCACCCCACCGTTCGCTCCCGGCGCACCCGTTTCACCCATGGATGAGCAACGAGTGTGCACACGCCGAACCTCCTCTGTCCGCGGCGAGAGACGTTCAGCGCCCAATAAGCAGTGTACGTCGGACCTCCATCTTCTCGCCTGTCCGTCTCCCCGTCCCGATCTAAAGGAGAGACCCCGTTTGCAGCCGCGCACATGGCCGTCATCCAGTCCTTGTCTGTCGGTCTCGCACGAACTTCCTGCAGGCAGACGAACTCCGGCCAATCCCATTCTTTGAGCAACATGCGGAGAAAGTCGTTCTCCGGGATTCGCCTCGGGGGATGTACAAGATAACTGGACATGCCTGTGGACGATATAGTGTAACGGAGGTCGAGGAATGGGATAGGCGTCTCGATATTCCAAGAAATGATGCGTGTTCTCTCCTCGCTATCCCTTCTGGGTGGGCTCGGTGTGCGTACAGATCGTGTCTTCGAACTGGGATTCAGTCGTTGTCGTTTCGCCGGGGGTATCTCCGCTTCTGTCTCTCGCTCCGGAGTCACTTCGCTAATCGCTAGGTTCCGTTTTGACATGGCCGTTATGTTGGGTAGCAGTGATCAGCGCAAGCCAGAGACAGAAGAGGTTTTCCGGTGCAAGAACAGATGTGACTCGACAAAGACGAAGCGACCATCCTAAGTCATTTACGTCATTTCACTGCCACTAACAAGATTGATTAATGAAGTACACCCTGAACATTAATATTATCTTCCACCGTACAGTACTAGTACTGATACGATAACCAATGCCCTGGCAGAAGATTTTCACTTTGGGAAGGAGAGGTAAGGGGTACGCAAACCCCGCAGTGCCCTTATGCTCTGGTGCTCACCGAGTTGAGCAGATATCACCTCATCACTCAGGAGGTCGAGCGACACCTCTCCGAAGGGCTCAAGGACACCCCAGTATGTCCGTTCATATGTGTTCCCAGATGCCCTATATTCATGAGGGAGTAGATAGGAATATGCCATTTGTTTATGTGAGTAGGCTCTGGGACCATTCATAACGTGGATTGACTTCGGGTTAGCCAGCACACAAGCTGCGCGTTGACCATTAACGAGAACTATGATCCTGACGTACGAAAAGGTACACGCTTTCTTTCATTTCCAATCCCGTATAACCATGTACCTGACTGGGGCGCACAGATATGGATATGGCGCTGGATAATATCGTTCCCGAGTCTCTCGCCTGGCGACACACAGACGAAGGAATGGACGACAGCGTCTCCCACACCAAGACCTCCTTGATTGGCAATGCACTCAGCATACCGATCACGAACGGCCGGCTGAACTTGGGGACATGGCAGGGGATATACTTGACCGAGTTTAGGAGTAGCAGCAGGCAGAGGACGGTAGTCGCTACTATTCTGTGAGCACTGTTTTATGGCGTGAATATGAGAAGTTCATCTCGATGCAGGCCATAGATAATGCACAATTCTAATTCCATTCAATCCAAGTTACAACACATACCCTGTCACATATCACCAACTCCTGGCATTCCCATTACTTCCCTCTTTCTTCTTCGCTTCTAGCACCTCCTCCCCTCTCTGGATAAAGTCCTTCAACTGCTTCACCTCCGTCCCATCCTCCTTAATGCTCTGCTCCAGCCTCCTAAACGTCGCCGCCAGACCCTTGTGGATATCCCCACTCCCTCCACCGCCTTCCTCCACGACGAACCCGGAGATCTCTTGCATCTCCCCGTGGAAGCGGTAGGCTTTGGGGAGCATGTCGGGGATACCTTTGGTGAAGCGCTGGAGCATGAGGGGCTGTGACTCAGACAGCTCGGCGATGAGCGCTTCGGCCGTTCCGGGGGAGTTGTGGTATGCGGCTGGAAGACACTCAATGTAAGAATGCAATACGTCAAACAATGCGCACCGAGGATCATGGTTGCTGCCAGTCCAGTGGTGCCTTTTGTGATTCCCTAACGCAGTCTCAGTACTTTCCAGTCTGATCCAACGCAGAACGCTCACCGCATATGCCATCTTCAAAGCGCTAGCTGCCCCCACCCCCGCACCCTCTCCCCTCAGCGCGCCAATCTTAAGCCCAAACTTCTGCAGCGCCTCAAATTCGTCCAGCGCCTTCTTGCCCTCCTCGCTCGTATCCGCGCTAGCGTAGATTATTGGGTCGTACTCGCCCTTCGGTGGGCCGCCAATGATGCTCCCATCCACGAATGGGAGGTTGACCCCTTGCTTGTCGAATAGCTGGCTGATGCGAACGACCGAGCTGGGGTTGACAGCGTTGAGGTCTGCGAACGCCGGCTTGCCTACACGTTTCTCCCCGGCCGGTAAACCGTTGTACGCCGCACACAGCAGTGTAGCAAAGTCGGTCGCGGCGTCCGGCGGGAGGACAGACAAGACCCAGTCGGCCTCCTTGGAGATCTCTGCCAGGGATACAGCGTGCATGCCTGCTTTGGTCGCGCGGTCGTGCGATGCTTGTGAGCGGCCAGCAGGGATGTGCGTCAGCACCTGGACACCGTGCGAGCTAAGCCGCGCCCCGATCGCTGAGCCCATTGCGCCGGGAGAAACGACGGCGATGACTAGAGCTGACATTGTAGTCCTTCGAAATTACGTTGTACGAGAGCTGGCGGTTGAGCAGCTGGACTTGAAGAGGATAGCAGGTAGGGTCGAAGTGACAAATTGACGTTATGGCCGAAAACTATCGCGTTATCGGATTTCGACCGTGAGCAACTATTTATATTCCGACTCACTGCAAGTGGAGGGCTGTCTGCCTTGTAAACGCTGACCGCTGGCTGATCAGAGTTGGCAAGAACATACTTTCTCCTCGTCGACAAGGCGCTGCGTGGGCAGACAGTTCATGAAAGAAACAGGAGGAGGAGAGGGCAAGCGGAACGATCAGGGTTGGATGTTGGGAGACGGAGCTTGATGGGTCGCGTGGGGGGAGGCGCATCTTAGGCGCCTTCCACCACCGCCCATTCGTTGGGCATCACGAAGAACTCAAACTGCACAGTCTCTACTGTATAATACATATTCTGCTTTCATTGAGATAGCTGCTTACCGGATGGATGTTGATGGGTTGCTCAATCGAAGAAGGTATACTCATATCCTACCTCGGTGGTCGTGTCTGAATCGCAAGCGAGGACTGGATCTGCGCTCGCTACATACAATTCTCAAGAATCGGCTCTTCCACGAGAACTGGCGATGATCTACCCAAGGACATAGCTTGGGCTTTCTCTTATCAGTCACCGATTACACGAAAATGCAAGTTGGATCGAATCTCGACGGAACCCAAACCCGAGTGTCTGGGAGTGCGTTGCCTATTTTCAAGCACATCAACAGCCATATTCGCCTGTCCGGATCACACTCAAACTAGAATCTCACGTCCAGTAGCCTGTGAAACCAGGGGTGCAATGCCGAGAATTTGTAACGGGACCAACATGGTCCTGACAATGAATTCGAAGGGCGTGGGATATCATGGATATTTCGTGCTTTCCGGTTGTGTCTCGCAGATCACGAAACAACTACTGCTGCGAAGATAGAAAGAGGAGTAGGTACCATTCCAATGATGTGATAGGGGATTTGATCTTGAGTGAGTTAGGCTTCACTTTATGCAAGAGTCCTTGCGCTGATGCCAAGCAAATGGACGGGAACCCGCTCACCACGTCTTGGGAACAGGAGCTTGTCATCACCTTTGACAACCCTCAGTCAACGGCACAACGCGGCCACTTGAATTTCATCATAGTTGTCTTGACAGCCTTAAATCCGCCTACGAAAGTGTGGGAGAGGCCCCAAAGCGGGGTACTGTGCGGGGTAAGAATGCGGATACTTACTCCGAACCAATCGGGAGACATGCCCAGACAGGGACATGTTTTCCATTGAGCGCCCCGCGCGTACTTTTGCTTCTTCGGCAGAACTACGGTCTTTCTTGCACAAGGTCGAACTCATTCCATTCCGAAGCATCAACCGCTTTCGCACCACCTTCTGTGCTTCTTTCCGCACTCATTCAGTAACGATGAACGGACCGCGTCTGCCCGGGCGCAGCATTCTATGTTCGGCAAGACAGTCTCGTGAACGTCACCCCAGGCTAACTGTCCTTCTTGCTTGTCCGGGATGGCGGCCGAAAGGTCAATTCAGACGCTGTCGTCGAGCAGGTATAACAACCAAAAATCAAGCTTCTCTCCAAATGGGCTCTCATTGAGATACTAGGGTCTTGGAAATAGAATCGCGGTCTGATCACTAGAACTCTGCCGTCTCTCCTCCACTCTGGAAGTCCTGTGGTGGGGCGGTGGTGGCACCGTCGAGATCTCGTGGTCTCCGTCCAGTATCCGGATAGTATTTTACCTACGCGAACCAGGTACGGCCCCTAAGACGACCAAACAGATTTAAACGCCAGCTGAGCCAGAATAACTATCTTGTAGCCTCGTCTCTTGGGCACCTCTCCGGGATCTTCTCAAGCTAAGAACAATGGCTACGCGACACCAGTCATCGTCGGAGGATGAAAAAGTTGGCTTGGATCATGAGGTCGAGTTTATCGACCACAAGGGTGCTGCTGAGAAGGCAAGCCATGAGGGCCATGCCCCCACAAGCGTCCTCGCCCAAGTGGCCGAACAGGAAAAGCAGCTCTCAACATGGCAATCAGTGAAGAAATACTGGGTCGTCTTCCTCTGGTGCATGTATATCTCAATCGGCGCCGCCATCGGAGGTTACGACGGAACGGTACGGCGGCAATTCCTCGCTTTCGTGTCACTGGGGCTTATTGTTCTTCTACCAATAGGTTGCCGGTGCCGTTATCTCTATTCCCAGCTTCCGTGAAGATCTCGGGGATTGGATAGATGGCCAATGGGTTGTATCTGCTGCCTGGCAATCTGGTTTCAACGGCGGGTCCTCTTGCGGTGGTGTACTTGGCGGTCTTTGCACCGGTTATCTTGGCGATAAGATTGGGTACGTTTGTTCTTGACAGAAGCATTCCTCACTCACGTCTTTCACTACAGACGCAGAGGTTCTCTGCTTGTTGCAAGCATTATTTCAATTGCTGCCATTTTCCTCGAAGTTTTCTGCATCCACGAGAGCCAGGTCATGTTCTTCCTCGGAAGGACATTCAACGGCTTCGGGGGTGGCATCTTCGTCACTGTCGCTTCCAGCTATTGCGCGGAAATATCCCCACTCCAACTCCGTGGTATTACGACAGGTGCCGTGAACGAATGGATTGTCATAGGCCAATTGTGAGTTACAGAAGTCCCTGGTCGATGTACTCAAGCTCACGCTTGTAAAACAGCCTTTCCTCAGTTATCATCAAAGGCACCGGTCAACTCACCTCAACTCTGGCTTACAAGATCCCGCTGGGTATTCAATGGATCTTCCCGCTCATGATTCTCATTGGACTTCCGTTCGTTCCCGAGTCGCCATGGTATTTCGTTCGTAAGAATCGTATGGATTCCGCAAAACGCAGCGTCCAGCGTCTCATTGGGCACACTGGCGCGGATATCGACTTGCACGTGGCTCAGATCAAGGAGACGATCGAGTTGGAGGAGCGATTGACAGGGCAGGCGAAATGGATCGATCTGTTCAAAGGTTCGTCAATCAGTCTTTATTATGCCACATTGCTTAACTGGTACATCTTCAGGCACCGATGCACGCCGAACCTTTATCACTGCCATGGTATTCATTTGCCAGGAGATGGTCGGCGTCCAATTCGTACTGGGCTACAGCACCTATTTCTTCGAGCTTGCGGGTTTCAACACGAGCGATTCGTTCTCTCTGGGTGTGGGAACGCTCGGCATCGCTGTGCGTTTGTTGTGTAATATCGCACTCTCTTACTAACTCAGTTACAGTTCGTGGGCAACCTTCTCGGCATCGCCTTCACTAACCACCTCGGTCGTCGTCCAATCTTTGTCTGGGGAATGGTCGCTTGTACAATTGATTGTCTCATGATCGCCATCCTCTCACTCGTACCTGGAAACGGCGCTCTCTGGGCAATGGGTGTGTTTACTATGCTTTACATGCTTGTGTACCAGGCTGGCATGTCAGTAACACCCAAGTTTCCCTGGGTTCAATTCGCTGATAACGCCCGTCCAATAGCGGTCCTTTGGCATACTGTATCTACGCCGAAATCTCCTCCGCCAGATTGCGATCCAAGACCGTCGCCTGGGGAGTGATGATCAACCAAGCGTTCGGCTTGTTGATCACAGTCATCAACCCATATCTGTATGCTCCCTGATCACACGATGCCGTCTAAAAGAACTGACACCTGACATCGTAGGATAAATCCGAACGAGGCAAACTTGCAAGGCAAGGTCGGCTGGATATTCGGAGGGTTCGGCGTCATCTTCACCATCTGGTCGTATTTCGGTATCCCCGAGACATCTGGCAGGACGATTGACGAGTGCGTTTTATGCCCCGTTCTACTCGAGCTTGTTTGCCTGACCGTGGGGTGTCTAGGATCGATATCCTGTTCGCACGCAAGGTGCCCGCGAGGAAATTCTCGAAATACGTCATTACCGAGGCGGACAGGGCAGAGTGAGCGACCTTGTGAAATGAGGGTGTGGATTTGTATATTACAGCGGGGTGAGTGGGAAGATGCAGACATTAGCGGGGCGCCTTGGGACAAGAAGTGTTCTCTGGGCGTGGCATACAATGTGTGTATGTACGGCAAAAGAGACTTGCTCACTCAAGTTGCTTGTCGGAGCCAAGGGACAATCATCCAAAGTGTCCCCTGTCAAATTGATGGTGACCTTGAAGGCACGCAGTTTTGCACACACCCTGGGAGGAGGGAACCAGGCACAAAAATCAGCTGTCCGTATTACATGTTGCTTCTTCCCGCCTTCGCCGGTGGAAGAACAAAAGAATCACTACCAGGCATGTGCCGAGCAAGTAGAAGGATAACGATACATTACCGCATGAGCCGCACTCTCTCTATACGAAAATCCTATCTGACGCCTCTTGGCCTCAGAGCTTAGTTGTCGTGAATACCAGATGTCCCCCATCGACCGGGATCGTAGCGCCCGTGACCCACGCGCCGGCCTTGCTCGAGAGCCAGATGCTTGCGCCCGCTACATCTTGAGGGCTGCCGATGCGGCCCATCGGAAGGCCGGCAACGACTATGTCCTTGGCGGTCCGCAGAGTGTGGGCCATCACTGGACAAAGAAGAATGGGTCAGAACGAGATTCGACTGGTCATGATACGGATTAGAAGGCCTAGGGAGTCAGGGAACGACATACTCTTAGATTCGAATGGTCCGCAAGCAAGGACGTTGCTGGTGATGCCCTCGCTGCCTAACCTGAGTGCTAGATGCTTGCTGAGCTGGTGAAGTGCAGCCTACAACCCGATATCGCAATTAGTGTGGGATGTGGAGGAGAAACGAAAGACAGACCTTGGAGGCGCTATAAGCATACGTCTCCATCCCTGGCACACGTTCTCCATTGATGCTTCCGATCTACATGTATATCATATATCAGACATTTATCATATAACGCAGGTTAAAGACGCACATTGATGATTCTCGCTGGGTCTTTCCAGCTCCCATCGGACTCGTGTCCAGCTTGCTCTGCTGCTGCACGGAGCAGAGGTAGTAGCTTCTGGGTAAGGGTGAAGACCCGCTGAACGTTCAGTGTGAGGAGCTTGCTCCACGCTTGATCCTATCATGAGAATATTTGTAAGAGACGTGTCAGAAATAAAAAGCAAACGTACAGAATAGGAATCGATCGAATCGCCCCATGTCGCACCCGCGTTATTCACGAGCACATGGAGCACTGCTCTCCCATCAGTATCTCGTTGCTTCTCCTCAGAGAAACACACGCACCCTTCTCCTTCTCAGAAACAAAATTCACCAACTTGTGGACCTCTTCTAACTTCTGGAGATCAGCGGGAACGGGAATGCAGCTTCCTGGACCGAGCTTGTTCAGCTCCACGGCGGTAGACTCGCAGTCCTTTGCCGAGCGTGCGGAGATAAAGACCTTGGCACCATTACGAACAAAGCCCGTTGCAATCTGATTATTTATGAGATTGCGGACAGCATAGATATATGAATAAACACCGCACCATCTTGCCGATTCCGCGCGAGCCTCCCGTCACAAGGACCACCTGAAATACATTCAGTCTGCATGATCCCTGTTCGGCCTGAAAATCGCACCTTGCCCTTCACTCCAAACAGCGAATCAATATCCATATTATCTGTCAGAGAGAAACGATGTAGTTGGAAAAAAATGGAAGGAACACGGGCGCAGCAAATAACTGGCCGCCTTATATTTCACAGGGTGATGAACGCAAAGATTGGGTAATTTCCCCGACCCCGACTTCCCCACCGGCTACTCTCAGTGGCTGTGTATTTTCAGGGTTAGCCTGTTTAACCGGTGATGCCTCCGTCTGTTATTGTTACTCACGAACGCTGGCAAGCATTCAAACTAATCCTTCGCGGCGCCAACCTGTAACAACAATCGCACCTACCACCTTTCGGTGCTACCACATCGGAGATGGGGTATTTGCCACCAATTTGTCGCCTTCCGACCGAATTACTCGCTTTGATCTTTGCCACCATCGTACAGGAGTATGAATCGGACCCTCCTTATCCGGAGGCGTTGGGATGGTTTCTACTATCAGTGACGCTTGTGTCCTACCCTTGGAGGGAAATCGCGCTTGGAACACCCAGGTTATGGAGAAATATTTTGATACCCGGATATGCCAATTTATTGGACCGTTCACAGGGGGGCGAAAGTGCGTGGGAACTTGTTGGGCGCAAGTACCATTCACCCGCGTTTTGCATACGACAAAGCGCGGTGGTTCCTCTATTTGTGTATGTGGACGGCGATACCTGGCCGCAAGAGCTGATCGACTCACTTCTGCGCCCCGGTATTTGCGACCGTATACAGAAGCACTACCTCGGCCCACTTGCGATATCCAGTGTCACACCGCACAACTTCCGATCCCTCCGATCTCTTGGAATATCCATTCAACATTTCCGCACCCTTGAGCTCATCTATTCCTGGCTCCTCGCCTGCGGTCCATCTCTTTTCCGTCTGGAATTCGACAGTACTCTGTACTGTCCGACGGAACCCGAAGCTCTGATTGCTATCCCTGACCTCAAACCAGCCGAGCTCCACAATCTAAAAGAACTCTGCTTCTGGCTTGTCAGGCCAGTCGACATGCCCCATATACTTTCCTGCATCTCCGCCCCACACCTCGAGCACCTCACTCTGCTGCTGAGCCGCATGAAGGACTGGCCCTCTTCCGAACGCTGCATCCCACCCGCATGTCTGACATCCTTCGGTGCCAGCGGTAGTACACCACTCCACGAGCTCAAGCAGCTCACCCTAGGCGGAAGGCTTACAGCACGAGACGTACATGCCGTCCTATCACTAGCCTCTACGCTAGAAGAGCTCAGACTGGTCGACTTTCAGCCTCCTCGGGAAGAGACGCAATTCGTACTGCTATCACTCGCGGCGTCCGAATCCAACACCGCTTCCATATCTCAAACCAATGCCTCCATTCCATTGATATCCTCCTCGGCACCACTCCTGAACTCGGAATCAACCCAGCCAACATTCTGCAGCGCCCCCCTCCGACTGCTCCACCTCACAACCCTCGCTCTCACCAGGTGCAAGATCTCCCTCTCGGAGCTTCTCCGACTACTCGATTACCCCCTCGCCTCCGCCGTTCGGACCATGCTGCTCGACAGACATAAGCTGATAGGATATAAGCTGATAGGACATGAGCTGTCTGAGCTGGCGGCGTTGAGAGAGGCTGGCATTAGCGTGTGGTTATGGTGGCATGGGCCGGCGAGATTTATGTTCGAGAGACGGGAAACGGTCAGCTTGTGGGAGTGACCGGAAACTTGAATAGCGGAAACGGGTTTATGGCTGGACCATCTGCACCGTACATGAATAATGCATCAGGATATTCAAAAAGAAGCTAGGAAGATCGTCGCTTGCAAACTAACGGTTCTTCCTTCGCCGCTTCTTCTTCCGTTTCCTCTCCGGCTCACTCTCTCCGTCATTCTCCTGCCCCACGTCCTCATCATCCCCACCCATCCCGTCTGCTCCATCCCGTTTCCTCTTTCTCATCTCATCCTCCTCATTCAAAAGCTCCATCAGGTCCTTGACCAACCCGTTCGACCCGCTGTCTTCGGTCGCTTCTTCCCCGGTGTGGACGTCTGGCGCAGGAGCGACGACGTCCGGGGTGGGAAGAATGAGCTTCGGCTCACTGAGAATTGCTCGATAAGTCTTTCGTGTCTCGGCGCGGATAATGAGCGACTTGGGAATACGAGACACGGCCGCGTAACACGTTACGTGTGCTAGTCCAAGAGTAGTTCCTCTACAACACATGCCAAAGTAAGTCGATCAGAGAAGTCCGAGAACGGGGACAGGAGCCCAAACGTACAGATTCATGATATCGCCGGGTGCCCTCAGCTGATATACATGTTCCGCACCACTGGAGAAAACCACTCCCTCGTGACCCATCCTATTCCCTCCCGCTGCAGCTCTGACGACCTCCCTAGCGTTCGTCCACCAATTTCGTTGTTCCTCTTGCCTTGTCCCTTCACCTCCAAGTACACCAGCACAACACACCTCAAATCTTGCTCCGTTTTTCAGGGCGGTACGGACGAGCGTGTGCTTCATGTAGAAGGGAAGGCGAGGGGAGGAGGTGAGTGGGGGCGTGATGAGATGGACTACAGAAGCAGAGGGTTGGGTGTGCTGTAAGCATGCGGATTGGAAAGTCGAAGTTGTAAGCGGAGTGAGGGAGAGGATGTCGTAGTTCAATAGGAGGGAATTCGTCTGTGCTGTCTGTCCTCGGTACAGGCGCAATTAGACACTGTGAAAGGGGTTGAAGGAACCGAGACGCACAAAACCAAAGCCCTTCTCACTCGTCTCGTCCAGCACGATGTTCAACCGTCTGAGCTGAACCACCCCACGCTTTCCGCCATTAAACCGGGGATCCAAGTCACGAAACATGGTGCCGTCTCCGCCGTCGAACCAGTTCACGTGTGTTGAGGGGTCGAGTTTGGAATGAAGAGTCTGGGTGAAGGCGATGATCGTGTAACCCACTGGCTTATATCAGGGCCGACTATACTTAAATACCAAGGCGAGTACTTACAATAAACGAGCATCTCCACCCTCTCTCTCAATGCTTTCCTATCAGGTAGACGCAATCGCTCGAGTGGGTGGGTCGGCACCGGGCCTGCCACGCCGGTCGAGGCCTGCACATATGCCAGGGCAGTTCCTTGTTTCTTTTGCTTTTCTTTATTTTGTTTCTTCGGCGTGTTCTGCGATTCGTATAATATAGGTTCAGGAAACGGGATGTTAAGGTCGATAAACATCCCGGCTCAACAAGAAAATCATGAACGGGATGAGGTGTGACGAGCGCTAAAAAGCAAAAGTATGGGTTACGTAAGCCAAACCCTGTCCCTTTTGCAAGTGTTGGTCGTGTGTGGACTCATCAACTCTTCTCTTCTGCTGACCACCATGGGCCACGGTAATAGCAACAAGCTGTATATCACCCACGCCGAGCACACCGGCGTCGCCGGTGGACAGCATAGTGCCTCATCCTCTGGCTATCGTGCGAAGGCGACAGGATCCGACCTCCAACAGTTGCCTTTCGACTGCTGCGCTCTCTCCCTCCAGCCATTTGAGAATCCCGTGGTGGTACGCGAACCGGACGGAACAGGCAACGTATTCGATTTGATGAACATAATACCATGGGTCAAGAAGCATGGGACGAATCCTGTGACTGGGAAACCGCTCGCTAGTGGGGACCTGCTACGACTGCATTACCACAAGAACCCAACGACTGGACAGTACCATGATCCCGTCACGTTCAAGCCGTTCAACGAGCACTCACACATCGTCGCACTGGGGACAACGGGAAATGTATTCAGCTGGGATACGATCGATACACTGTGTATCAAGACGAAGGCCTGGCGGGATCTGGTCGACGACAGCGCTTTCAAGCGTTCCGACATTATTACCCTGCAGGACCCACACCATGTTGAAAAGAGAAGAGTAGCAAACTTTGATCATGTGTTGAAGCCGGAAGAGAAAGGCAAGGATGAGGTTCAGGAGATCAACGAGAGCTTGGCGAAGGTGGTGAAGCGCACGACGGGGAAGGATATCAAGACCGAAGCGAATGGAACAGAGAAGGAGGTGGAGAAGGATGCCGTGAAAGCGAAGGCTATAGATAAACCGAAGCCAGCTGCAGTGGTCGCTGGTCCTCGAAAATCCCAGCAGGCGTACAACGCTGCCGGTTACACGAACAACGCCGCGTCCGCCTCGCTCACGTCTACCGCCTCCGAGCTCACCACCACCAACACCCAGCTGCTCATCGACGAAGAAGAGTTTATGTTCGAGCAAATCTCTGCCGTCACGAAGGAAAAGGACCGCGCACGGATGAAGGCGTACGTGCGGATGATGACGAACATGGGCGGCTCGCTCAACCTCGAGCTGCACTGTGATCGCGCGCCCAAGACCTGTTACAACTTCCTCACTCTGGCGCGAAGAGGGTACTATGATGGGTGCACGTTTCACAGGCTCATACCGGGGTTTATGGTCCAGGGTGGAGATCCTTTGGGGACAGGAAAGGGAGGAGAGAGCTGCTGGGGAACACCGTTTCGGGACGAATGGGATGTCAAGGGTGCATACAAGCACGACGCAAGAGGAGTAGTGAGCATGGCTAACCACGGGGCGGCAACGAACGGGTATGGCCTTTTCTTCACCCTTCTAACCCCTGCTGACCGCGGATGTAGGTCACAGTTCTTCATAACGTTCAAAGCTACCCCGCATCTGGATAAGAAGCATACCGTGTTCGGCAAGCTCGTAGGCGGAGAAGACGTGCTCGACCGAATCGAGGCCGTCCCGACGAAGAAGGGAACCGATACCCCGTTGAGCGCGATCAAGATCACAGGTATTGAGATGTACGTTTGTCTCTCCTTCCCACTCGAAATATGCGTGCCGATGTGTAAATTTGTATCATAGATTCCAAGACCCGTTCGAGGAATACAAAGCTCGCTTAAAGCGGAAGTTGGACAGACAAGCGGAGCGTGCATCCGAGAAAGCTGCGCCAAAAGAAGACGACCGAACGACGTGGTTCGGCACAAAGTTGGGGGAGAAGGGCCAGGGGTTGGACTTGAGCGGCGTGGGCGTGGGAAGGTATTTGAAGAGAGCGGCGGAGACTCCTCTGGAGAAGGGAGAAGCGCCAGAGAAAAAGAAACAGAAGACTCTTGGATTCGGGGATTTCTCGTCTTGGTGAGGCGAATACGCCGTGTAGCCTGGAGATCGATGGGTGTAATATGTGAGATCCATTGTACTGCCTTGTAAGAATAATTTACATCTTCCATACATACGATCGTACATCCATGACTCCTCTTGCGCCATACTCTGCTCAAGCCTCCAAAGCCACCCTCCCTTCCGGCTCTTCTTCTTCCCGTGCTGTCTCTGTCTCTTCATCAGCATACCGTCTCTTACATACCGAAACACGCACCTGGCTCCTGTGGCTCCGTCGTCGGAACCTCCGGGAGCTTCCCGACCGTGACGGGAACGACAGGGACTGTAGAGGGCACTTCGGGCATCCTTAGCTGCTCGGCTTGTAGCTGGGCCAGCTCGCGCTGAACGGCTTCTTCTTCGTCTACTGTCATTGTTGACATGAGCATCTCGTCGATTTCCTAAGACTTTAATCAGCATGATGCCCCTGCCCACGATATCCTCCATCATCAGAGAATACAAGGCACAGAGAGGCAAGTGGAGGGCCGATGATAGGAAAGGACGACACGAAGAAGACGACCCACTCGCTGATAAGCCACCGCCTCGGCCGTATCCTCCATAAGCTTCTCCACTTGCTCGAGTGACATCTCCTTATGTATCTCCTTGAGGACAGTGTTCCCCTGCTGTAGGCCGAACATGACGTCCTTCTGTACGAGAGAGAACTCCACGCTCGATACCTATCCGACCCAAAGCAGAACAACAAACAACAAACCAAAAATAGTCAGCAGTAGCAACACAACCCGGAGAACAGAAGAGACGTACAAGTTGCTCGAGCGTCTCAAGCTGCTGATCAGTCTTGCCTAACAGCTGCTCCTGGTACTTTCTCCGCCGGAGGGCGATCAGCGCCCTGTCCTTCCTCCCCTGTGCTAGCGCTTCTAGCGCAACCCGTTTCTCAGCATCGAGCACCACTTGGATCTGTCATCCCGTTATCAGTAGAGTCGTATGAGGTGGGATAGGGGAGACGCACACGTTTCTGATACTGCCGGACCTTGTCCCTCTGGAGCTTTAGGCTTTGCCCCTGTCAGCGCTGGGTCATGCGATGAGAGAGAGGACACACTCGAGTACCGCCCGGTCTTGCGCTGTGATCTTAGGTCCAGACTGGGCATTGCCCATTGAGTCGGAAGGAGAGACGAGGGAACACTAGTGCAGATTTATAGCGAATGATGAACCCTGGAGGATGACGAGGTCTGTCACGTGCTTGTTACATTACAATGTCTGACAGGTTGAACGTGTACGTGCTCTATTCGCTTTCCGTTGGAATCCGGTACAGAATGTTTGGGGACAATATCATCAGGCATATTAGGTCATGAACGAGGGCCAACTACGCGCTTTTCCCCCAAGGAATCAGTTACTCAGAGCCTGTGACAGACATTAAATACCACCCTGAGATGACTCCTTCAACAACTGTCAAATTCTGTTACCCGTGGTGTGCGATAACCAGTTTCGGCCATAACGTTGCATAGGTTCTGTATCCGGGGCGGGATCGATACACGGAGTCCCGGTATTAGGCTGCCGCTCTCACGCTATCCTCTATCCCAGGAACATGAATGAACAGACTTTCATTCCCAAAGATGTACTGCCTAGTCTGCCCTTCTCCCATTCTTCCGCTTCACTCTAGAAGCAGAATACCTACGCCCACGTAAGCAAGCTAACATGTGCAGAATGAGACGGCGAACCTGGTCCGCGAGCTTGCTGATCGTGTTCGGCGCTGGGTAGCCGAGCTCATGCAAGTGCTTTTTCATCGCTCCGATCATAGGCGCTGGGCCTGCGTAGACCTATTCAGTCGTGATCCAAGGAAAGAGGATGACAAGAGAACGCACCACACATGAGGATCTTGATGTTGTGATCTGTTGGGGGCAGGTGTTCATGGATCATCTGCTTGCTGACGAATCCCACTCCTCCTGTCCATCCCTCGGGAGGGTTATTCAGGACATAGTAGACCTTGAACCTGTGCTTATGGGCCTGGGCGAGCTCGTCCAGCTCTTTCTTCAAGAGGATATCCTCGTGGTTGACATTAGCGTAGATAAGACTGAGTTTCGTTAGGTCCAGGTGAGTCTTGAGCGCTGCACGGATGATCTGCAGCATGGGTGTGATACCAGTGCCACCGGCGATCATACCCAGCTCGCGGGAGAGAGATGCGTGGTACTTGAACTGCCCGCGGGGACCCTTGATTCGCACCTTCTGGCCAGGTTTGAGCAGGGAGATCCACTTGGATATCGCGCCCATCTCGTATGTCTACCAGAAGTGAGAAGAGCGCTTGGGAAGGGTGAGTGGGACGCACCTTGATCATCAGGTCAAAATGCCCCAGGTCGTCGTCGCTGCTCGTCGGGGTGTAGGCGCGCGTCACGACTTTGCCGTTGATCTCTGCACTGATAGAAATATGGTTCCCGATGGGGAGGCCGAGAATATCGTCCGCATGCGGGAGGGCAAACCGATACCTGCAACGGATTAGGATAAGATGTGCGAATTAGGAGGGACGCACAGAGCGGTGTTAGGCGAGACGGGGATCTTCTCCACCAGAGGGAACTCCTTCCATTCCTTGGGGTCAAGCACAGGCACGCCACGCTCTACCCTCTATCAGCATATTTCACATGTGTGAAGCAGGATGAACGGACTGCGGCCAAGGAGCCCCTTTTGCTGAGCATAGATGAGGAGAAGGACTGCCCCGACGACGAGGAGTGCGATGGGGACGAGTGGGAGTGCCATCGCTCGTTGATCTCGAGAGTACAGGATGGGAATAAGCTACCCGCGGTATACGACGGGGTAATTGTCTATGCCAGCAAGCTAGTTCTAAGGAGGAGATGGTGGTGGGGAAGAAAAGAGGAAGAGCTGTTCATCCGCGGAATTTGAGGGCCTTAGGGGACGATCTCTTTCAATGGGGAAAACAACTAAGAAAGGAATATCAAGCGCTGAATGTAATTCCCACGTGTTAAATTATCACCCGCCGAATCAGGTCAGCTTCAACGTCCACCACCGTCCACCGGCGTCCACAACCATCATTCACCTCTGGTCAACGACCAACATGGCCCGCACTCGCGACTCGACAGACTCACTCGCCTCCCTCGACTCGCACGTCTCTTCCCTCCCCTCAGTGCTGAGCCTCAGTTCGTCAGAAGAAGAGCTGCAGAGGTTACAAAAAGAATGGGATGAGCAGATGGAGCAGTTCAGGATCATCATCGAGGTCGTCGCATTGCCATTCTTTGGCAAATGGCTCGGAAGGAAGAGTGCGCATTGGGGTGGGCTGTTATCTTTCTTCCTATAACGGGGCGGGACTGAGCAGAGAACAGTATATCGAAGGTGGTTGACGATGGGATGGACGGCTAGGTTCTTCGTTGGAGAGACAATAGCACGGGAATTCGCTAGTTCGTTCTTCCTCCTCCGCTGGTTGGATCTTGCTCACTCCGCGTAGGCATCGAGGCATTCTTCACCCTCTAATAGCAAAACTGCATTTGTATTTCTACGCGGAGATCAATAACACCTGTGGGACACCATCAGGATCAGAATCTGACGAGTTCAGACAATACATGTGATGGAGTTGAACATCCACATCATGGCCAGCTCTTCGTCCATCCCAGGATGTCGCAAGTGCTGCAAGATTTAGCTCGCAAGTGGAAATACCTACACGACTGCACCTTCATTCAACGAAACAAGGCCGTGCCAACAATGTGTCATTACAATACAGATTACAGGTAGATATACACCCAGGAAAGACACCGTATTATGACACGCAAGAAAATGACTTCACCGGCGAAAGTCTACGGCATCGTCAGATCCTCCCATATGATAATTGTCAGATCGCTGTCTATCGATCCTGTCGCTATCATGTTCCTCGTCGGATGTGTCGCTGTCGCCAGTACCACGTCTACCGTGCATCAGCCTGGGACAGCATAGAATAAAGGGAAGCGCACCATCATGACCCTCCAAAACCTGTACGATCTCCCTACTCTGTAAATCCCACACATACGCCTTCCCATCCTCACTCCCACTGACGATCCACTTGCCTCCCGTAACCGAAAAGCACGAGAACAAGCAGAACGTCTGATTCCGATGGCCGACATACGTTTTCAGACAGCGCGCAGAGTGGTAGTCCCATAGCCGGATTGTGGAATCCAGCGTGGAGGAGAGGATGTATTTTCCGTTTGGGGAAAACTTGACTGATGACACTGTTGGGTTGTCGTCGTCTACGAGAGTTTTGAGACATTGGCCGGAGGCGGTATCCCATATTCGACTGTGAAAGCCGTGAGTAAATATACGAGTGGAAGAAGGGAGACGCACATGAGTCCATCGTATGAGCAGGAGACGATCATACTCCCATCTCTGTTGAAATGCGCTGCCGTGACGGGGTCTGAATGTGCCTGCAGCGTCTTCATACATTTGCCTGCGCGCACGTCAGCGTCCTTGTTGTTGTCATAGACTGAGAGTAGGCGTACCTCGTGCCACGTCCCATATCCGCAGACTCTCGTCAAAGCTCCCACTTACGAGGAGGTTACTTTGCGGGTTGTAGTTCACGCAGAATACGTAGTCTGTATGCCCTCTGAGCGTCTTGATCGCTTTCCTCTACCATGCAGTCAGCTACCATCCCACACTGCGTAAAACAGGGAATGAACGCACCTTTTCCACATTCCATATCTTCACCGTTGTATCATCACTCGCCGTCGCAATGTACTTCGAGTCCCCAGACCAAGCAAGGTCTGATATCCCCTCTGCATGCCCGGTGAGGGTAGCGATCAGGTCTCCCTCCAAAGTCCACAGCTTTACCGTGTTGTCCGCCGCTTCACGCACATGAGCTTCACGCATACCCTGCGAGCAACAAAAGACGCACAAGCACTTCCTAGGACCTTCCCATCCGGGCTGAACTTGACGCTGCTGATGCTCATCGTATGCCCCGAGAGGCGCACTTTCATCTGATAGTTTGGCCGCTGACGAGGTACGGAAATACCGAGACAGGGTTGTGGTTGCGCGGGGGTGATGTCGGCTTGTGGGGGGTGGCCGTTCACCTCCGGCGGAGGGGCGACCGCTTCTGTCATCCTTGAGAGGCTTGAAGTGCAGAGTAGCTGAGTGTGGTATGGAAGCGAACAAGTTCAAGTTCAGGGTTGAGCGCCGTTCGGCTGAGATGGTCAGTGCGTGAATTTTAAGTGGCTGTGCATTACCTAGTCATATAGAGACCCCCACTGGCGAGACTCTGTCGTCCTCTTTGTGTTCTTGATGGTCTAATGCTTCAACTCTTCTCGATGAGTCATCTTCGCATGGTTCTTTTACCACCCGCCTCTGGCATGGATTCGGCTTTGCGGTCGTTCTGTAGGCACAGCTCGACAAACTTGAAGGATTGAGAAAACACAAAACATGTCTATCTCTCTCGGCCTTGTCGCTACTACGCAGGGAAATTCACGTGGATTTCCCAGAAAGGCAACATCCTCTATCTAAGCATATACAGTACCTGCGCATCCTGCCGAGACCGGATTCTACTCTGCCGGTATGGTGTATTTCCCTCCAAAGAGAGAATACCAGGCGCCGAATGAAGACCGGTAGAGTACAATACAGTCCTTGTGCTTAATTCGGGCTGTGTTCAAGCTCTCTGGGATAAAGGCAAAGTTTTCATCTGAAGGCTTGTGAATCGCCCCTTGATGGTCTCTCGTTGCTCCCTTCTGTGAGCCACAATGGGCGCGCATATAGCCACCGTTAACAGATCAGCTGAGTTTATCAGTTTTTGCCTCAAAGAAAACGACCAGAACATTCCATCGGCCATTTTTCCGAATTATCCCAGAATCTATCGACGGCACCAACTACATCGAGACTGGACATTGCCAATTTTGGTGATATCGGAACCGAGCTGATCTGCAGCAATGGGGCGTTACAAGGCGAGAAGCAGTGAATCGTGAAAAGATGCGACACTTTCATGGCCAGTCACCGGCGGATCGAGCGAGTATTGACCTGAGGAGCAGCTTTGTTTTGTATATATAGCGCAGCTAATTTCGACTGGTGCACTCACCACCCCTTTGCTCTTTGAGATCTCCTTCCCTCTGGTTCGGTCGCCCTTGTACGTTGCTGTCTATAATCTTTGTACGGCTGCTCTCATACCGGACCCGGTTCCGACTCCTGTCGTTCCTCCCATCCGGCGGCTCTCGGTCACGAGCGTTCTGGAGCCGACAAGTTCGAGATGGTGTATGGTTTGCCCCCTGCCGGTGCCGGAACGGATTCTGCTCTGCAGCTCTCGTGCATGCTCCCTTCCACATGGGTCGGCGTTGTATGTCATTCCAGAGCACTGCCCGCCCCGTGTCCCTCACTCTTCCTTCGCGCAACTTCCAGGGGATCTCTCCGCTGGGTAGCTTGCTGTGTTTCTACATGGTGCCGACGCGCGTCCCATTGGCGACGATAAGGACATGTGTTTCCATCTCTTGTCCGCGGACTGAACCAGTTTTCTTCTTTCGAAGACGGTAAGCCCCCAGTTGTCGTTGTTGAAGCAGAGCACGATAGTGACAGTCCGCTCACGCTTTCTTATCACTCTCCTGGTTGCGGCTCAGTGAGGCGAGCTCGTGTCCTAGCCGTCACTCAGGACGAACTACTTCTGCCTGGTGTTTGGTCTGAACCGGGCTCGCCTTACTGTCCGGATTTTCACATGTATGCTATATGCGCGCATCTTCTCATACCTGCCCGACTGTATGAGGACTGGACTGGATTCTGCTGTGCAAGTGTGTCGGACGCGCCCTGTCCGGTCGCTCGCAAATGCGGTGAATTCGCCACAGCACAACCCACCCCATCTCCCTCGTCTTGAACGTTTTATCGGGCTAACCCGGTTGTTGCTACTATCTGGGTTTCAGCTCGGATTCAAGTCCGGATTGCCCCAGATAGCAGCTGTTTGCGCGCGTATTTTCACACCTGCCCGACCGGCAGGCGGATTGGGCAGGCTTGTGCTGTGTAACTACAGCATCATGTGTGCACCCCTTCAGGGCGCTCTCGCATGTTTCCTGTTCTGCAGAGCACAACCTACATCATCTCCATCGTCTTCGAAAGTTTATCGGGCCAACGCGATTCTTGCTACCCTCTGGCTTTCAACCTGGCTTCAAGCCCGGATTGCCTCAGATAGCAGCTGTTTGCTCGCATCTTTTCATACCTGCCTGACCAGCAGGTGGATTGGGCAGGCTTATGCTCTGGGACACAGCATCATGGGTGCGCCCTTTCAGGGCGCTCTCGCCTGCTGCGTGCTGTGCAGAGCATAACCCACCCCTCTCCCTCGTCTTTGAAGGTTTATCGGGCGAACCTGGTTCATGCTGCTTTCTGGCGTTCAACTAAGCTTACTGCCGGCACTCCGCATATATGCAGCTAGCTATATGCTCGCATCTTCTCATACAGCATGCCTAACTTGCAGTGAGATTGAACTGGACTGGCTTCTGCTCTGAAACTGTCACGTGTGCATCATCCGGTGGCCCTTGGACGTGACCAGGTCGGCGCACAACCCTTTCCTTAACTGTATTTGGATGTGCTTTGGATTCCTCGACCGAAGGCTACCTCACCGTGCATAAATAACCGGGTTCTTCGGTATGTATAACGCCTCGTACCCGTCATCATTCTCTCCGCCGTCCGTGTCCGCCCCATCTAGAACATTGACCACTGAAGGAAGGCATTCAACCGGCACTGGGTAAACGCTGCATACCCTTTCCGAGCATGCAGTTAGACTGTTGTTGAGTCTTCTTTGCGGCGCTGCTGGCGCCTTTCAAGGAAGGATCCACAGGATGCCTCTGTGGAACCTTCCTCGAGAGGCAGTGGATTGTTCTCTACGGATCATCCGTAGAGAACAATCCACCACATGTCCTTCACTATCACACAACAACAGCTTCTTCCGGGCAGATTTGGGCAGAAAGATAAGCAAGTACGGATGACAAACTTGTTTCTGTGTGCTTCTCGCTAGGAGCGAAGGACACGTCCATCTCTCTCCCGGCGCGTTGACTGACAACTGGTAAAGTTGGTCGCTGGCATGAGCGTGGGTAGGGATCAGTGGCAGTGTAAAGATGACATCATCGCCGCGGCCTCCGTTCGGAGAAATTGTAGTTAGGACTGGTGATTGGTCAGGGAAAGGGATAGAAAGGGCTCCGAGAAATTCCGGAGCGTTTTGGGTGTTTGTGTTGTTGTGGGAAGTGTTGAAATGGAAAGGATGATAGGGGGTGGAATTACTATGTAACGTAAATGCATTGCCAATCCCGGATTGCCCAATGAATTCTGCTATTATTCAATCTGGGACAACGTGGGGTCGGATCGGATACCACAACCACTCGGAATACGTGATAATAGAAACAGCTATAGGAGGTCTCCTTATTCCCCACACCTTCCTAACCTTCCCAACATCAGAATTCATGTATTACCTAACCATAAGCGGAGAAACCCGGAGCTGATCGTTGACTGAGTTCCCACCATTTAGGGAAAGATATCCCAAGTATGAATTGTCCGCGGCTCCCGCGTGTAAAGCGGTCAGGGTCGTATCGCCTTCTTCCCCAAGACATAATCTCAACCATGCTTTCATAATCAACCAGCGCTGCGGCTTACAGATATCCAACGTCCGGCCTACACGTAAGAAGGACGACCGGCGGTGTGCATCAGCCATTACCGGCCATATTTAGTGGGGAATTTTTGAATGCACGCAGCGAGGAGGAGGATGTCGTGCTCGTGGACGGCGAACGGTGACTGAGACTGGGGAGGTCATCCTTCTAGGGCAAAGGGATATAAGCGGGCACTCGTCGACGTCTACTCAAACAACAACAGCACTCTCCAAACACCCTCTCTGCTCAACTCTCACACAAGATATCATGTCCAAGCCCGTGTTGTACGTCTTCCTTCCTTCGGTTTGGGCTAAGGTGCCGGAGCTCGCGCTCGTCGCGCTTGGCTATCCATCCGATGCAGTCGAGAAGAAGAGCATTAACCTTGGTGCGCCTCGTTTATTCCAGAAGATGGATATATGCTGACGGGATAAACAGTCGAGGCAGAGAACCTTTCCCCCTCATTCGTCGCCATCTCCAATCCTGCCACCCTTCCCGTGCTAACCGTCGATGGTACCTCGTACACCTCCACAATCGACGTGACGCGCTACCTCGTCGAGCATGCGCCTACCCCGCACAAGGCAGGAACGCACCAAGCGTTAATCGACGCTATACACGCAGATGGGATCGACCCGAACTTCCCCTTTGTCGGCGCGCGTTGTCAAGCAGAGCTCGAGGCCAAACGTGCCGCCTTCCCAGGAACGTTCATCAAGACCCGATATGCTGCTGTAACCAAGTTCAACGAGGATGCAGACGAGGAGCTTAAGGCGTACTACGCGACCAAGCTGCCTACTCTTGGGTACTTGAACTCGATCTACACCGATGCGCCACAAGACAAGGTGGACGCGTTTGTCGACACGAGCGTGAAGCACATGCAGAGGGTGAATGAGTTCATCCTTCATACCCTGCCTACCTGCCTGCCGGAATCTGGGTTCGTCGAGGGTTCAACACCTGGAGAAGCGGACTTCCACCTCGCAGCTTGGATCGCTAGGATCTCCCTGCTTGCTGGGGCTCCTACCGCTGCTGAGGCCCAGGGCGCACTGGAGAAGGAGCTGGGGGAGAAGCTGCCGGAGAAGGTGGCGAAGTATATCGAAGCTTGGGCGGGGACGGAGGCGTGGAAGGAGGTGTATGCTGATGGGCTGCATTGAGTCGGCACTGAATGCGCGTGTGTTGTAGATCCTCTCCATTATATTGCATGCATTATAGAGAGAGCAGGAGGAAGAGGCGAGAGGTTCATGGGGTATATTGAGCTCCGGAATTCACGCCGCATCTATCCTTTCATGAAGGGAACAGATATAACAACTGCAGAGCACAGTCCAGTCCAGTCCAAGTGCAGGGGGCAAAGTATATGCAGACAGGGCTGCAAGGCTTCAGACGAGCGCTTGAAGCCTCGATCGATACACGCAGTTTGAACCTCTGTGCGCGGAGTTCTACAGACCACCAGACACATGGCAAGAGACGAGCATGGAACGCGGATTTCAGCAAAAATCAGGTTGTTCAAGCAAGATATCGCCCCCGAGGCAACCTCTATTGCCGTGCTCCCCTGCCCCACTTCCGCTTCTGGAGGTGGTGGACGAGAGACTTGGCCCGGTTCGCAGAGAGGACCACGCCCGGGCAGGTTCTCTGGGGCCAAGCCTTCCAGGCGTAACATACAATCTCTAACCACAATCGACCCTAGTCCCGACGGATAGAGAGGAGACAGGCGGGCCGGGGTGCCTTCAGAGATGTCGCACAGTAGCCCCGCGAGAGTGTTCCGATGAAATCCCTATGCGTGAAGCAAGAATGATCAAGTCAGAACTAGGCGGAGATGCTACAGTGCTGGTCGATGAAAGTAGGATCAAGTAAGCCTCATTGTAGTAGATGAGATCAACTGACATCGAGCACGCAGACGGTACGGGGCGAACATTCGAAGGGCGAAAGAGAAGATATCGTGACGAGTCCATCTGACCGTGATATTCATACAAAAGAAAAACTCACTCAGTGTCACTACTCGCTCAATAATCGCCATTCAGATGATGGACGACGACAGTTCTCTGCATCTGCTCACGATGAGCTCCTTCTGTTGTTGCCATGCTAGATCTCCGTAAATCAACTCGGTTCCGAGATAGCCAAAACTGGTAATATCGACTACTCGATATGGATATGCTTGGTGTCGTCCACATGTTTTGTCAATATCTCCAGTAGAGTGGCCCATGGAATGTTCTGGTCGCATTCGATGAAGAGACTTGGGTGGTTGAAATAGGTAACACCAAGCGTTTTATGGAATCACATGGTCAAAATCGATTCCGGACACAGCTCGAATATATCAGCACATGTCACGAGTGAGATTCTCTTTCTCCATCTTTTGCTTTGAATCGGGTGAACGTCCCTGCTTGTTGGGTTGTGTTCTGCAGCACCTGAGATGCAAACCGTCTTTCCTTCTTGGATGAAGGACCACAAGTGACCAGAAGACTACAGAATATCGTAAAGGAAAGAATGAATGCAAGAATCACGCCGTGTCCACAGAATCCAATCCCAGGATCAGAGTGACAGAGCGGCGGAATGGTCGTCCTGGCTGCGGATAGTTGGAGGAAGCCTGTGTCAAAGGATCGGCACCGATAGGCATCGGACATAGCTGCACAGCCACATTCCCCATGTTTGGCGCGTCAAGGAGACCCTAACTTGATGTTGTACCTCCATCGAGCTCATGTTTACCCTCTCTGCTTATGTACATGTGCATCGAATACCAGTCAACACCTAGTCATGAAAATAGCCCTCTCCTGGATCACTCGGAAATGCGACTATCGGAATGCTGATTAGGGTCAAGGTCACGCGAGAAGGAGCTCAAACTGCGCGGCGAAGCTGCTTACACCGCTGATGCTGATCTTTCTCCTCACAACGAAGAAGGACATCAATCCTTTCATCAGATCCTGCTGTCCTTTAGGTGACGAAGCAGTCAACAATCCGATGATTTTGCACCTGTCCGTGCCCCCCGGAGCCTAGTCCCTCGAGGGAGGTTAAGGGTCCGCAACTGTTCGCGTTTCAGCTGTGACTTGCATCAGTTGCCGGCAGTGCATGAGCGTTTGGATGCATACGGAGGTGTATGCGCCCACGATTCTCCTCGACACTGTGTTTCTTGGCATTGAGCGGGCAGCAACCAACATCTGATCCTGCAGGAGAAATCAAAAAGAAGAGTCTCTAACGCGCTGATGTGACTGGATGTTCCGAAGGCGCAATCTGGCTGCGCTTTTCGACTGGACGCTGAACCTGGCATTGTGCACCTGTCTCGGGACTTGTTGAGGAGGATCAACAGAACTCTGCAGCATAGCAGGGCGATGTGAATCGTTCATTTCGCTCGCTTTCTCCTTCCTTGCACAGCGTGCTGCGTCTACTCCGGTGATGTTGTCTTATTCGGTTGGCTGAAAAGATGTTTGTTGGGAGCAAAACGCGGGGTTGGTTGAACCCTTACGGCGCTGCTGCCCTCCGCCTTCTTCTGACTCTGCCTCCCTCTGGCTCTGCTCGCGTGGCGCGGGGAGAAGCACGATTTGTTCCGCACACGCTGAACACCATCATTTCCACCCCTCGCTCAACTGGATGTACTGGACGTATAAAACTGGACCTGTCAGCGCTCGTTAATCTACAGGCTGGTCCTCTCACACATCTACTCCACTTGTGCAGGTCACTCGACTCCAATCTCACTGATCTCTACCTTACTCTTCTATCAACGATCCCTACATCCCAACACAACACAACCCACCACTACAACACAACAATGCCTTCCACTCGCACTGCCATCATCCTCGCCCTCAGCGCCACTGCTGTTCTCGCTGCCCCTCTCCGTGACAGCTTCTCCTCCTCTTCCTCCACCTACGGCTACGGCGCCGGCTCCGGTATCCGCGGTGCTGAGCGTGAGATCCGCCGCGAGGAGCGCAAGATCGAGAGGCTTGAGGACAAGGTCCGTGGTGAGATTCACCAGGTCCACCGCCTGGAGAGGAATGAGCGCCGGATCGAAGCGGGCCTCGAGCGCACTTCCCGCCGCCCCAACCTTGCCCCTATCGACACGGCCCGCTCCCGCCAACCCTCCCTGCGCACTCCGTCCTCTGGCAGGCTCAGCTCGAACCTTCGCACCCCGTCCTCCGGCAGGCTCAGCTCGAACCTTCGCACCCCGTCCTCCGGCAGGCTCAGCTCAAACCTTCGCACCCCGTCTTCCAGCCTTCGTACCCCTTCCACCGGCCTCCGCACGCCCAACACCGTTCGGAAGACCCCTGTCACCCAAAACAACCTTAACGTTGCTGCTGCCCTGAAGAAGGCTTTGACCACGGCAAAGAAGGCGGCTCCTAAGACCCCCATCACCGCAAAGACCCCCGTGAAGGCGGCTCCCAAGATCCCTGCGAAGGCGGCGCCCAAGACCCCGGTCAAGGCTCCAGTCAAGGCGGCTCCCAAGACCCCGGCCAAGCAGCCCACCACCTCCACTAAGCCTGCTGTGAAGACCCCGGCCAAGCCTACAACCTCGGCCAAGCCGGCGACGAAGGCTCCTGCGAACAAGCCTACCACTGTTAAGGCGGCCCCTAAGACTCCCACCACCCCGAAGACGCCGGTCAAGGCTCCCGTCAAGGCCCCTGTCAAGCCCACCACTGTGAAGGCGGCACCTAAGACGCTCACCACGCCCAGGACGCCCACTACCCCTAGGACGCCCACTACCCCTAGGACGCCCACTACCCCTAGGACGCCCACTACCCCTAGGACGCCTACCACGCCCAGGACGCCCACCTCCCGGCTTTCGGCTGAGCGTGGTGAGCTCCGTAACACTCTCCGGAAGGAGCGCACTGCTGCGGCTGAGTTGAGGCACGAGGAGCACAAGCTGGAGAGGACTGAGGACAGGCTCCTACGCACGGAGCGCAAGCTTGAGCGTGAGGAGCGCAGGCTCGGTGCTGACCTGCGGGCTGAGCGCAGGCTCGAGTCTGGCCGTGAATATGGCCGGGAGAGCTCGAGGCGGTTCCTGGCTAGGGATGGGGAGGATGACGATATGTTCTGGGCTAGGGATGATGAGAACCTGGAGGAGCTCGACTGAGCTGTCCTTTGGTTATCACCTACGAGAGACATTTAGGATGTGATACGCAATTTTTTGTAGTCAATGCCATTGCGTTTGAGCCTTAACCCTTCCCCGCTATGTTTTCATTAATCTGTGCATGCGCTCACTATGTCCTCCTCAGTGTCAGTCTTGAGTAGTGAAATTGTCCAAAAAAAGACACAGCCACTGGTTGTAATTGTTCCTCCAACTTGAAAACACAGCAATACTTTTGCATTATTTCCCACCATTCTCATCCTATTAATTGGGAGTGAGAAATAACAGCAGGTCTATGTGGACACGCTGCGAGCGTGCGACGCTCTATCTCGACTTCCTTGCGCCCACTCTCCATACGCCGGCGACACGAAAACCTACAAGGCGGACATGTTCTCGACTTGGGCAGGCGGTGAATGGGAGGGCATCAAGTTCTTCCACACGTACACTTTCGGCATTAGTCGAAGAGCTACATACAGACCGTCAACATGCGCCTGATGCGAAATCCCCACCAGCTCAACCGTCAAGAAAGCAGGCACGTCCACAGTCCAAACCGCTGCGCGAGATCCACGGCGCGTACTCGTATAACGTTCCTTTGGACATGCCGTACTCGCAATTTGCATTGGCGAGACAGGCGGATGCGGTTCAGTTTGATGTGCTTATGGGGCGTCAACTTGTTGGGAAGAAGGGCGGGAGGATGGCGAGAGCGAAGGGAGGCTTTGACGTTTGGCACAAGGGGGAGGGGAAGGTTGCGCCGGGGGCTCCGAACACATTGGGCACGAAAGGCAGCGATGTCGAGGAGGTCGAGGAGGATGACTCAGTAAATGGAGAAGGCTCAGGCGCGCTCACTATTACGGAACTTCGACTTCTCCTCCTCGAACCTACACTCCATCCCTCCTTCCTCCTACACCTGCGACCGCTCGTCAAGCAGCTCACGCAGCGCGACGTCGCCGGAATAACCCAATTTCTATGTGATCCTTCGAAGTGCACCGACTCCTTTCCTTCCCCGTCTGGGATCCCCTGGCCGCAAGACAGCGGCAAGCAGGGGGACATGCCCCCCGAACAAGTAGAGCTCGAGCTCGCCCTGCACTGTATCCATCGCTCAACAAAAGCACATGCGCCAGCACTGAGAACAGTCATGCTTCGCCATCGTGCGCGGGGCTCGGAAGGGGATGCGATGGTCCAGCGCTGCTGGGACGAGTTCATCCGTGTCCGGGGGGGAAAGCGCGGGATCGACCATCTTACCGGCCCCAACGTCCGGGAGATAGTAACTATCTACCTGAGCATGCTAGCCTCCCGCGCTGTCCTAGGGTTCGACTTTCCAGATAAGATCAGGCACCCTCTACCGCCGAGCTTAGAAATCCCCTTCTTCGCAGAAGCGCTCGAGATAGGCCTGCGGATCGGCAAACCCAGCCGGGGTGGTTCAAGACCGGGCCAGCCCTTAGAACTCGGCCTGGCAGACGTCGTCCTCGCACCATACCTCGACCCGTCCGAGCGGAACACGCTGCTCAACTGGCTTGGGGCGATCCAGTACGCTCGCCTTGCGCGGGATGGGAGGAAGTTGTATCTGTACATCCAGATGCTGGCGAGGAACAAGAAGCTGACAGAGGTCTGGGAGCTGTGGGTCCGCACAGAGGAGGCGGTGGCCGGCGGTTGGGCGGTGTTCTCGAGTGGGTCGAAGGGGGAGGCGACGGGCTTAGCTTATTGGGATGGGAAGACCGGGGTGGAGGAAAATGAGGAGGAGTTGGAGGAGGAGGCGCGGAAGGAGCAGGAACGAGTGGATTCCTATTCTGAGGGCGAAGACGGGTATGATGAAGATGCGGCAAGTGCTGAAGATGCTGGGTTTTCAGCTGAAAACGTCGATCATCCAGAGGTGGAAGCGGAAGGCGAGCTGGAAAAGTTGGAAAAGAAGCTTCACTTCGTGGAAATCCAATTGGCCGATTTAGAAAACGACGCCGTGGTCAAGTTACCCATCAACGACCAGGTCACCCCGAAACCCGCTACAAAGAACCCAGAAAAATCCCTATTCCCCATTTCTATCGTCACCCCCGTGCAGACCGCCTTCCTCTCCTCCTTCCTCCTCCTCCACAGGCCTGACCTCACCACCGCCATCCTCACCCGTCTCCAAGCAAGCAAGATCAAGCTCACCACACACCATTTCTCTGCCCTCCTCTCTGGGTTTGCAAAACGCAATATGTGGGCAGAGGCGCATCGCACATGGGTGATGATGGAGAAGCAAGGCGTGGAACGGGACCGGGTGAGCTGGAATGGGTGGCTCCAGACACTCTTTGGCGATAAGCAGTGGAGGTTGGGGCTGCAGGAGTTTAAGAAGATGAGGGAGATATTCCCAGAGCCTGGGGAGGGCCCTGCCGCTAAGCGGAAAGGGAAAAGTGCACCTGTCAAGGGTAACACCGCGGACAAAGAGCCCCTCGGCGTGGGCATCAAAGTGTGGAATACGGTGCTACACGGGCTGTTCGCCAACGACCGAACAGAAGAAGCACGCCTTCTGTGGAGGGAGATGCATCGCCTCGGCCAGGTCAACATTGTCTCCTACAACACTGTGCTCAAGTTCCAGGCTCGAAAGGCTGACTGGGCTGGCGTCGCACGCTCCCTCCGTGGGCTGAAAGAGGAAGGCATGACGCCCGATGCATATACGTACACGACCATCCTCGAGGCTGTTGCTGCGCGACCGAAGGGGCCTGGCAGGATGGGTGTGACTAGGGGCGAGGCGCGCATCGATAGTGTACAACAGGGAGTACATATGGTCCTGAGCAGCATGCGAGAAGATGGTGTCAAGGCAAACGAGGTTATGGTTGGGAAGATCATTGATGTGATGGTCAATGGTGGACGGGAGGAGAACATCCGTGCGACGATGGCTCTGCTCGAGGAGCTCGAGTTGTCCGAAGACCGTATGTTGCCACCCGTATCTGGAGGATCAAGCGAGGATCCGAACAGCACCGCGTTGATGGTCAAGGAGCTATCGATGGACAATCCGGGCAGCCACCTGAATGAGATTATCTACACCTCTTGCATCGTCGGTATCATGCGATCGACCCTGGACTCGGCCACCAAGCGTGATCTTGCTGCTCAGCTGCTGCAACGGATGCGCGCACGAAACATTGGAGCCAATCGTGTAACCTATCATGTGCTCATTCGAGGTTGCTTCGACGGTCGGGCACCAGCAGAAGCTATGAGCCTCTGGCGGGAGCAGCGGTCGTCCGGTTTGAGCAACAAGGACACCTACTATCTTATCATGCGCGGCCTACTCAACCTGAAGCCGAACTACGACTCTTCACGAGTATCCAAACAGGCTGTCACAAACTCGTTCATTCAGAGTCTCAGCCCGTCAGACAAGTGGGAAGTGCCCGACGGGACGCGAGAAGGTTGGATCCAGGAGCTTGCCACCGCTCTGGAAAAAGACCTGGTCGAGCTGGTCGGATCCTTGAGAAGCGCCTGGAACAGTTTAATTGCTTCTAGGCCCCAATACGCTGAGCTTGACGAATTTTCATGAAATGCTAGATTTGGTGAAACGATCTTTTCCTGGGTACTTGTCACATGATGTGCATTAGAACAGAGGCAGCGCAGAGCTGCGTAGTATAATCAAGATATACACCTATGCCATCGCGACATCCCCATCGTCAAGTAGCCAGTCGTGCATCTGCCCCAACACGTGGTCTACTACATAACTGTCCTGCACAAGCCGCTCCGCTCTCGCATAATGTCGTTCCGTGTATGGTAAGAGCCCATCGATGAGTTCTTTGAGTGACACGTCTGTTTTTCGCTTCTGCACGTCCTCCTCACCGTCTATGTTCATCTCCGGCTTGTCATTCTTCTGGGAAGAGAAAGCGTTGGTGATATCCTCCGCTGTGTGAAGTTTGAACACAGCGTGCAGTATGAGCTGAGCAATCGGGCTCGTCCGAGCCGTGGCGTTCCAATTCCGCACATGCTTGAGCAGGGAGACAAGATCCGCCTGGCCCAAGGTTTTGATCACCTGGTCAACCTCTGGGCTGCCGGTGATGCTCTTCTTCCCAGGAGCACGGGCAGCGTTGATCGTCGTAACCAGGTTCAAGAGCCGCTTGGGCTGGTTCATCGACAAAGCGAGAAGGATAGCGCTTCTGTAGTCCTTGAGCGAGACGTAGTTGAGGAAATCCTGCTCGTGCGCTACTTCGGCTATGCGCGACTCTTCGGCTGCGATGGCTTCTTCCTCCGTGCTGTCATGCCAGAAGGTGATCACACTGTCCGCTCCGGCAGAGACGATCGTAGACTCGTCTTTCGACACCGCGAGTGCCCATATCTAGATGTTGTCAGCGCAACGTCTCCGATGGAAAGAACGGGACGAACCCGGTCATCGTGGTTGTCCAGGCTCGTGACACATTCTTCCTCCTTCACATTCCACAGCTTGACAAGCCCGTCACTCGCCGCGCTCACGAGCTGCATACCAGCGCTCAAGAAGTCCACCCTGAGGACAGAATTCGTATGTCCCTCAAACGTCTACACGCAGCACCCACCGTCAGCTCCTCCCTACCAAGCACCAACAAACCACCCCGCGCGCGCACCTTCAAGCAGCTGAAATCCTGCAAACTCCAGAGCCGGATCGTCTTATCCCCGCTCCCACTAGCGAGCACCCGATCGTTCCTGCCAAACCTGACCGTCCACACTCCCCTCTTATGCCCCCTACACGTGCCCAACAGCTTCAGGTCGCCCTCCGCGTGCTGGCCGTTCCTTACCTTGGCCGTGTAGTCGATTTCGTACACTTTGACCGTCTTGTCCTGGCTGGCAGAGGCGAGGAGCTTGTCGTTAGGCGCGATATCGAGCGCGTTTATATCCTTTTCATGAGCTTTGAGGGTGGTGAGACTTTTGGGCCTGGAGGGCTCGGAGGGCCAGGTACCGTCAGCCTGGGGAAGGAGGGCGGACAGGTCCCAGAGTTTGATCGTCCGGTCTTGGGAGCCGGTGATGAGGAATCCTAGGTCCTGGGAAGGCGGGAGGCGGGAGAGGACGACAGCCCCGACGGACTCGGCGTGCCCGTCGCATATCCCGACACAGCGCCATTCCGCGCCTTGTGTTTCCTGGGACTCGGCCGGTGGCGGACAGAGTGCCCAGAGCCGGGCGGAGCGGTCTTTCCCCCCTGAGGCTAGGATCTTCCCCCCGCTAGAACCAGCAAGGGAAAGTACCATATCCCCGTGCCCCGGGAGGAGGCGGGCGTCGTTCGTTGCCGTATTGTACACCCTGATCAAGGACGAGTTTGTCGCTATCGCCAGGTGGGTATCTTCTGTTGTCGGGTCGGCAGGCTCGGGCATGCCGGTGCTGGGTGCGAGAGGGGAGAGGAAAACAGCATCGACGATCGAGTCGTTGTACCCTACCAACTGCTGTGTCGGCAGTCCAGTAGCAATAGAATGGAACAAGATATTCTGGTCAGCATGTACGCTGACCAAGCTGCCTATGGCGGGTAAGTACCTGGGGGAACCATCTCAGCTGGGGGATTTTCCGAGCGAGGGGGGGGGGGCATACAGAGCATCAACGATCTCCCTCTCTTCCCCAGCAGCGACAGATCCAAGCACGAGCAGCTTCTTCCCCTCACTCGCGTCCCACACGCTCAGTCCTCCACCAGCAACAGCAGCCCACAACCTCAGCCTTCCCCCAACGTCCTTCCCCCTCCCAGCACCCCTGACATCCTCCTCACTTCGGACGATTCCCGCGGCCTCGCACGACCCTCCGAGAGGGATAGTCTTTGCTAGCTCTGCCTTCTTCCCCTTCCCCTTCCCTTTCTTTTGAGAAGTTTGAGTACCAGAGATGTCCCAGATGAGGAGCACACCGTCCCTCCCCCCGCTGACGAGCCATTTCCCGTCCGCACTGACATCAAGCCCTCTAACAGCACTCACATGTCCTTCCAGCAGCTGGTGCTTCTTCCCCGCGCCCCCTTCACCCTCATCCGGGGAAGGATCAAGCTCCCAAACCCGAACTCGGGAATCCACACTCCCGGTGACCAACTGCCTCACCCTCCCCGCCCCATATCCATCCCCATCCCCACGCTTCGCACCCATAGCATCCACAAAAGGCATGTTAAATCTCAGCGCCGAAACGACACCCCCATGTCCGCGAAAGACGTGCGTCACGTACCCCTGGAGAATGTCCCAGACTTTGACGACTCCGTCCGCTGAGCCAGAAGCGAGGAGCGTGCTTGTCCGATCTACAGTACACGTATGCACGGGCGCGTCGTGTGATCTCGCTATCTGCCGCAGGGGCGGTACGGGGGGAGGGGAAGATCCCGATCCCGACCCCTGCGCCAGAGGAAGGGCAAGCGGCGGCAGTTCATAAATCCTCAAAGCCAAGCTTTGATAAAATACACACAGGTGCCTCCCGGAGGGCGAAAGACAGAGCGCTGTGATCCCGCTAGAGTCGCCTTGGAAGGTACATCCTACTGACCCGGTGTGGACGGATGTGAGCCGCGCTTCGGGACCGAGGAGGGTGATGATATGTCCTCCTGAGGGGGTGAGGGCGATTGGGCCACCGGTGTGTAGGGGAGTTAGGGCGCGCTGGATTTTGTACCTTTTACATGAGGTCAGTGATTTTGGGAATGGAATGCAAAAAAAAATGGAGTTGGAATGGTTGGACGTACGAAGTCTTTAATTTTGGAGGTCGGTGTGTCCCAGAAAAGGCCATCGCCGTCGTGTTGTGTGCAGTTGTATCGTCCAAGTGCAAAATCACAAATTATTGAACCCTTACCCAAAAAAAAACTGACATAATCAACAACAGCAACCCATTCTGGCAGTTCTAGTGCCGCAGTTGGTATTAAGCATCCAATAAAGTAAGGTATAATCATCCATTCAGGTATATCCCCCCCCTCCCCAAACAGGGGAGTGCTACATCCTACATCCTCCTCTGCCTCTCACTCCCAATCGCTTCCTCCCTCCTATACCTCCTCAATTCCCTTGTCATATCCTCACCCCTAACCCTGCCCCACCCCGGGAGTGGTACAACCACAGCAGTAGCATTGTCCTCCCCCCCCAGGTCCTCGACATACCCTACAATGGCGCGCGCAGCGGCGGAGGGGTCGAGCGCTGAGCGCGCGAGGTCCACTATCTCTTGGTCTGAGGCTATGGAGCCTACGCCGTCGGAGACGAGCACGAGGTGGGACCAGGAGGGGCCGTGTAGATGCAGGTGCTTCATATCTGGTTCTGGGGTGACGCCGAAGGGCTTGTACCTGCCGTCTCCTAGCCTGTGTGCGGGGGATCAATACTTCTGCCTGCGGGGGGAGGGAACGGCAAGGAGAGAAGAACAGGAGGAGGGAAGGAGGGAAGACGCCGGAGAAGTAGGAGAGTAGGAGTGGAAGGGGGAAAAGCACCCACCCCCTAGTATTAGCCAACGCCCCCATCCACCTCGCCTCCCCAAACGAGTCCGTAACCAGCCCGCTCCCCATCCTCAAGAGCCTCGCACTCTCCCGCGGCATCTCAGCATGATGATGTTCCGTCATAGGCGTGACTTTCCCCCCTTCTGTAGAAGCTAGGAGCACTCTTGTGTCTCTGTTGTTCCACCCCACCCCGGCCCGACGAGCAGTCAGTCAGCGGCGCTCGACAGATGGATAGGGTAGGGAATAAGGGAATAAGGGCGCACCCACAGTGAGCAACCGTCAACTCCAGTTCCTCAGCATCCCAAAACGGCGCCCCAACAGGCTTCTCACTCCTGAGCAATGCCACGCTAACCGTGCTCCCGCAATTGACAGCATTAGGGGCGAGGCTGCGGTCAGCTTCGATAAACGCTAACTCGGCACGTTGTTCGAGTCGCAGGGGAGGGGTGTGGGAGGGGTTGGCAACGTACGGCTGGAGGAGGCCGCCTCGCCAGCGTCGGAAGTATCCGCCTACGTAAGGGGGGTTAGCTGGCTCTCCTGCAAGAGGGGAAGAGGGGGGACCTTGCGACTTGAGCCATTGGACGGCGGGCTCGATGTCGCTGGGTTGGACGGACTCGAATATCTCGTGTAGGTGGTGTTGTAGGTAGCGGGAGACGAGGGCGCCGCCGTGACTTCCCATATGCTCAATTAGCACGTTGTTTTTCATGGGAGGGGGAGAGCGTACCCGTCGTATATCCCAACCCAGAGCAACTGTCCCTCGACCCCATTCCCATTCCCATTTCCGTTCCCATTCCCATTTCCGTTCCCATTCCCATTCCCGTTCCCATTCACACCATTCCCCTTCCCAACGTCCTTGACTAAGGGAAGAGTGCCAGGATCCCACACCATCCCATAGTTCTTCTCCAGGCTCGACCGTATCTCGTCCGGCGGTACGTGGATCGCGTATGCCGCATAGGCGTCTTCCTGGTGCCTATTTCCAATTAGCAGAGCACCAGAGCACCAGAGGACTAGGAGGGAGAGGGAAAGGACTCACGACCGTGTGCCCCTAATAGAATACGCTCCAATAACTTTTGGATTCGAGAGCGGCACTCTCGCGTACCTCCCTTCGATCCACATCATCAGGCTCAGCATCAGCGTGCACGTCCGTGCGTGCCAGGGCATAACAGGCTCACCGTCGGGTGTAGCGACTTTTAAGTAGTCGTGATATCTTCTTAGTGGGATAGATGATGTGGTTGACAGTCGTAGACAGCGGGGCACGAGAGGCATTTGGAGTGCACAGGTGCGCAATGCGCTCATTCTTCTGGTTTGGAGTGCATTTATAGGGAGTGAGAAGGACGAAGGTCGAGGTGAAAGATAGAAAGTAAAGTCCCTGAGTTCGCTGACGTAATACCCACTAGGGGCAAGAGGGACTTACTCCGAGGGATAGAAGGGAGATGCCAAGCCGTAAAAACGCGATTTGTACATAAAATGTCTTTATCTATCTTCATTTGGTGCGAGTTATCAGCGATGGGTACCTAACAATGGATACAAGGGGATGCTTGGCAGCGGGGTGAATAGGGATAACAGGACTTGGCAGCTTGACATGGAGTGGACTTGTGGAGGAGTGAAATGGACGAAATACGTGAGTGTGAGGGGTGAAAAGTGGATGGATTGTTCCCCCTCTATTCACTCTTAGTTAAGGTTTGACTTTACCTTCTGAAAGGGAGTTGATGACGGATACACCTCGGATGCAAATAAGACATTAGGGACACGCGACCCACGCAACCACCACTCTTCACTCTTTCATGCCTGTCTACTCTCATTTTCCACCTTGAATTCAACAATTAACAATGTCATTAGAAGAAGGTGAACAGCATCAGGAGAACAAATTACGTTTAGTAGGCGACACTCTCTTATATCTCATAACATGTTTCGCATCTCTAGGTATTTCATCTCCCATCCTTACCTTCGCTCACTCACACCTACCAGGCGTATTCCTATTCGGCTATGACCAGGGGTGAGCTTTTCTTTACCTCAATGACGACGAGCTCATAGGCACAGTGTCATGTCAGGAATAATCACAGGCCCGTACTTCAAGGCCTACTTCAATCAGCCCACAAGCGCCCAAATAGGAACAATGGTCGCAATCCTCGAGATCGGGGCGTTGAGTACGTCCTCCCCTCCCTCCTTCTCCCCCCTTGCACTAACCCCCGCACCCTAGTAACATCCCTCCTTGCAGGAAGAGTAGGCGACATCATCGGCCGCCGCAGAACCCTCTTCTGGGGCGCGAGCATCTTCGTCCTCGGAGGGGCGATCCAGTCCTTCACACCAACTTACGGGATCATGGTCCTAGGACGTATAGTGAGCGGGTTCGGGGTTGGGTTGCTCTCGTGCGTCTGCGTCTGCGCTGTGCTGACGTATGGTGGTGGATGGCTAATGAGAGGGTATCGTAGGACGATCGTTCCTATTTATCAGAGTGAGATCTCCCCCGCGGAACATAGGGGCAAGCTGGCGTGTATCGAGTTTACGATGAATGTTGGAGGGTATGCGTTTTCTGTCGTACGTCCCTCTCCCTCCCCCCTGCTCCCGCTCCCATTCCCCTCCCGCTCACTCCGTTCGCCTCGCAGTGGACAGACTACTTCTGCTCCTACATCCCCTCCCACCTCTCCTGGCGCCTCCCCCTACTCATGCAATGTCTCATCGGCCTGATCCTCTCCCTCGGCTCGCTTCTCATCCCCGAAAGCCCACGCTGGCTGATCGACACCGACCAGGACGTGGCAGGCATGTCCGTGCTCGTGGACCTGCACGGCGGGGACGTGGAGGACGAGACTGCACAGATGGAATTTCAGGAGATCAAGGAGCGTGTTCTGGAGGATCGCCAGAATCCGGAAAGGACGTATGCGATCATGTGGAGGAAGTATAGGAGTAGGCTGTTGATCGCTTGTTCTAGTCAGGCGTTTGCCCAGCTGGTGAGTGCCTGCTTCTACTGGCTAAAGCTCCCTGAGCGCCTTTGTACAGAACGGGATCAATGTCATCTCCTACTATGCGCGTAAGTCCTCGAACCACCCTCTCCACACCAGACTAACACCGTCTAGCGCTCGTGTTCGAAGGTCCGTCCAGGGTCTAGCATATGGACAAAACCCTGACACCCTTGCAGAAGCAGGCTGGATAGGTCGCCAAGCGATCCTCATGACAGGAATAAACGCGATCATCTATGTCCTCTCTACCGTCCCGACGTGGTATCTCGTCGACCGCTGGGGAAGGCGAGTGATCCTCATCTCCGGGGGTAGTATCGTGCGTCCTTTCCCCCTTCCCAGGTCAACCATTGACTGACTGCTATCCGTTGGTTTGTTGGTCGGTTTGTTGGTTTGTTGCTCCGGCACACACAGATGGGACTAGCCCTCGCCCTAACAGGTTACTTCATGTACCTCGACCAACCCCTAACACCAAACACAGTCGTCCTCTGCGTAATAATCTACAACGCCTTCTTCGGCTATTCCTGGGGTCCCATCCCCTGGCTCTACCCACCGGAGATAATCCCCCTCCCTCTCCGGGCCAAGGCGGTCTCTTTGTCTACGGCGACCAATTGGGCTTTCAATTGGGTTGTGGGGGAGGGGACGCCGGTGTTGAAGGATTGGATTGGGTGGAGACTTTATCCTATGCATGCGTTTTTTTGTGCGAGCAGTGTCATACTCGTTTATTTCTGTGAGTCCGCCCCTGCCCTCCCGAGCCTTACGCACTCTTGCTTGAGCGCGAGCGAGCGCGCTTTGCAGGCACTGGCTGACGCGGTCTAGTGTATCCGGAAACGAAAGGAGTACCGTTGGAGGAGATGGACGCTGTGTTTGGGGAAGGTGGGTCTCTATACTTCCTTTCCACTTCCTATCCACTTCCTTTCTACTTCCTTTCCGCCTTTCCCTTCTCTTCTTTCTCCTTTTGTTCCCCGTTTCCTCTCCTTTCTCTTTCCCTCCCCTCCCCCCCCCCTCCTCCTCTCCTCCTCTTTCCTCCCCCAATCCCCAAAGCAAACCAACCCTAACCCCCATTCTAGAAAGCGCACAAGCAGCCTCCGAGCCTGAGTCGGAAACGTCGTCTTTGGTCTCTAGGGACCGGACGGACTGGGCGACGAGGGCCACTTCGCTGGATGGACATCCGCGTGGACGTGGGCATGAAGGAGACGAAGACGGAGACGGGCAGGGAGAGGGAGGGGAAGACCAGGCAGGAGATGCAGGGACGGAGGGAGATGGGGATGGGGATGGAGAGGCGTACAAGCCCCCTGCTAGGTATACGCTCTGGGACCGGGTGCTTGGGAGGGGGCAGTATCGGCCTGTTGCGGAGGCGTAGTGCTTGTGCTATGCTAGGGGAGATAGTGGGAGGGGGAGAGGAAGTGGGGACGTGAGCACACTCACACTGGGGGTGGCGCCCCGCATCTCTTATCCCTAATTCGTGGAAGGAGAGTACATACTCAACACTTGTATCATTAGTCTTAGACAGCCATGTATCGTCTTATGTCTGTAGCACGCACGCACGCACGCACGGCCGGCCTGCTTACGCAAAACATATATCCCAGTGTCCTCCCTCCCTAGCAAAGCTCATCGCTCCGACAAACTTGCTCAGCCTGCACCGGCCCAGCCTGTCCCCCCCGCACATCTCGCGCAAGGGGATCACCCGCTCGTTGATCAGCACCCGGACTAGCTCCTCCCTCTCTCCCTCACACTGCATCTTCTCGAAATACGCCCGGCTCGCGAATGGTACTGTCCAGGCAGCAGAGTACCCGTTCGTGGCGGAGACGTCCATCGCCGCTGTGGTAGTGAGCACCGGGGTGGAGTTAAACAGTCCCAAGGCGTAAAAGATGCCCGTCATATCGTTATCATGACTGAAATCGGCGTACAGCTTCAACTCCCCTCCGAGAGGAAACGAAGCCGGATCACTGTCGAGCGTGCTGTTGGTGCTCGTATGATCCTTCACGGGTGTGTTCGTCAGCCGAGCAAGAAGCTCGTTCGTGAACCCCACGCCTTGTGTCGGACCGAGCGGGTTCCCAGCTCCGTACCCATAGTACTTGCCCAGCGTCTCATAGTAATCATACTGCCTGAACTCGTCCAAGCTGAACAGAGAGCAGAAAGCAGACACCTGCCCAGAGGGAGAGGCGATCGTATTGAACGGACAGAGATCGATCATGTTGATCGTATCTGTGCTGCTGAGGTTGGCCCCGGGCAGAGCGGTATTCAGCCGCGCCTGAATGGCGGGGATGAACGTTGCTGCGAACTTGGACTGCGCGGTACTGGCGATCGAGGAATAGGTCGCGTTGTTCTCGAATTGGTCACAGAGGTCGTGGTTTAGCGTGTTGTTCACCCCGTCCGCCTCGGGGATGGAGATGAGTGTATAGGGGTAGTCGTGGTCCGCTCCGACCGAGGTGAGCTTCGTGAGGTGGTAGCCCTGAGTCCAGTTCTGTGCACTCTCGACGACACGTGCCTCCCCTGAAGAACGCACGAAGGGCGTGGCGCCCTTGGCTAGCGCGGAGTACCGCTCGAAGAACGCGATACCGGAGTTGATCATCTCCTGCTGACCGAACAGGGTAAGCGCGTCGGCGCCAAGTGTATAGTTGTACTCCTTGAGGAAGGCATATTGCCCCGTGTATGCGCTGGCAGGCACCTTGCTCTTGATCTTGGCGATCGTGGCGTTGTACTGGGTCGTTTTGCTAGCCGTAGGGTCACGAGAACCGTGGCGCGAGAGCAGCTGGACAAAGGTGATCTTGCACTTGTCTGGCACCTCGGTCGGGATCTCCGATCGGACTGCGTAGTAAGGCGAGTACTGCCCCCAGAAGTGCGAGACGTCAGGCTGGCGTTGGAAGCCTTCTTGGGGGTAGTCGCACAGCGCCTGACGGGGAGCGAGAGACGGGAGAGCAGACACCCTAATTAGTGCATAAGTACGTGTTTTTGACGCTATAAATCAGAACCTTGCGCACTGGAAGAAGAGAACAGCACCACACAGGAGGTTGAAGAGCATGATGATGGCGATGAGCAGACTCTTTGAGAAGCCAAGATCCTTGGCGAGCTTGAGCGAGACTCCTGCTCTTTCCTCATCTACCCATGCATCGTTGTTATATACCCATCTATCCAACAGCTTCTCTTCGTCTCGCTCCGCATGGTCTCTCCGCTGTTCTGTCACAGACTGTATCAGATAATCGGCCCTGTCAGAAGAATATCTTGGCAGGACAACGGAACGGCAGCATGCTCACTAATAAAGCCGTATGCTCGAACGGCCGCAGAGGCATTCATGAATTGAGTGGTGGCTGGGAAAAAGGAGCAACACATTGCGTCGAGTGCACGTTGATACGGTATAAATTGGATTGGATTTGGAATGGAAGGGACACCGCAAGAAGACAACAATGACAGGGACCGCAAAGCACGTGCGCCATACATTGTAATGTTGATTTTCGGCCCGGCCGAGATTAATTAATCCATTACAATGACATATATCGGATGTAGAAATAAGATCATAGAACCTGATTCGCCCATCGACTCCAACCCACATTCTCATATCCAACCTCGAGCCTGCCAGTGTCCACCACATTTTGAAACTTCCCGGAGAGCGGGAGCCCGCGACACTGTTCAGGAAAAAGCACTCGCACTGATTTAATAGGATTGCAAGCTCTTGCTGCCTCAATTTGTTCGATGTCGCTCTCCGCAATAGCAATAAAATAAGACGCAGGCTTCGGCGAGTCTTGGGTGGAATTCTGGAGTTGTCGCAAGTACCGCGCAGCTGAACAAGGGGCACGAGTTCCAGCAAAGGACACCATAAGATTTTTGTAGTGGGAGTAAATCATAAGTCGGTTCAGCCTCAAGTTCGGAATCACTGCCGCATCCCCCCCTTGTGTTGCCGATAGTGCGCCCAGTGTCGGTGGGCAGAGATCGATTGTCAGCATGTTGATGTTCGGAGTAAGTCGAAGAAACCATTGTTCGTCATCACGGTTCTGCAAGTAGAGCCCAAGAGCTGACAACGCATTCAAGCATTCCATCTCTTGAAACATGGGGCGGAGTGAACCGACTTCAACTCCACCAGTCTGCCGGAGGGAGAGACCACGAAGGTTCGGCATCTGCAGCATCTGCAGCCATAGTATAGCGGCTGTTTCCAGCTTGAATACCTTGAGCGACTTCAGGGGAATACGAGTGGCGTGAGAGGATAGCGGAGGGGGAAGAAAAGCTTCTTTGATAGCAACGCCACGGAATTCTAGCTCCTGCACGTTGACACAGAGGCTCAGGAACTCCAGGATGGAGAACGTAGCAGTCGAAGCCGCCGATATATGCGGATTTATACAGAGGGCTAGGGAGCGGATCTGGGAGGGCCGGGCCAACATCACTTGTACGGTGTTGTTTGTATCAATCATCAAACGAACGGTGTGCAAGGAGGTCGAGGCGAGTACTATGGGGGGAGGACATTTCTTGAAGGGAAGCTTGCAACAGCAATTTGGGTTCACCGTCAACTCAAAGAATCGCAAATTCTTCACGTAAAGGCTTTCAATCCAGCGGGATAGTTGATGCAGAAAGCTTCTACAAGCGCGGGTGATAACGAGTCGCCAGAGTCGTTCCAGCATTCCGACAGTGGGCCTCAAGGGCCATTGCTGTGGGTCACAGCGTATGTCTCGTAGCTCTATGTCAAGCAGTGCTTCCTTTGTACGCGTGAACACCCAGTAAGCTTCCGGGGAGAGGTGCGGTTGACTGGGAATGACGAGTGTGATCGAGTTCCAAAGAGTAGCCGTTTCGAATGCGACAGTGCGCCAGCGTGCGTTGACTTGACTGAGACGGTATTGTGGTGCCCTAGTCAAGGTGCGCCATTCCAGCCAGACACGAGGAGCAGAGAGCTCAAAAATGCGGGAGAGGATTTCATCGGGAAGTCGGTTGATCGGAGCGAAATGCGCTTGAAGACAGAACATATGGGATGCCAGAGACCGATGATAGCTTGATCTGGAGTTGCGCGAAGAGTGCCTCTGCAGCCTGTCGGACTACTAATGGATCGGAGGACTCGACACCAAGATGAGCGCGGAGATCTCGAAGCAGTTTGGAGCAGCGCCGTAGGGAGAGGGAAAAGCCGAATTCCCATGGAAGGCATTCTAGCGGAGGGTGGGTGGGACCGTCTGGCCAGAAGAAATTCATGTTCGTGGATCCTACAGCTAGGAGGTGGGGAGGAACAGACGAGAAGACTGAGGCCCACCGCGCTGCGATGGGCGCGTATAAGCACGCGCGTTCTCAGTGATGAGACCACGGGCCAGAAAAAAAAAAGGCTGGCGGCTATGCCAAGGGGGAATGGGCCCGGGACATTTGTGGCAAAGTTTCTCACTCTCAAGTGGTCAAGTGGTCAAGCAGTGGTCAAGTGGTCAAATGGTCAAGTGGTCGCGTGGTCGCGTGGTTGCGCCGCGACCAAGCGCAATGAAATATGTATTTGAATATATGCCTCAGAGAGTGCATTTCGGGTGGTCTCGCAGATGACTCACGTGAGACCACAAATTGTTGTTCCCCCGATACATCCTGCCTGGTTGACGCGACGAAGTGCTCCGCAGTGGACTCACACATAATTTCTTGGTTCACCATGGCGCAAGTGCATGACGATACTAGGATTGTGAATAATGGTCAAGGCCAGCATCTACGTATACAACAATGCTCACGCGGCTCCAGTACCCGCCTTAGCCGCATACATCTTCACCATGCTCGCGCCTGTAACATCCTCAAGCGTCTTGGCATAGCCATCAAGCTGCCCGAGCAGGAGCATGCTCTCCAGCCGGCTCGGCTCGGGGGGGATCTTGAACATCCTGCTCACATCCTCCTCAGGCAAGGGCGTCAAACCCTCACGCAAACGCTGGGCATTCTCCTCTTTACGCTTGGCTATGTACGTCTCGGCGCGTGCCTTTTCACGGGCGATTTGCCGTTGATGGTATGCGTAGTTGGACGACTCTTGGTTGTAGTCGTCGATCGTATCGAGGACGAGGCTGAGGTTATGGGTGAGTGTGGGCGTTGACGCGGTGTTAAGAATAGGGTAAGTGGGTGCGAGAGGTTGCGTTGTGGGTGGCAATTCAGATAGCGATCCAGTTGGATAAAGCGAAGCGGATGTGCGGGAAACGGAAGGTTGAGACAATGTCAGGAGGAACGCATCGAGCAAAGGCGTGTTGTGTATTTGAACAGGCAATTCTTCCAGAATGCTGTTGAAGGTCAAGCCACGCTCAATCAACCTGATGACATGTCAGAAGCTGATACTCGTACGACACAACGCAGAACAACTCACCCTTGTACGCTGAACTTCTTCGTCTTATGAGCCTCCAAGAAAGCTTGGGTTAACCTGAACGCCTTCAGACTCGTGTTCCCTCTAGCAGTCCGCGATACATCATGCACAAGGGCAATGCCTCCGTGTCTGAGTGTCTTCTGATGGGAAGCTTGGAGATCGAGGAACGACTGGCTTAGGAACGCGCCCATTGCAGTTGACTGATAGAACCCGACGATGTTGTCGTCCCCGTGAACCTCTCTGAGAGATCGCAGCATGGATGCTTGGTATCTGCTTGCTGTTGAGAATATAAGATATTGTGTATCACTGAGTCTGTGAAAGCCGCACCTGGTCGCGTGGAGTTCTCTTCGTCACCTTCCCGGCCCATCGGCAAAGGAAAACAGTTGGACACCTCCATTACGCCATCCAAGTCCAAACCCAACAAGATACCGGTAACTGCAGCTGGGTATGCATCTCTGCTGTGTTTCATAATCTTCATCACAATCTATTTCGTTGTGAATATTGCTTCACCATTCCCTTTGTCCAGTGTACGTACCAGGCCATCAAGCTGCACTACCCGCAACGGAATCTCCGCCTCTGAGTCGACCAACTTGGCCCAACTGGCCGGGATGACCTCTGCGGGGGCCTGAACTGGAGCTGCAGGTGCAGGCGCTGCAGCTGCTTGCGATGCAGCTAATGCTGCAGCCATAGATGACGCCATGGTTGTTGGCTTTTGGAGAGTGACAATGAGTGCACCCTTACGGCCTTGAGCTGTGGGAGAAAAGAAAAAATAACGCCGTGCCTGAAGAGTCACAGCCCCTCGGCGTTAGTTTGCTCAGTTAATCCGGTCCGTGACAAGTTCAGTCACCGCCAAGCAATTCGGAGGTAGATTTCGGCTCCGAACCGGCTGTGAACATGTATAGCAAGGGGCCCATATTTGCACCGGAATGGTTTCACAAATTTCTGTACAATTTCCTCCACATGTTTTGAGCCCTTTGCAGCTGCGATAGATTCGATAAAACTTCTTCACCATTTCTAGTGTGTATACAGAGAATACTGGTGAGTGTACACAGTGGGCCAACACTAGGAGTGGAAAGCGTTGAATATTGCACCGTGGCCAGTTCAATTACTAGTACTTACAGTACTTTCCTGCTGACTTATTAGTGCGACTCACTGCGGGAGTAAACAGGGACAATTCCTCTCACACGTTCGGTCTTCTCACGGCTGTGTCAACTTATTGATCACCATCGGGTAACATTGCCTTATCCATTCAATACTTCAGGGTGTAACACCGAGGTTTGCATCGATTAGCGCTGGGTTCACCAGGCAACGGCCTCTTGAGATTCATTCATTACAGAGCGACCAGCTCACTGATCGGCGTTCGACACAGCTCGCTGGGGGTCTAATTCTATACGTGGCACAGCGATGTTCCTACATGCCCGCACCATGTTTGGGACAAATCACCGCTCGATCCAGGGATATAAGAGACGCCTGCAGTGGGTAACGATTGTAACCACAATACCTTGTTGCACGACCTCAGCCGTCTCCTCTTGATCGGCATGATATCTTCCATTCTAATCGCCGCGGAGCTCTTCCTCACTGCCTCAGCTGTAATTATCCCAGCCAAACAGTACCATGTCACTTCTCGACAAGCAAGCCGTTTCCAGTCGCGAGCCGCTCAAGTCACCGAGGCAACCCTCGGAGACAAGCAAAACTTAGCATACGTCGCCAACGTCACCCTCAATGGGCAGTCGTACCTGCTGGAAGTCGATACTGGAAGGTATGTCAGCGACGCTCCTCAAAAGTATGGAACTGACTGGACTTGATGGGCGAGTAGTGCGGATTTGGTTGTTGAAGGCGATGTTCCCGATGCCCGGTGTCTGAATGACGTTCCCGTGAATGTTGTCTATGGCAGTGGTGCGGAAAGCGGCGTAATGGCATTTGCGACCGCGGTGTTCGCAGGGCACACTGTTGAAAACCAGATATTCAGTATGTGTACACCTTGGTAGATCTGGGATATGACTGACTTGCCATAGATCATGTAACCGATGTTGGCCATTGGGAGTTTGTAACAGGCATACCAGGGCTGCAAGGCGTAATGGGCCTTGGCCCTTCCATCAACTCCGTCCTATTTGTGACAGCACAGTCACACCAAGGCAACATCACCGGCGACGTGGACGGTGACATACCTGCAGGACCAAACGACGGGCACGCATTCGTAGAACGTATCTTCCAGGAGAACACAAGCACGCCCAACTTCGTCTCGTTCGCCCTTGGTCGCGAGGCGATCCCGGGAGTCAACAGTTCCGCCGCATCCACGACATTTACGATCGGGGAGATCATGCCTGGGATGGAGTCCGTCAGTCTGATGCCCCAGCTACCGGTCATTTCCGTCCCGACGGCCCTGCAAGGGAACCAGCACTTCGATGTCGTCCTGGACGGAATCAGCGTGAACGGCGCGTTGATCCCTTTCCCTCCTTCGGTCGTAAGCGCCGCGCCCCAAGGAAAGCTCGTCGCAGTAGTCGATACTGGGAACACGTTTACTTCGCTTCCCTCTTCCATAGTCGCAGCGATCTACCAAGCGGTATCCGGCTCCAACCCCATTCCCGTCTCTGGCAGCACAGCTCCAGTCTACTCCCTCCCATGTAACGCCCAGCCCTTCTCTGTGGAGTTCATCATTGGTGGTAAGGCGTACCCTATCCACCCCCTTGATCTGAGCGTGGACGAGTCAAGCGCTGGGGCTGGGGCTGGGGCACTTTGCTTGGCCGGGTTCAGGGCGCTACCTAATACTTCGACAACGACGAACACGCTCGCCAACACGGGGGACGTAGTCCTCGGCGCGACTTTCCGTAAGTATGTCTTCCCACAGAGAAGAGGGACGCTCACCATAAGTTAGTGCGAAACGCGTACACCCTGATGAATTACGGCAACTTTGTGAGTAGTACGGACACGGCTGTGCGCGCCGCGCCCTTTATGCAGTTCCTATCCACGACCGACCCGGTAAACGCCGCGCTGGAATACGGCCAAGCCCGGAATATCACCGTGGACGCAGCGAGCATCGCTGGTCTGCGGACCGGGGACTCGAATGCGGCGGCAAGCGCAGGTGAACTCAGCGATAGTACCACCGACACCAATGCAACCACGACTCACCACAAGGTCAATAAACTCCTCGTGGTGGTCATTGTCCTTCCCCTGGTTGTCTTCGGCCTGTTGTTCGGAGTGCTCCTCTTCTGCTGCATCCGGAAGCGGCATCAACGTGAACGCCCGGATGTAAGAGCCACTCCTTTCCAGACTGGGCAGTTGAGCTACGCCCCGTACTCGCCTAGGCGTAACAGGACGATCACTTCCTTCCACTCAAACGGGGACGAGGAAGAGAAGGGTTTAGGGGAGCGAGAAGTGTACGAGGACCCCTTCGAGGATAAGGAGGAAGCTGAGCGGGGTGAGCGGATGCCTCTGACCGGAGGGAACCAGCTCACTGAAGGGGTGGCGGATCCCGCTCGCCCTGGGACCTGGATTGGAGGACATTCGCCAAGGCCGAGTTTTGATGGACCCGAACTGTATGACCCGCCGGTCGCACCTGTTGCCAGGAGCCCATTTACGCATTAGCGCCAAGCAGGCAGAGGCTTGGGGAACCGTTGGAATGTGAGGATGGGGAGAGTGGCAGTCATCCCGTCACGGACAGTTTCTAGCAGAGACCATGAAGGTCTCTTCACGACTCAGATGTTCTTTATTCAGACTGTACAAACATGCTAATACCATCGTTGATCCCGATTGTAATCAAAGATATTGCCCTTTAGAGGCATCATCGCCGAGAGAACCCCGAGTAACGCTGAGATGCATTGATTTCCCCTCACTAAGGCAAGATCGTCCAGCCATCCGAGGCCGCCGGCTCTGACAACACAGTCGGAAACCGAGCAGATATGACATCAGGCCTGGGCAGAAAATGATGTTCATCAATGCTGCGGTTGAGGAGCGATAGACCCTGAAAGTGGCACGGCCTTGTGAGTCATGATAGAGGCTCGGTTTGTCGAACTAAACGACAAGAACGGCGACCAGGTCGGGCCTTGGTGACCAGTCAACGATCAGACGCCTGCGTGATTTAGGCGCTCCTTCCGGCCAATGCGGATTGCTGACTCGCGATCGTTTGGGTCCGCTGTTTGTATTGGTTTACGTATGGTCGGATTTCCCTTGGTAAAGCTGTTCACGTCTCATGTCCTAAAGAAACAAAGAATAATCATGGCAGAGTTGCAATGCGGTGAATAAGAGATTGCGATGTGTGTTATTGGAAAGAAAGTACAGCCAAAGCTGCAATGTGCATCGCCTCGACGTGACAACCATAGGGTCTCTCATTTCCTCGCCTTGGCGCCTGGCCACCCCCTGAATAAAAGGAATCAACACGTCTCTTGCATTTCTCACTACACTTTTCCCTGTCCTCCGCGGCCATGTTCTCCTCAGTGCGCTATGCAGCGCTCGCCCTCCTTGCCACTGAGCTGCTCGCTCCTGCAGCAGCGGTCACATTTCAAGCACGGCAAGTACATGATCTTCCTCGAAAGCTGCCTGGCTATCTCAGTCGGCGGGACGGTCAGATTGGCGAGGTGCAAGTGCAGGACGAGAGCAACACCCAGTATGTGACGGAGATTATTGTCAACGGGGATACTATCGAAGTCTCGATCGATGCTGGAAGGTGAGTGGCCTCATAAGCTTGGGGAGGAGAGACCTGATATCCGATAGCTCGGACCTGAATGTCGAAGGGACGGTTCCCGGCGCGAAGGACTTGCCTAACGTACCCATTGCCGTTGACTTCGCAGAGGGTAACGAGACGGGTGTTATGTCCTTCGCCACGGTCGAGTTCGCAGGGCACACAGTCCAGAACCAGGTTTTCAGTACGCTCCATCTCCGCGCAGCAACATCGCATCATACTAACCAGTACATCAGACCACGTTCCTGTCCTCTCTTTCCCTCCGCTGTCAGGGCTGATCGGCCTCGGCCCCTCCGTAGGCTCTCGCCTGTGGATGACCGCCCAATCCCTCATCTCCTCTGGCTCGCTCTCCCCCGCCAACGCAGGCGACTCAGTATTAGACCGGATCTTCCAAGAAAATACCAGCGCGCCCAACTTCATTTCCTTCACCTTGGGCCGGGAGGACGACGCGACGAGCTCCGCGACGCCGACCAGTGTCTTCACCGTTGGAGACCTGATCCCAGGGTATGAGAATATCAGCTCAATGCCCAAGCTCGATGTTATCAACGCTCCCACTGCCGTCCAGGCCGCGCAGCACTTTACCATCCTCGTGGACGGGTTCTCCGTCGGCGGGCAAGCAGTCAACTTTCCCCAATCCGTGGTGCCTGGTACTCCCTCCGGCAAGCTCGTAGCAGTGCTCGACTCGGGGTTCACGTTCCCCCAAGTCGTCCCAGCGATCGCGAACGCCATGTACCAGAACATCCCCGGTGCGGTGCTGAACCAAAACCTGGAGGGGGCGGGCGAGTTCTTCGTCGTCCCCTGCGGGACAGAGATCGACGCTATATTCCAGTTTGGCGGGAACTGGTATCCCATCCATGCCCTGGACGCAAACTTCGACTCGGGATTCGCTGGGCTCACCAACCTGGCAGACGAGCAGTGTATTGGGGCTTTCCAGCCTATACAGGATGATGCAACCGCCGCGCTGGAAGGGTTGGCGGATATGATCCTTGGCATGGCTTTCCGTACGTTTCCCTCTCACCTCTTCGTTGAAGGAACTGACGCAATGCAGTACGCAACACGTACACCTTGTTGAACTATGGCAACTTTGTAGACTCGAACGCTGACGTGCGGCAAGCGCCGTTTGTTCAGCTTCTCTCGGTGACAAACCAGAACCAGTCCTCGATCGAGTTCCACCAAATTCGGGGCGGGACTGCGAAGACCTTTGCACCTCTCCCGGGGGCACAGTCTGTCGACCCCTCTGATTCCGGGAACAACATCAACAACAACAACGGAGTGAACACAGTCGGGTCATGGATCCAGAGCCACCTGGCGATAGTCATCGGCGTCTCAGTAGGAGTCGTCGTCCTCATCCTCCTTATCATCGCCTTCTGTTGCTGCAGGCGTCGTCGCCCAGTTCAACAGTACCAGAACATCAGTGCCCCGGCTCCTATGGGTCAGTACCCCTACCCTCCGTACCGCGGCGGGCGGAACTTCTCCACCGCATCCGTCGCCCCTCTTGCCGGAGGAGGCGGGTACGACGACCCGTTCCGAGAAACTTTTGGCCCTGAGCACATCCCGTTGGCGGAGAGGAACGCCCAGGGGAACTTTGCTCAGCCGCAGAGGGCCTATGCGCACTCCCCACAGCCGAGCTTGTCGGTACCTTACGACCCTCCTAGGGGCCACTCGCCACAGCCAAGCTTGTCCGCACCTTACGACCCTCCGCTGAGCAGGGGCCATTCGCCTCAGCCTAGCTACTCCAGTAGCTCGCTATACGACCCGCCGCAGGGCCCGCCTCCTGCTGCATCAGACCCATTGATTGACCGGCATTGAGTGTTGGGGGACAGAATTATATTGAACGTCACGCAAGGACAGTTTCTTGTTTTGGCACGGTTTCCTGATCGCATTTACTTTCTATCTCATACACTGTGTACAATCTCCTGCAAATAGTATACCTTCACGAAACGAGCTCCGTTGACTGACACTATATGAAAGTAGCATATAGGGAGCTCAATACCCCGTGTTATCCTTCACCTCCTTCCTCCCCTCCGTCTTGAGTTGGTCGTCGCCTGTCACATGACCGTACGCGAACTTGCCCGCTCCAGCAGCGGCATTTACCGCGTTCTGGGCGAATTCCTGGACTTGCCCCGTCGTGGGGAGGTAAGACGCTGCCTGCTGCGCCAGGGAACTGGTCGTTGTCTTCCCACCAGCAGGGGGAACGTTCGCCCAGCCATCGTCTGCGTCCCATGAGCCTTAACAAGATAAAATAGGAATATCACCTACCCTTATTGGAATTCTCATTCAACGGGTCAATATTCGTACTCTCGATTATCCCCGGTCGCTGCTCCACGACCCCTTGGCCGACTCTCATTCCCCTCCTAGCCGTTTCCCCATAATCGATCCTCGGGTCCGCCCCTGCTCCGGCCTTGGAAGCCGTGGGGTCTGTGACGAAGTTTTCTGATAGTGGGTCGGAGGGGTTCGAAGTGGGATTCCGGACACCGGAGTAAACGTCGGTGCCTTGCGCTACGAGGAGGGTGTCGTTTTGGGACATGCTGTTTTGTTGAGCTGGTGGTGGTGTGAGTTTAGGGATGTTTTGAAGGGGGGAGTGGAGTGTGCGAGTTGGGGACCTTTTATATCCCCGAGAGTGAGGCAAGAAAGAATAATGTATGATGTCATCCCTTCATCATCGTCGCTGCTCCAACCCCTCTTGCCTAATGTGGAATGTTGTTTTCATTTGCTCCCGTCCAACATCAACGCACGTGAATTTCCTCCGATTGTCGGCGTTACCCAGACCTCAAACGCCGATGTAAAGAAATTTAGCTGGACCCTGACTATTCATAGGTGTGATGTGAACTTGTCCTCGACCTGCTGTGCTTGATACTTACTGTCCTGGCTTATTTCTCTATCAATCGCTGAGATGCGCCTCCCACGGGTTCCTAACTCCATAGCTGGTCCATCCAGACCGCGCATTCCCCTATCTCTCCCAATCAACGCCATTCATTCTTCAGCGCGGTACGTCTCCGCCCGAGCAGCGAGGATCACCCATTCGCCCTATGTTGGCGAAGCGCTCCCTGTGCCATTTCCTCAGGATCCGAGGGCCGAGAGCAGGACTCCAGCGCGGACCGAAGTCTATCTACAAGATTTTGAGGTACGTCCCTCTCTGCGTTCAGCCCTCTGACCTAACGGTGCGGACAGGCGCTGGGTATCAAACCAGGCATCGCGAGAGCTCTGAGGGAATCCTTTTCCCAAGTGGTGCATCCTACTTTCTGTCAAGCGCAGCTTATCCCTGCCGTATTAGAGGGGAAAGACGTCCTTTTGCGGGATATAACTGGTTCTGGAAAGTGTGTTCCGACCCACAATACTTTTATGTACGAGCTAACCACATCCAGATCTTTCGGGTTACTACTAGCTCTCCTATCCCGGCTAAGGAAAGGCCCCGCACCGGGGAAACACCCCGGCCGCACACCAGAGATCCCACTCGAGACTGCACTCCTCCTCGTCCCCCACTCCAACCTCGCCCTCCAACTCCAATACTGGGCTCGCCAACTCATCCCCGTCTCTCTCTTCCCCGACCTCGCTCCTGTCCTCTCCGTCGTCCTCCGCGGCACCGGAACGCCTATGACGGAGCTCGCTGAGCGTCTTAGGCGCACCCCACCACACATCCTGGTCGGGACGGCGACTGCGCTTGTCGAGCTAGCAGAAACGGACTGGGCAGCACTCGGCATCCCGCGCTTGAGGACAATAGCGGTGGACGAAGCGGACGACCTACTCGGTGTGCCAGGCGTGTTCGCCTCGCGCAAGGAACAGCGTAATTTCGCCAAGCACCCTCCTCCCGCCCTCTCCCTGCTCAGGGCGATCCTCTCCGAACGCCCGAAACGACCCACATCCTCCGTCAGCAGGAAATCGCACGACCCCCTCCAAGCGATATTTATGAGCGCGACGCTTAACCGGCCTGTGAGAGAGTTCATCAAGCTTGAGCTGGACTGTCTTTCCCGTGAGAAGGGGGGAATCGTCAAGGTGGATGTGGTGAATACGCGTAGGGAGTTTGCGACGCGCATGAGGGGGAAGGTGGAGCATTATTGTTTGGTTGTGGGAGAGGAGAGTGTGAGGGACGTAAGGAGTGCGAGTACAGATACCAGACTGAACGGAGCTCGCCAGGAAGACATGGACGAAGAAGACCTAGAGGAGGGGGATATGGACCAGCCTTACCCCTCTGCGAACGGGACTCCGAACCCCGATGCAGCGCACGCAGGCTCGACCTCCCCGTCCCCAAGTGCCGATTCCCCACAGCAAAAGACCGCGCAGAAGGAAGAACCAGAAACCCCCCGACAAGCCCGTGCTCACCCCGACCGAGGGCACATAATCCACGAGCTCGAACTCTTCTCCACCCCGCTAGACGCCTCCGAGCGTCCTCTCCTCCCCCTCTCCCTCCCTTCGACGCAAGACGAGATCATCCCTAACTACCCTTCCCAGATGTTCGAGACCATCGCTGCTGCGCTCGCGCTGGACGTGCGGAGGCTGGCGGTGTTGTTCGTCCCGCCCCAGGTGAGCGTGAGAAGGGTTGTGGACCTGTTTGGGGGGTTGGGCGTTAGGGCTCGTGGGCTGGATCTGGGGAGTGGGGAAGGGGGAAGAGGGGCATTGGCCGGGTCTACGCAGCTCGTTTCTAGCCCATCAACCGTCCCGCAACGCCCATCCCAAGAGCAGCAAGGCCCAGAAGCGCAAGCGCAAGAAACGCAGGAAACACAAAGCCCAGAACTGCTCATCACTTCCTTCCCCCATTCACGCGGCTTAGACCTGCCCGCGCTCTCGCATGTCTTCCTCCTAGGCGCAGCACCGAGCTTGACCAGCTACTTACATATGGCGGGCAGGCTAGGGCGGAGATCGGCGTTGCTCGCGGGGGTGGACGCTGCTGCTGCCGGGGCGGTGGGTATGGGCCCCGCTGGGGAAGGACCTGCAGCTGCAGGGTGGAACGAAGAGGAGGAAGTAGGACCAGGGAAGATTATCACTGTCGTTAAGGAAGTGATGCGCCCGGCTTGGGCTGACGATTTGCGCTACGGTGGGGGCCCGGACCAGCTCTGGGGCGAGGAGAGGAAGGTCGCGAGGTTGTATAGGATGATGGGGGTCGTCCCTGGGCGATGGGCTGGGGAGGGAGAGGAAGATGAGGGCGAGGGCGAGGCAGAGGAGCTGGAGGAAGAGGAGTAGATAGTACTTGGAGTAGGACGGTAGTGTAATGCGTGTGTCAATTGAACCGCTCTGAATGCCCTAACTGGACTGGTGATGCACATTGCGTGCAATCGTACCTTGCACGGACTTGGGGGTCTAACGACTTTGGATTGAAAAAAGAGGGTAATGCACAATGAAGTTTAGGGTAAGTTTCTTTTCCACCTCCGTATTTAGTTGTTCCTTTACTCCTTGACGTTCATATCCCTCTGGGTCTGTTCACGCGTCAGTATCATCTCTCATGCATCCCAGCAACAGCCCAACAACGGAGATCAAAGCGGGGAGAAGGAACAAGGGACTCACGTGAGGGTTGAAGAACAACGAGTTGTTCCCCCAGGGGAAAGCCCTCCTCCGGATGTTCAAATACTCATAATGCGGCTTCTCGGGCAAGTGGCCACCGTTCTCCTCCCTCAGGTGGGCTTGGTGAGCCTCGTGCTCGCCTTCGACGCGCATGACCCAGAAGTAGCCACCGACGACTGCGTGTGGTTAGCGGGTGATGGGAGAATGTGGAAGGGAGGGGGAGGCGTACTGGCAGGGATACACACGAGGTAGGAGATGTTCCTCCACAACTTTGTCGTCTCTAGTTGTGATCAGCATGCTATTACTACACGACTGGCCCCGCCGCCGCATATACGCAGCAACCACCAGCAGCAACAAGCAGGACTCACGTTCCGCATGATGTCTCACAGCCTCACGATCCTCCAAAAACTTGCTCTTCACCCCGGCGTGGTGGACAGGATCGAGTTCTGCAGTCGCAAACCTACGAGCGAGCGGGGCGCGCAGAGGGGTGCGAGCAAGGCGGGCGAGCATCGTCATCGTCGTCTTCGTCGTTGTGGGAGGTACTGTGGGTGATGGGTGGTGGTTTGAGCAGGAGGCGGGAGCGACGGGAGCGGGCGGAGAGGCGGAAGGGATTGACTCCGGTACAGCCACTCACAGCCACTTCCGCTGATGGAAGTTGTAAGGGACTGACAATGACCATTTGATTGTTCACTGATAATTGTTGAAGGATGTCAGCGGCGGATGTGACTCGAGCGGCGTTCGCTTCTGGTTTATCACCATTAACAGTGCGCATTTATATTACAAAAAGATGTATTAATGTTAATGCTTATGATGATCCTAGTGGGGTAGACTTGTGCGCTCTGCCACAGGAGGAGCACCATACCATGGCGCACTGTATGGACCAGAAATCTGCAGTACGCTGCTTGACCTTGTCGCCCAATATCCTTCTTCTCCTCTGCTTCAATCCTATCTCTGTCTATCTCTTGGACTACCACCTACTACTGAGCTCAGTCCACACACTCCTGCGCCTCCTGCATTACCCACTGCTCCCTTGGTGCCGCTCTATGTCTACCTCTCCTCTGTCCTGGCATCGGTCGGTCGGTTCCCTTCGCCCATTCCTGTCCAACTCGCAGAACCTCTATGTCGTCTCGCACTCCTCACTCACACGACCTACAACTCTCCCCTCCTCCCTCCAGCCGCGTCCCCTCTCCCCCTCATCCCACAATTCGTCATCCTCCTCTCCTCACTCTCCCATTCATCCCTCTCCGCACCCCCTACCGCAGCTCCCGAACTCCTGCTACACACCCTATCCCTCCTCCAGGCACAGCATCAGATCCCCCTCCTCACCCCTTCCGAAAAACAGGCCATCCTGCACTCTATCGATGCTTCCCAAACTTTCCAGGACGTGTTCACCATCGCTTACAAGGGGCTTGTTCGCGTGAGGGAGCTGATAAGGATCATGGACCTGGGAGAAGGGGGGATGTGGGGCCCTATGACAGGGGTTGGAGTAGGCGTGGAACCTGTAGTAGTAGACAGAGAAGGGGAGGAACCGAGTTTGCCCTTGATGTCACTGGTGTTGGCTAGTCTTGTGCGTTCTCCCCGCAATTACCTACCTCAACGCACTCATCCCTCCCAGGTCGAAAACCGCACAACACCATTCGGCGCCTCCTCCCACCTCTCCTCCCGCTCCCAGCTCCTCCCCCCCTCCCCCTCCTCCCAGCTCTACCCCTCCCTCCTCCAAGCCTCTATCTCCCTGATCGTCCTGCACCCGTACCCCCCAAGTGTGAAAGAAGGACATCCCTCAGAGAGTGCATATTGTCAGGCTGTCATATGGAGGTCGTTTATCCTTTCCCGTTTGCCGGCTTTGCTTTGCCCACTTCCGGAATCCACTACCGTAACCGCAACGACCACGACCAACGCCGGGGAGCCCACCACCGAAGCAGGGCCATTCGAACAAGCCCTCACAGCCCTTTTCACAGACTGGAAATCCCAGCTGGATCAATGTAACCCTCCTCCCCCAGTTCCCGGTGTGGGCGCTGGGAGCGGGGCCTTCGGCTCTGACGGGGTGGACGAAGAAGCTCGGTCCGTCCCTCCTCCCTCAACTGACTCGCGCTGATCCCCCCGCAGACCCCCTTCATTCCGCATCGACCTCCTCCGATCGCTCACCAGTCACTCCCTCCTCCCCCCAGCATCAGCAGCGCTCATCTGCCCTTCGTACACTTCTGCCGACCCGCCCCTCTCTATAGAAGCAGCGGAAAACATGCTCACACCTCAAGAGTACATCGAGGACCGCCTTTCCTCCGCGTCGGAGGACGCGCTCGCCTTCCTAACCCGGATGGAAGGGGACTGGGCTGCCCATCCGCTCCTGGCCTCCTGGTTCAGGGATAGGCTGGCCAGTGCCTCCGAATCGGGCAGTCTGGATCAGCTAGCTGCCGCTTGCCGACTCCTCTGTGCCCATAGGCTCGCACTGGACCTCCTCAGCCTATGGATCCCCGTTCAAGAGCTCGTCGACCTCGCCAGCTCATTCCTCGACACCTTCGACTTGGAGACAGTTGACGACCCCCAGTCCGCCCTGTCCCTGTACGGAGAAATCGTCCTTTTCTGCCAGTACACCTCGAGCAAATACCATCTCCCCCCTCCCAGCCCAAGCCCGGCATGGCGTACCCAGCTCACGCCCTCCCTTCCCCGGCTAAACACGGACGAGTCGGCCCTCCTGTCCAAATGGGTTAAAGCCCTCTTCTCCCCTAACGAGGGGATCGATGACCCCATGCTGCGGAGCACTGACCCCGCGCTCCTACTAAGACTGACAACAACCGTCTTCCACCAAGCGCTCGTTGCGCGCTCTTTTGACCTGCTCGACTCCGAAACGCTGCAGAACGGCATCGGGTACTTCCTCTCCTCCCTCCTCTCCTGGACACTGGTAGGAGTGATCAACTACCTCACAGCGGAGGTAGAGCGCCAAGCGCCCTATTCCTCCCTGCACTGGGACGTACTGCAGACGCTCGTCATGTCAGAGAGCTGTCCGAGGGTGGTGCTGGTCGTTACGGGAGGGGCAGTCTTGAGGTTGTTGGGGAATGGGAGGTTGAGAGCTTTGGACCCGCAAGGGGCGGGGGTAGGGGAAAGGGCTACGGATGGAGGACCGGGAGGAGCGGGGGGACCGGGAGAGGGCCTGGGAGGGCTGAGGGAGGTCGTGGGCAGGCTGCTCTGTTTGGACCAAGATCGGGATCGTGAGTACTCTGTTTGCCTTTTGCTCCTTTTCTCTCTCTTGCACCCTCCTTTCCCTTGTGCTCGTCCTTCCCTCGTCGCGTACCTCTCCCCGCCTTCTCTCTTTCAAACCATCTCGCAGCCAAGCGCCCTCTAACCCCCAAATCAGCCTTCACCGACCGGAGGCACACCCACACCCTCCCTTCCTGGTCCGACAACTGCCAAACCGCCATCCGCGAAGCCTTCACCTCCGCGCACCTCAACCGCGCCACAACACTGGACGTCGATGCCTACCTGTCCGTCCTCCGGCCTCCAGAGTTCGTGCATATCTTATGGGACGCATGTGTTTCCGGAGCGTCGATGGGTGCCATGGACGGATGTCGGATCGTCAGTTCGTTCCTGCTTAGTGGGCTTAGGTCGCCTGCTTCACCTCCTCTCCTGCCCTACTTCCTCCTAGTGTTCGTTCCCACATTATTGGTAGACCTGGACCGTCAGACCCCACCTCAGTCTACGACACTAGACACCCTAGTGACGATCATCACCTCCGCATGTCATCTTTCCTTCCAACTGGAGCGCTCATTCCTCAAGCTAGCAGACGGAGCACTGCTCTCCCTCGAGCTGCGCAGTCGACTCCAGCCTCGGGTATGGCTGAATGCCCTCCTCGACCGGCTGGAAACCGCCCAAGGCCCGGCGAGCCGGCTGCTCGCTAAACGCCTACATTTGGTCCTGAACGACTAGGGGAGATCATGCCATTGTACTGCTGTATACTTTACATTTCGTAATGAACAGGGTAGGGAACGAATACATAGCACTCTCTACGCAGAGTTTAGACAGGCGGAGTCTGACCTGTGTGTGCGTGGTCATGATCGTGGCCGTGTGCATCATGGTCATGGTCATGGTCATGGTCATGGCCATGGGCGTCATGACTGGCGCTTGGGGAGTGAACAGTATCTGTAGGTTGAATTATGTCCGCTGCTACGGAAATGTCGATAAGAGTAGGCGCGATGGGCGCTAAGCCAAAGTCAGAAGAATACGAAGATGCTAAGAGCAGGACGTACGACAGCAAAGGTTATCCTCACACGGACCTCCAGGCCCACAAGAGATCAAGCAGGATGTATCGATCTCGCTCCTAATCCTGGCTTCGTCCGTAGCCTCGATCTCAGGATGGAACTCGGGCTGAATCGTGCAGCTGTGGATTCCGTGTTCGTGGAATACCTTCCGGATCTTGCTTGCGACTTTCATGTACTCCTTGGCTTTGGACACCCAGATGTGTACGGAGGCGACCACACGGGTCTCGGATAGTTGCCAGACGTGCAGTTCGTGGATCGCAAGCACGCCGGGTACTTTCAGCACGGCGTCACGCACGTCATCTAGGTCGATATGCTGTGGCACGGCTTGAAGGAGGATGATAGACGCGCTGCGACACAGAGGCATGGCGGACGAGAAGATGATGCAGGTGATGATGAGGGAGATGATAGGATCAGCGAAGAACCTGTGTGGCACGTCGGTGAGCCAGATGATCAGGCCTGCGACGATGACGCCGACGTTGCCCAGTGCGTCGCCCATCACGTGCAGCAACAGTGCACGCATGTTCATGTTACCGTGTGAATGGCCGTGCCCGCCGCTCTTCTTCTCCTTCTGGAAAGCGGAATGGTCGTGGGCACCACGCTCGAGATCATAGTCAGATCCGGCGATGGAATGACGGTGTGGGTGCCCGTTTCCGTGTTTGTGTGGGTGATCATGTGGGTGATCGTGCGGGTGGGGATGGTCGTGGTTATGTTTGTGAGCATGCTCGTGGTCGTGTGCGTGGACGTCGCCGTCGGCAGTTGGCTGGATAGGAACGTCATCGATAATTGCGGTCTCGTTCGAAATGTCTTCCTCCTCGTCACATTCATCGCCCTCATGCACAGGGGAGTGACTCCTTTTGAACGCAGCGACGCTTGCAGCACTGGGACTCATCATGCTTCCTCGCCTAGAAGGCGATTTTGCACGCTCGATCTCTTCAGCTTCTCCCATCACAGCTGCACGTTGGGCAACTACTGGATGCGTATAGATAGGTGTTGAAGATGCAGAGTTGGTACGGCGGCGTATGGGCGTTGCCTCCGCCAAGCCTTCATAGTGGACAAGAGGCGAACGCTCGGTAGGTGCCGAAACATGTTGGTGCTCGTGCTCGTGTCCATGCTCATGCTCATGTCCGTGGTCGTCCTGTTCGCCTCCAGCACCGTGGTCATGACCGTGTTCTTGGTTGGATGACGTAATCAGATAAGATTATCCAGTCACAGAAGAATAATGGAACGCACCACCACCGAACAGGAACAGTCCAACAAAATTGCTCAACAAGCCCACGGAACCAACGATAACCACTAGTTTTGGGTTGGTGATCTCCGGCTGGCTGAAGAACCGCTGGATAGCTTCCAAAAAGATGGAGAAACACAGTGCGATCAGGAAGACACCGTTCACAAGCGCCGCTAGTACTTCTGCGCGATGCCAGCCATACGAGTACTTGTTCGACGCCTTGTTCTTGGCCAACTGTACGATAATGCTTAGTCAGAAGCACATATGTGACTTGACAGGGACGTACCTTGATTGCGTACAGCGCGACAACCAAGCTGACAACGTCACTAATAACTGCGGTCAACAATGCACAATGATTCACTATGACAGCGGAACTCACTTAAGCATATGGAACGAGTCCGCAATGAGCGCAAGCGAGCCGACTGCATAACCTGTAATGCACCGCTTTAGTCCAGCCTCATCCCGTAGTAAGAGGTGCCGGCACACCGATTATAAGCTCGACCAGAAAGAAGACGGTGTCGATGACGAGGAGGGTGATGATCTTCGCCGTCCTCGAGAACTGCATTTTCCCGTTTGAATACGCCAGGATGGAGTGGTGGTATGAAAGGAAAGAGAGAGAGAAGTCCTGCAGCACCGAGGTCGAAAATGGTGGAGGAAGATATGGGCCTCGGATTTCAGTCCGCACTGCCGATGACACACTTTGGCAGAAGCGCACGGAAGGATTCTTTTTACTTCCGCTATTTACAAAGATCGCACGCGATCCGACCGTGGGGATATGTTGTTCGTTGTTCTTACTTGTTCTAACATAACAATCGTAATCTATCGGAGCTGTCTGAAGCACGTTGGACTTGTTTTTCTGACCGTGTGGTCTACTGGTTTCACATCGGACTCCACGCGTTCATTCATTACTTTGGCGGTACTCCGACTGGTCAAACTCTCTCCGTCTTTAAATCCTGCCCCTATGCAAAAGTTTCGAAGCCACAAGTGCAGCCATATTGTTCCCTCAACAGATTCGCACCGATCCTCCCGAAATCCGCATACCATGCAACAACGTTTCTGCATATCAAGGGCTCTAACAGTCATCAACCTCTGTCAAATACTGTAAAACTCGTTCGAACTTCGAAATGACTCGAGATGTTCGTGCCAAGGGATACGCGGCAGAGGGTCCAGGCTCCCCTCACGCATGCTCGTATTTCCTTTCTCGTTGATAAATCGATACGCTGGCTCCGTAGGCGAAAACTTGACTATCCCCAATAGGTCAAGGGGCAGCGTGTTAACGATCTGTATCAACCCCACTCGTACCATGTTCCTGGTCCATCAAAGACGGACTATCTCCGTATCATGAACCTTAGCTCATGTGACCAGTTGTTTACTCTTATCTGGCTAGGGATTCCCTTCCCTCCATCGATTCCGAAGGAACTTGTCGATTCCGCTGCTCTTCTTGAGGGCTTTCTAGCCGATGGCGCAAAGCCGGCGTCAAATGAGCTGCAGAGGAGACGTGTCCCGCTGCGTGTGGCGTGTGGCGTCCTGGGCCTGGAAACTCACTTGATCCTGGACCGGAGTTTGCCGGTGGACAATCGCGATCGAAAGAAGCGTTCCTTTCAGACTCGTGTACCTCTCGCCAGAGAGAACCCTCACGACAAACGACCCGATCCCTTGAACAACAGCACACACCCCGCAAACCGAATCCAAACTCCATCCAGTAAACCTGAGTATCATAATCATTGAGGTATCCATGTGCTGTACTTTACGTGCGAGTAGTTCTGGGTCTGATAGTGGAGCCGGGTCATCCCCAGCAAGGAGGATAAAGGATAAAGGCATGGGTGTTAAAGGTGGGGGGGGGGGGAAGGGGAAAGAATAGACATCGTGCGCATGGGTGTAAGTGTCCGAAAGATCTCGTCGCCAATGGGCGTTAAACCGTGTGGATGTGGGGAAGGGAACCGATGGAGGCATCAACGGAGAAGAAAGGAAATAAAAGGGGAAAAAAAAGGGAGAAAACAATAATAAAACAAACGTCCAGAATCGTCCTTTCGTCAACAACCTCAAATACCACACCACCAATAATCGATCTCGGTCTCGCTAGCTCCTGCCCGTCCTCTCCCTCTCCCTCTCGCGCTCTCTTTCACCCCTCTCATACCTCCCCTGGCTAGGGAACGGCACCTCGCTCGCTCTCCTCCTGTGCTCTCTCCCGCTGCCCGGGGCATACGACTGGCTATGAGAAACCCCATGACCATTTCTCTGCCCAAGAGGCTCATGCTTCTGCTCTCTCCCGTCCCTCAGCTCCCGGCCTTCGACAAGTCTCTCCAAATCACCTCCGCTCTTCCTCCTCTCCTTCTCCTTCTCCTTCTCCCTATCGCGCTCTCTCCCGTCACGGCCTTTCTCCCTCTTCTCCCTCTCCCTCTCCCTCTCCCTCTCAGGATCCCTCGACCCCGTCCTCCTATGTCTCTCCTCCGAGCTCCTAACGCCCGAGCCTTCGGTAGACGACCCCCCCTCACTCCTCCCCTTCGCATGCCCCTGCCCACTCCCACCCTGGGGCTGGGTAGCAAGCAACATCTGGCTCACAGGCCTCTGCATCCCACTCAAAGCCTTGCGATGCCTCTGTTCCAGCTGCTCACTCGTCAGCACCCTAGGTGGCGGGCGCACAGGCCGAGGGGAGAGGACGTTCGTCTCCGGGCCTATGACGGGAGTGATCGCCCGAGGAGGAGGAGGGGAGTAAGCTCGGCGGTCGGGGAGGACGGTGTGTGTTGGCTGAGGAGGTGGGGAAGGGGAAGCCGCAAGAGGAGGGGAGAGGATCCTGTGCGGGAGCTTGGCCTGTGGTGGTGGGGAGGAGGACTGGGGGTTGGGCGACCGCTGTCCTCCTTCTGGGATATTGACGGGCAGTTCGTACGCGCTGGCGCGCCTCGCCGCTTCTGGAGGAACCTGCACCGAAGGGGAAGGATCATAATAGCTCATCCCCCGCGCAGGTACGGTCCCCGCTCGCTGCCCATCCGCAACCCCAAGCTCAAGCATACTTTCCCTCCTTCTCCTTCCCTCCAGAGCGAGAAGCACATGGTCGCTCTGTCTCACCCGTTCCGCGCTGGGCTGCACAACCGGTGCCGGTGCCTGAGGGAACGGCGGTGGCACGTAAAGCTTGCGCTGCTTGAGGTATGCATCCCATTCCGGTCCCAGGCCCGCGGTAGGGCTCGTTGGTCCCGGAGCAGGTGTCAGCGCAGGAGAAGGCGAAGAGCTGCGCCTCACGTCCCTCCCTGGTAACTCGAGTGTCATCCCGCTGTTGGTCCTCGCACGGGAAGCGTCCGAATTGGCCCTACTCTCCTCCCTTGCTAGGTTCAGACTTCCAGTTTCGCTCTTGAGCTTGCCGATAGAAGCCTTAATCGTCCGGATCTCGTCGAGCAGAGCCATCTTCTCCTTCAGATCTTGTACAGCGGCTTCAGTTTCCGGGTCGCGGTAGTTCGAGCTTGGGCGAGGAGAGGGAGAAGGAGAGGGAAGGGACGGGGTCGTGCTTGTCGTTGCGGCTAGGGGGATTCCGAGCGATCCGGTGGGCTCGGTGAGCCCGCCAAGGTTGAGCGCGGGGAGCGCACCGAGGGAAGTGCTTCGCCTGTCTCCCGCACCGGGCCGGGAAGGGTCGAAGTACTCAGCACCGTTCTGGAGCATAGAGATGCTGAGACTGCGCGAGTGGCGTGAGTCTTCCGGGGTCGTCCCATTCCCATTCCCATTCCCATTGGCATGTCCATTCCCAGCAGTGCCGTTGAAAGGGAACGAAGGGAGAAGAGAGAAGGTGCTGCTCGGTCGGCCATCTTTCTTGTCGTCCAGGAGCGGACTGCTGCCAGTCGAAGGGCCCGCACTCCTCCCATGCCTCGCCTCCCATTCCTCCCTCTCCGCGCGCATATACTCGCTCTCCAGCCCCTGCCGTGCCTTGTCCTCCTCCTCCTCTCTTTCAGCCACAGCGCGTGCCTCTGCTTGCCGCTGCTTTGCAGCTCGGAGGAGGGGGACGACACGCAGTTGGATCGCGAGCGAGCAGAGGAAGAGGACTGCTATGAGGGAGAGCTCGACGACGACTGACTGCGTGAGGGGAACAGAGCCTGGCGGAAGCTGGGGGAATAGGTCGGCAAAGCCTAGGTTGGCGATGTAAAACTGCCCCGAAGGAGTTAAGCACATATATGCGCATAAAAAGACGGGGACGCACCTCTTTCAGCCCGACAGCGGTAAAGCAGTCAATACCGAGCATGATCCCGCTCGCCCCTACGAGCGCGGCGCACGCAACCAAGCAGGGCGTCTTGATCACTCTCACGGTAGTGAGAACAAATCCTCCCACAACGAGCCCCGCAAAGAGCAGCCAACGCCATTCGCCCTGCACCACCCCGCCTTCATGGAGCGCCTCTATCCAACAGGCGAGTGCGAACCCTCCTACCGCTCCGCAGCCCCATTCTGCATACTCTCGCCAGAGAGCGGCGATCCCTGCCCCTACTCCACCGGCGACGATACATGCGAGGAGGTAGAGCCCGCGCAGCATCTGGTCCGGTGGGTGGAGGGCGATGTTTGGCTCGACACCGAAGTGCAGGATCAGGATGAGAGTGGTGATGCTCAGGATGTGGGAGGTGAGGAGGAGGGGGGTGTAGAGTCTCAGCTTGGGGCCGAGGAGGAGGAGCGGGATGTGTAAGAGGATGAGGAGGGCACCGAGCACGCCTGTTTGGGGTCAGTGGGGGTTACAGGTAAAGGGGAACGACGCACCATAAGCAGGATCGATACCGATCGGGTTGAGCACTTGCGTGTCCACCGCACTCGTCCCGTTGTTCGTAGAGTTGTATGTCCCATTCCCTGCCGACAGAGTGGGGATGACGGTGAAGATGAGCGTTGTGGGTGTTCCTGTGGGTGTGGCGGTGAGGAGGGAGGAAGCGTTTGAGGGCAGTGGGGATGGAGGGATGGTGGTGACTACGGCTGTTAGAGCGTATGAGGTGTTGGCGGTGTTGTTTTGTGCGAGGACAGCGTAGAAGAGGGAGAGGAGGAGGAGGATGGTGAACGTGTGAGTGTGCATGTTGGACGTGAATGTACGATGGTAGAGAGTGAGGTGGACGGTGTATGCTGACTGCCGCTCGTTGGTCGACGTTGACTGTAGTGACGAAGAAGGCTATGGTGTTGAAGACGAAAACGAGGGTGGGCACGTTGTAGGTAGAAGGATGTGGATTGTGGAAGAGGGGGGCTGTCGATGTCCCTCGTTGCTGGTGCGCTGGTTGGGGGGAATGAGCCAGAACACGGGTGACTATGGGTAAATGATGTTGAGCATGTAGATCAAGTGGAAAGCTGGCTGGCTGAGCAAGGAAGATCAAGGTCTGTTAACAGAGACAGTCGCTCAGAATGGAAAGTCCGTGCCCGAATGAAGCGGGTGAGACCGCCTCCCACACACCGGAGACGAGGGGAAGACGCGGCGATGATCGGGCCAGCGCCAGCAAGTGGGAGAATGAGGTTCACCTCTCTGTTGGCAGACACCTCGACCTGCAGGACGTTGGAGGAGAAACAGCTCTCCCTCATACACCACAGAGGAAGGCACCGCTCAAGCCGGGTTCAGGGGCAATCTTCCTTCTTCAACTGGAAACCGGCAGACGTAATATGTTACAACTCCACGCCCTCCGAAAATACATACACGCGACACGCGCACCCTGTCACATCGTCATCGTCATCGGCCTTGAGTACGCCGTCGAGAAATACCGATATCGATATACATACTGCATCTGCTGCTTGTGGCTCACGATCGCAACGTTACGCTCTGCCGTCCCTCCGTCCAGCACCTTACGCACGGGCGTGACCCTTTACATTCCTCCGTCGGCTCAGCGCGGCGCCCTTGCTGACAAATCCGCTTCCTTCGACTTCGTTGAACGTGAATCCACTTCTGCGGCACAAACATTATGTTGGTCCTTCGACGCACGGAGCGGGGAAGTGTTCTGAATTGTATCGGGTCGATAAAGGAAACCTCTCCTTATCGCACATTGATTCTGTTCGCTCAACATTCAAACAGGTGGGTTCTATGAGAATACCTGCAACTGTTAACACTGCTCTTGGCTTAGTACATAAAAGTGCCAGCACATGGTACGCTCCGCAAACCACCTGCAACATCCAAAAACGACAGCGGGTACATCCACACATACGGCGCTGGCACGCTGGCAACATCCACAACCCACACATCCGCGTGGAATCGCCATCAGACATGTTTGCATCAGCCTACGTCAGAGCCAACCCAGAAACCAGCTCCCTACGCGCTTCTTTTCCCCACAGAACTGCAGGAAGCTCGCCGTACAGGATACGCTCAATCGCAGCCTCAAGCTTCGTCTCCAACTTCTCATAACAGCTTCTGCTGGTGCACCCGTGAAGTTGAAGATCCTGCGCGGTCTGCCTCGTTCTTTACGAGTTTCTATGCTGCTTCTGGCGATCTGTTTGGATTCCCGGATGTCGAAGTCTGAATAGCTTGTGCTCTCTAGGCTCCCTGTGGGTGGAACTTGATCTGGTAGAGAATACCCGTCTTGGCGATGACTGTTCATGGGGTGTTAACTGGCACTGTCTCTCCCCATTCAACTGGAATGCATCGTCATGGCAGGACGTGGCCCTCGCCACGTTTCAACACGCAGAACAATTCGCTATCTTCGAGCGGAGAAACGGATTTCTTGACTGATTCAAATACTGTGTAAGTACAGGGAAGACAACGACCATGCACGTCCGTGCCTCTCACCCCATCCAACATCTCCCTCTCATCGAGCTCCCACTCCCCAAATGCCCGAGTCCAATCCCCTCGCCCGACCTAACGTCCCACCTGCCAAATCTGTCATCATCTACATCCCACCGCCCATGACCATCCCCATCGCGCCCTTCGCAACCTTTCCAACACCTTTAACGACCGCCTTCCCAACTTTCGCAATCCCCTTCCCGACTTTAGCAAGCCCATGCCCGATCTTCTTAAAGAAACTCTTGAAGCTCCTTTCCTCCACGTCTTCCTCCATCTCCCTGACCTCCCGGAGGATTACGCCCTCCTCCCCGTCGTCCGGCGAAGCAGCATCCCGCATGCTGAGCTCCGAGTCCTCCATATCGCGCATGACGACGCTCATCCCGATCTGGGCCGCCTTCCCAAGCCCATGCTCGACCTTATGGATGAAGCTCTTGAAGCTCCGTTCGGCCAGTTCGTCCTCCACATTATCCAGATCGCGGGCGGAAAGTAGGGATTCTGATTCTGATAATCCAATCTCTTGTCGAGCGTCGAGGTGGAGGGAGGTGGACGATGTTGGCAGCGGGACGGCGCTGACGAGCAATAGGAGTCGGAGTAGGGAGAGGAGGAACGGTATGTTCAGCAGCAGCATTTTGTGTTTGAAAAATATGTGACCAGCACTTGGATCTTAGGGAGCAGAAATGGGACCAGCCTGACGTCTCCCACCAAAACTTGGGACAATTTATACTAGTTTCGAAGAAACGAGGTGGTTCTTTGGCATTTGTTCGTGTTTGTGGTGCAGCAGGCTAATCATCTAGACTTTCTAGCAACGCTGATAACTCTCCAGCAACGTCGCCACTGCCTGCTCGGCATGTCAGCCTGAAAACGTTTCACGTTGACCATGGGAACATCCATGCCAAGAAAGAGGGAGCTCGGTCTCCCCAACAGGGGGCAACAAGGCGATGACGTATCCTGTCCATAGGGCGATACCAGACTCGATCACAATCACTAGCATCTTGATCAAGTTCTAGAGTTTTGACTCGTCCTGCACCGCTTTTCTGATATGTTGCTCTTGATCAGCGAGCTCGGGAAGAGGCACGTGCTCTGTCTAGGCTTGTTACTCACTCTGCTCGAAGGGCTGTCATGCCTCTGGGAAAGGGAGTGATGCCACAGCCCCCGGTTTGTTGTCCTCGGCCCCGGTATGGACATCGTGCATGCCCTCCACGGGTAGGCACCTGCATGGACGACATCATACATGCACTGAGCGGGCGGATCATCTGTTCGACTTCATTCGTGAAGGCAGCTGACGGCTCTTTGCTTTCTGGCTCGCTGTTAACTATCAGTGGTTGCTCTGCAGCGACGGCGGTAGTGCCTGGCTCAAAATACAGGTCTGTACTAGGCTTAGTAGCCACGAGGTATGCTCCGATAATTCTACCAAAAGCAGTGTTACTTAATCAGATAAGTGTAGAGACCAATATAGCCCGAATACTTAGAAACTGTGCTACGATTACATCCTCTTGACACCGATCTGTTGGCTTGACATCTCCTCTTCGTCTACCCAGTGAAGCAGCCAGCAATCTGCTTGCCCGCACTCACGCACGCCTTTTTGACGGTCTTTCCCACTTTCTGCATACCGTGCTTGATGTTGGTATGTACAGCCTGAGATCCCTGACGCTCCTCGAGTTCATTGACGTCGTCCAAGAGATCGCGAACGTCGAAGACACCGTTGTCATCGACATTATCTCTCAGTGTGAGGCCATAATCGACGTATTCGGCATCACTGTCGATGGTACGAGAGTAAAGGTCATCAATAGACCAAGGGTCATCTGCTTCTCGAAGGGCGAGCCGAGACTCTGTAGAGTCGGGCACTGGAATCGGTGTTGCGGCGACAAGCAGGGAAGAGAGTGTGATGAGCAAGACGGTGGTGAAGGTGAGCAGCTGCATCTTGGGATCGATGAACGATATAGGTACTAGTGACCAGCACTGTATGAGGGAGGAGTGGTACGAAGCGTAGTAGGGCCAGCCTGCTTCAAGCGAACAACTTGACCGTCCCTCTTATACGAAATCGCCGTATGCGCCGTTTTAGGACCTTCGATCATGCGGTGAGGTCGGTTAACAGGTCTCACGGTAGGCAGTTCCCATGAAGCATCGGAAACGGTCCAGCAACCCGGCTGACTTCAACCCCCTTACTTGGCAATGCCAGCCAGAAGCATGATTGGTTTATGTCTGCGAATGAATGAGCTACAGGAGCAAATCATGATCAACACGTTCTCGCATCTGAGTCATAAACATGCTATGGCCGTTTACGTGAGATATCCGTAGTCAAGAGACCGCATTTTCTATGGGACAGGGATACATATTGATGGTGTTTGAGGTCGCCGTTTGAAGCATTTTTTGCAATCAGATGAACAGTGGTCAGACGAACATTTCATAATCATGTATTCATGGCCTGAAGCTGTGCAGCGGCACGACTTACTTGTCATTGGCGACGACATCAACCGCACACTGGCACACGCGCATGGCATCTGTCCCTTCTTCTGTTCGTCTTCATTTTTGAAGAGGCCATTGGATATCTGCCGTCCGCGGTCGATCTGTTAACCGATGGTTGTCGCTCCGTATTGTCTTGATCGTCGATGCGCCTAACCCGGAGACAGTACTTTGCTCTACTCATGATTCAGCATCGAGCGCCGAGATATAAGCACTTCCTTTCATCTCGTGAGAGTCAGTGCTCTAGAATTTCATCCATGGTCAGAGCGTCATATCAATCTCCGCTCCACAACTTGTGAAGCAACCAGCAATCTGCTCGCCTGCGCTCATGCACGCGCGCGTTCTTCATCCCCTTTCCCACTTTCTGCATACTGTGCTCAATGTTGCTATGTACAGATCCTTGACGCTCCTTGCGTTCATCCATGTCATCAAAGAGATCGCGAATGTTGAACAGATCGTGGTTGTCGACATTATCTTTGAGGGCGAGGCCGTTATCAACATATTCGGCATCATTGCCGATGGGGCGAAAGTATAGGTCATGGATTAAGCATAATTTGTTCGCCTTCTACACGGTGACGACGCCCGGATCCGGTGGAATTAGGTGCCAGAACCGGTATCGCAATGACCAGCAGGAAAGAGAGTGCAATGAGCAAGACGGTAGTAAGGTTGAGCAGTTGCATCTTGGAGTCGATCGGTGACCGATAGGCGGGTATAAGTGACCAGCACTGTATGAGAGGAGGAGAGGTACCGGTAGTAAGAAGTGTAGAAGGCAGCCTGCTTCAAGCTAACAAACTTGAACGTCCCTGTTATGTGAAATCCCCGTTGTGGCCAGGTTCGGGACATTCAAATATGCGGGTAGCTCGAGCAGCTCACATGAAGCGCTGAGGGCGGTCGGGCAACGCCGCTGACTTCAATCCCTGTGCCTGGCAATGCGAACCAGAAGAGTGATTGTTTATAGTCTTCGAATGGATGAGTTACCAGACATGATCAATACATTGTCGCACCTGGTATTCTGCTTTGTTGCCAATTCCGAACCTCTAGACTCCACCTTCTTTAGGCTGCCGTGTACCCGAGATTCGGCGGCTTCGTCGTGGCTGGACCGGGTCACGAGCAAAAGAGGGGAGGAATGGGGGCTTCAACATAGGGTGACAACACATTCAGGAGGTGCTGGGAGTAGAGCTGAACCGACGGATGCCCTCGTCTGCAGAAGCGGCGCTCCAGAATAGATCCCGAGACCAACAATGAGAACCAAGGCGGTGAAATGCATAGGGAAGTTGCGCATGGATAGGTGTGATGAGAGTAGTAGCAGGAAACCACATTGAAGACGTGATCAGCACAAGGTTTGGCGCGTTGTAGATGGGGGGACTAGAACACTTGATGTCTATTCTTCTAGTATAGGCGAGCTCAATAGATATGATATACGATAGCAACAAGTATGCGCCGTGGAGGCATCCTCCGACAGCTGCCTTGTATAAGCATCTTGCAAGAGTCGCGCTTGAAGAGAGAGTTGTTTGCCAACAAACGCTTAGCATGTCCGAAACATCCCGCCTGGGCGCAGAGCTGCCTTTGTGCCATACATCAAGATGAGGGCTAGTGACAGCTCACATTGTTATGAGCTGAAATCAGTCGAGCCGAAGGATACAACGAGGGTCTGATCCGTGGTCATCCCCTAGCTCGTGAGAGTAGGGGGTCGTACTCAGATCAAAAGGCTGAGACAGTAGAAATGGTATGGTAACTCCATGGAAACCTGTTACTTCCGTGTCGTTCATAAGAGCTAGGGTCTTGCCCGGTCCCGTTTCCGCGTTGACAATATTGACGTTGTCAATGTAAGGATGAAACGTTAACATTGCAATTAAATATTAAATACACTGGTCTTGTCACCACCTGTGTGTACAGTTAGCAACGCACTCTGAAGGTTTAATTTTAGATCAGAGCACTAGTACTTAAAGGATGTGGCACAGTACTCACCGTGTTTTGGGGCAATTTTTAAGTGATGAGGCCAGGGTAGCAGAGCCAAGTAGAGGGTTCCTGTTCAGCCCTGTGATCAGTCACCACACAATGGCAACCTGCTGTAGGTACCACAGGTCCCTTTTCTGTTGCTGTGCAGTCTTGGCCTATAGCTAGTACTAGAGAACTTACCTTATTCAAGTAAAATGTCATTGTGGTGCCCTGTGCCAGTGCTGGTAATTGTCCCCAGGGCAAGCATGCTAGCACAATCTTGCAAAGGCCCACTGGGCTGCATATTCCAAAGGCCGTTTGGGCCGATTTCAGTAATGCAGGTGCAATGGCCAAGTGGCCATTGCACATATAAATACATTGATGGGTTTCACTAATCTACTACAAGCTGGTGGAGGGGCAGGTAACACATGTGAGTACGCATAGTCCACAGCATGGGAGAAAAAAAATCAGAAGAAAGGGCCAAAAAGGGGGATTACCGGTTTGGGCCTGCTATGCCTGTGAGCTGGGGAAGGAGGAGGGGAAGAATGTTGAGGGGTGCAGGATGTTCAAGTTCAGCTGCAAGGCAGCCCAGCTGATACCTGCTTGAAGGTCAGTGAGCTCAAGGTAAGAAGGGGGGTTACACTCACCAATCCAAATCAAGAAGACGGCCATTTGGGGACTGTATTTCTTCATGATTACCTTGAGAATTTGCCCCCCCTCTTTGATGCTCATCCAGGCTAGGAGGAGGCTGTTGAGCAGGCCATTTTTTACCTTCTTGCACCTGAAGGCAAAGTGCACCCTTGCTGCCATCACCTTCTGCTCAAATGTCTTCTGTGACCCTTCAGCCATTTCCTCCCTGAACATCTTGGCAGTATTTGCCTTAAACTCAGCATCAAGGAGGGCCTGGTGCATGATGCATAGTCCCTCCCTCTCCTCAGCAGACAGCCAGGCCTTCTTCTTGGCAGCCTTGACTCATCCGGCATACTCCCCAACCTGGCCTACTTGCACTCTCTCATCCTGGAACTCCGCGTCTGTAGCATAGCAGAGGTCAAGTTTGGTCTCCCTCTCCTTATTCAACTCCTTGTCCATCAGGAGAGCAAGGGAGCAGATGGGCAAAGGAGGCAGGGCAAGCAAGGCGGGGTGGGTGGGGTTGCTGTTCTGGGGTTGTTCCTAGATGACCATCAGCTCAATGAATGTGTGCAAAAGCCTGTTTGGCCATTGCACCTGCATTACTGACCAGCCTTAGAGACTGGTCAGTAACAGGGGATAGCAAACCCACTTACCAAAGATGCGGATGCATTGTTAGGGCAACACAGGCTGACTAAGTCTGCTCACCTAAGAGTGCCAAGAGTCTAAGCAGGCAACAAGGAAGTGGAGTAGACCTGATGACTAAGACCTATCTACAGTATAGGTATCT